ACATCTTACCATTGCAGCCCTTCCCCGACCTACAACAGCCCCGCTCTCCTCTCCCGTATTCAAAAAACTCCCAGACCCCCCTCCCTCCCTCCTTCCTCACCCACTGCTTAGCAAGTAACCCCTCCCCAATCACACACTTTTACCTCTCTCTCTCTCTTGCCTAACCCAGCCCCTCCCCCTCCCCTTCCTCCCCACCACTCACCTTCTCAAACCACTGTTGCCTACCCACCTATAAATTCACAGACCCAAAATTATTTTATTAATTTAATAATTTATCTTTATTTTTATGTTATACTCCTCTTTAATTTATGTTGAAATTAATTGACAGAAGGGAAGAAGAGGGAGAGAAGAGAGGGTGTTTGTTGAGCAGTGAGTGGGGCGGGCTACCATGGGACTTGAGTGTGGGGTTGTTTTTGTTTTTAATTTCTTTTATTTTTTTAAGTGCATAGTAATTGACAGAATTGCCCTTACATAACTTCATTTAACAGAGATTTTCTGTTAAATCTAACCGAGGTGGTAGATTTGCACTAAAGTTAAAGTCCAGGCGGTAATCAGTCAAATTTTATTCTTTGGGTGGTAAATACACACACCCTTATTAGTTCAGGTGGTATTTATGCAAATTTCTCTAAAACAAATAATAGGTACTTTATTAAGAGAAAAAAGGGTACATTATTTTGAGAAAAAAATAGGCACATTATTTAGAGAAAAAATAGGTTCAATTAAATAAAATGTTTTTCATAAAACAAACAATAAATAGATTATCAAAATATTTTTCAACATAATTAGAATGTACACTATTATTCATAAAACTATAATAAAATAGATTACTAGTAGTATAATTCATAAAAGGAAAACAACAAAAAACAAAAAATTAAATAAACCAAAACGTTTTTTTTTTTTGGGTCATAAAACAAACAAAAACGTTACTAATACTTTAACGTAGAATTTAATATTTAATTTTAAATAAGTTTCTAAATTAATTCTTACATCCATTACAATCATTTGAAGATCTTTCCAAATTCAACGTGTGCCTTTAGTTACACCCCACATAACATGTTAACTTGTAAATATGGGTAGTTTTGGAATCCGAAAAATAGAATAAATCAAATTTTAAGCTAGATTAGGTAACTTGCTTACTTGGATCATAGTCATCGGGTTTTATTTGAAAAAATTGGGTATTTTAAATAGAAAAATAAAGTAAAAGGTTGTAGGTGATTACAAATGAATTTTATGAGTCTAAGCTCAATTTACAAATAAACAGAAAGTAGGTACCACTGAATATTTGGGGTGAGTAGTCTTTGTCTCTCTCTTCAAGTACAATAATTTGTATGAATGTATTTATTGGGAAATAAGGAGCAAATCTACTTGGTCTGACTTCGAATCTCAAGGTTCTGATTCTGAATCACTAGCATTCCAGGCTAGCGAATCTACTGTTTGAGTCCATTCAGTTTGAGGTTAATCCTTCCCCTTTCACAATTTCTTTAGTTTTCTAGTTTTAGTATTGACTCTAATATTGTTAGAGAGGATTGAAATAAACAACTTGGTTGGCACTTTGTTTTTGTATTTTATTTTAAATGAGATATGAAGTACATGTGTTAGAGCTAATTTGCATGTAATGAGTAATGGCTTGTTCCATAGAATAAATAAACCAAGCAATGTTCAAACAAATTCTAAGAAGGTTTGGGGAGGAACCATAACTTGGTTGAAAAAGTACCAATCCGATTAGACTTAGGTTTAATTTTAGATTCGGATTCAAGCAATCTTCAATGAAATTCACTTAAATTAGTAAATAAATTTAAAGTCAGATGTACAACTTGAAACTCAATATAATCCGACTGCAAATTAAACATACAACATAGATAATACATACAACACATTACACACACTGCAAATTAAGATCCGCTTGGCCATCAAAGCAAATTATGACTTCGAGAAAATATTGATCCGTGTTGTTTATTGTCATGCAACTGAGAAGAGGTGTGCTTCCGTTTATAGATTGTCTAATGGCTGATTCAAGGATTGATACTAATTGATATTATACAAATAGATTTCTTAACACTCCCCCTCAAGTTGGAGAGTGGTTATCAAGAACTCTAAACTTGCGAAAAAGATTGTTGAATTCTTCTTTTCCCAATGCTTCGGTAAGAATATCAGACAACTGAGAGGACAAACTCACATGTCGTGTAGCAATCAAACCTTCCTGAATTTTATCCCGAAAAAAATGGCAATCCATTTCAATATCTTTAAATTAAATTTTAATGAGGTGACATGTGAAAATAAAAAGTCAAGCAGGTCCTAACATAGAAAATCCAATTAGAGGATCCGAATCCATCTAGAATAGGTATGAGTCTATAGTGTACTAGGAGGAGCACAATCTGAACGTCCACATTAGAGAAAAACATATTATACATGCGTGTGTGTCTGTGGGAGAGATGTATTTATCTTCCATGCAAGATATGTATTTACATATTGCCGCTAACCCAGTATTTAATGAGAGAACAAGATATGTATTTTCATTCAAAAAAGGATTATATACTTTGTTTTACCATTTACTTGTGGTGCAAGAATTTTATCCACAGCCAGCTTTTTAATTGGTATTTACATTGGTGTGCTTAAAAGGGCAATTTTTTATTTGCATTTTAATTTTCATCTAAATCAAGCTCAAATTCCATATCTTAACGCTCCTTTTTTAAGAGAGGACAGTCTCCAACGAAGCTAAAGATGACCTAGAAAGGGAAGATTCTTATGAAAAATTTATCACTGTAATTACTTCCTGTACAACAACTTATGTGGGCCCATTTGAAGGTTATATATAGGTTGAGACCTAGAATACTTTGATTGGGTCAAGAGCATATGTGACCATTTCTTATATAGTTAATGTACATGCATATTAGAAGGTTAATCTTCCTAGGGTGTTATGTTTTGTTTCTTTTGGGAGGCTTTTCTCTTCTCACTTTGAGGCGTTTGCTGGGGTATTTTCTGTGTCAATTATTTGGGCTCCTCTTTGATGGTTGTACTAAGTTTCCTCCTTTGATGTGATTATCAATGAAAGCCACTATTGACCAAAAGAAAAAGTTTGAAGTTTGAATAAATGTTCTTAATCGGTTGAACTACAACTTTTGCATTCGACTTTGAAATGTTCTAAGAAAAATTGTGCTATAGTATGTCATTTAATATGTGTGTTATCTTTGCATTTCTTTTGTCACTCGAATATTATTTATTTTTTGCTATTAATAATATGAAAGTTACATCACTACAATTAAAATAAAATAAAACCTTTTGGCGACTAAATCACAAATTTTGATCGGCGACCAAAATTTATATAGGTCGCTGAAAGTCTTATGGCCAAAAGAACTTTTCTTGTAGTGCAATTCTCCAAATAAGTATCTAAAGTCTCTATGAGATTGAATTGCATCTATCGATAAATTAAAATTTTCATTCATGAATGTAGTTTGGGTTGATTTCACTATCGTCTCTTGCAATTTCAATTTAAACAACATACCATTACCCTATGTTTGGATGAGACAATTTAAAAGAACTATTTGTTGAGATGGTGAAAAATAGACTTGAAATTTAGACAAAAATCGTAATTTTAAAACTGCATACACCAACTTCCTGGATTTGAAGGTTCAAACATTAACTTCCATGTTAATAGTTGTCGTTCTTAAAATTTCAAGAGCATGAGAGTTTTATGAAGGGAAGGAAAAAAACGACGATGTACGTCACCACTACCTCTACTACCACTAACTCCTTGTCATGGCAATTACCTCCAAGATTCCCAACATTATCTCCCCTACCACAGTGTGCCAAAAATTCATGCATAAGAAGCATAAAATCTAATTGTCACATTTCTTATGAGCTCTTCTCTCTACAGTAGGCCATGAATAAGCAAGTTATTGCAAACAAGATTAAACAAGTGTTTTCGATACCATTATACCAACTAACTCTTCGTTTAATGGTGTTGACGCTAAAAAATGGTTCGGCACTTTTGAGCCCAACTTAGTTATGAGGTATGAAGGATGATGGGTGAAGGTGAGAACATTCACCAAGTGTGTGAGGATTTGGGCAAGCGATAAATATATAGAAGACAAGATATACGTGGTTCACCCTTAATGAATGGGCTACGTCCACGAAGAAGTATATTCTCATTATTATAATAATATGTATTTACATTTGTACATAGGGTTGGACCTAAATATAAAGGGAAGAAGGGAGAAGCCCATGACTAAAGATAAAGCCCAGCCCAGAGATCCCCCCTCCTAAGTGGGGAGTGGTCTCCATTTATAAGTGAGGAGGAGTCTTCATTTCTTGCAATATTCCAATGTGGGACTCTTTGCTTTGCCTAGAGTTGCTTGGTCAGATATGGTATAAACAGAAGTCCCCTAAGTTCTTAAGTAAGGAGGTATTTCTTGGTTGAGGACTTGTAATTTTCAATCCACTGACTGAGCAACACCTTAGTCTTCTTCCAAGTAATGTGGTGTGGATGGTGCCGTTTGTTATAGCACTTGGAGCTGTGAGTAGACTTTTCTGTTGTTGCGTTTGGTAATTTTGGGTGGCCATTAAAGGGCTGCACTCAAATTACCATTATGTATAATTTGAGTAAGCCACTGAATCCATATAGATCGCATGCACCTCTCTTAGTGTGATGAAGTAAGTGGGTGTTGTTCGGTATCCCATGAATAAGCAGCAAGCAAGCATGTTCTTTGATTTCTAAGCTTTCTGAAACTGATGCAGAAATGGCAGCAAGCATAGTTGTCTTTTGGTTTGGACAAGTGGTGCTTGGTGGATAGGGTGCCGAAGGCATCGCTCTCGCCAAATGATGACGGGGTGCCAAAGGTATCGCTCACGCCGAATGATGACTGGACGCTGAAGGCATCGCTCTCGTCAAATGATGATGGGGGTGCCGAATGCATCGCTCTCGTCGAATGATGACGGGTGCCGAAGGCATCTCTTTCGCAGAATCATGATGGGGATGCCGAAGGCATCGCTTTCGCCGAATCATGATGGGGATGCCGAAGGCATCGCTCTCGTCGAATGATGATGACGGGGTACCGAATACATCGCTCTCGCCGAATGATGATAACGGGATGCCGAAGGCATTGCTCTCGTCGAATAATGATGGGGTGCCGAAGGCATCACTCTCGCCGAATAATGACGGGTTGCCGAAGGTATCGCTCTAGCCGAATGATGACGGGATGTCGAAGGCATCGCTCTCGTTGAATGATGACGGGGTGTCGAAAGCATCGCTCTCACTGAATGATGATGACGAGGTGCCGAATGCATCGCTCTCACCGAATGATGATAACGGGATGCCGAAGGCATGCTCTCGTCGAATGATGACGGGGTGCCGAAGGCATCGCTCTTGCCGAATGATTACCAGGTGCCGAAGGCATCGCTCTCGTCGAATGATGGTGACGGGATACCAAAGGCATCGTTCTCGTCGAATGATGACGGGATGTCGAAGGCATTGCTCTGGTCAAATGATGACGGGGTGCCGAAGGCATCGCTCTCGTCGAATGATGACGGGGTGCTAAAGGCATCGCTCTCGCTGAATGATGATGACGGGATGCCGAAGGCATCGCTCTCGTCGAATGATGACGGGGTGCCGAAGGCATCGCTCTCGCCGAATGATTACGATGTGCCGAAGGCATCGCTCTCGTCTAATGATGACGGGGTGCCGAAGGCATTGCTCTCGCCAAATGGTGTGAGGGTGCCGAAGGCATCTCTCGCGCCCTGAACAACTAAGTCTTGTATAACAAGCTTGAGTCCCCTTACCTTTGTTCTACCAAAGGGTGCCAAATGACACATTATCGCGTGGCGATTACCAAAGGTATAAAGCTTGCATATCATGCCAATGTTCTATTTTAATAGACTTTTGCTTTTCTTTGAGCTCATTGTGGAAGATCATTACCAATGGTTACTGCCGATGGCTAATAGTCTTGGGTTTTTTCTTTTGGCGTATATGCCGATGATCTTACCAATAATTATTGCCGATGGCTAATGTTATGTGATAATGCATATGTACCGATGGCAGAGATGCAAATGATGATGATGTAGATGTGCCAATGGCCATGATGCGCATGTAATGATGCTTATGTGCCGAAAGGCAATGCGGTCACTTTGTCAGTGATTGAAACATTCTGCTGAACATCATGGTGTTGAAGGCAAGTTATGCAAAATGCCGAATAGACATGTCAGTACTAGCTGCCGAAAGAAAAGGTAAATGGTGCCGAACGGCATATGGTACTCTTGGTGCTTTTGAGAAGGAAACCATGAGGTTGTGTCTTGCAAAATTTAGTTGCCACCACCTGGTTCATAATTCAACTTGTGGTGGGCCCATTAAAATTGGTTTATGGGTTTAGTAATTTTGGAAATTACCATTAGGCAATTGACTTCAGAGATCATGGGGAGTTGTCTTGCACATAGAGCCACATGGGATGTCGTTTGTTAACCTCAGAATATTTCCAAAACTGACAGCTTGAATTCACCACTCTTGATCTACCATTTAGCATTCCCCTAGCAGCTTGGATTTCGATTACAATTCGGCAATTTATGCTAGTAATGGGCTGAGGATGTGTCAGCTTCAGCAAGCATGTGAATCACCGATCAAATACCTGTTATTTAGCACTTGCAAGAAGGCATGGGTGTACTGGATAAAGTCTCTATTGGAGGTACCGAACGGTAATGTTGTTTGGAACATTTGGATGGCTTGAAAGATTTTGGTAGAAAAGAGAAGTTTTGATGTTGAAAGTCCTCTTCGTTGTCAACCTTGCCGTTCAGCAAAAAGAGAAACTGTCCTTCGCAATCTATCGCTGCCCAACCGATCGGATGGGGCACCCACGTTTTATGAAGGCACCTTGGGTGTCTTGAGAAAGTTTCCAACATGTAGATGTGGTTTGACATATTGGTAAGAGTTATTACCGATGGTGCCTTGAGTTTGACAGAGTAAGAGTTGTTTTGAGAATTTGTGAATCTTCCTCGTCTGGTGGTTTGGATGAGAAAACTTCATAGGGGTGCTGTGTTGTCGGTTGGTAGGTAGCCATTAAGATGCCATGATGGAGCTTATCTCATATAATGGATACCAGACGGCACGTCTCGTTGTGCCATGGTTTCATATCTTGGGTTGCCGATTACTGCACCCAATTTTCTGATTGGATGCCATTATCCGAGACTTTTGGCTTAGATATCTTTATCAATTTGTTTGGCATGGTGCTATACGGTAGGACTCTCTCAGCTTTTTTATGTAATTGCATGGCTGAGTGCCTTTTGGTGGTTATCATTTTGATATTCACCATGTATGTTGGCAGCCCTCCAATTATGCTTTCCAAGGAATATGCCGAACGGTATGGCATGTAAAGAAAAGCTAGGGTGGTTCATGTATTTCCTCTTCTTCTTGCTATTATATTGCAAGGATTTATCTTATGCATGTCACTCTCTTGGCACTTACGGTTGCTTCAGCATGGGATTGCCAAACGACAACTTAGATGATGATGATTGTAAGGGTGTCGAAGGGCACTGAAGAAATGGAGAATGACAGAAGCCTTTTGTGTCGTTTTCCACAGACGGCGCCAAACTGTTGACGCTAAAAAATGGTTCGGCACTTTTGAGCCCAACTTAGTTATGAGGTATGAAGGATGATGGGTAAAGGTGAGAACCTTCACTAAGTGTGTGAGGATTTGGGCAAGCAATAAATATACAAAAGACAAGATATATGTGGTTCACCCTTAATGAATGGGCTACGTCCATGGAGAAATATATTCTCATTATTATAATAATATGTATTTACATTTGTACATGGGGTTGGACCCAAATATAAAGGGAAGAAGGGAAAAACCCATGACTAAAGATAAAGCCCAGTTCAGAGATCCTCCCTCCTAAGTGGAGAGTGGTCTCCTTTTATAGGTGAGGAGGAGTCTTCATTTCTTGCAATATTCCAATGTGGGATTTTTTGCTTTGCTTAGAATTGCTTCTAGTTGCTTGGTCAGATATGATATAAACAAATGGTATTTCTTGAAACTTCCTAACTTGGAAATCCTCAGGAACTGTTTCCGGGTGGAAACGTCGGGTAAACATGTGCTGTCTGTTCAACAAGTGTCAGCAGCATGGAAGTTCCCTGAAACATGTTCATGGCCATGGGATTGGGACTCCTGACCGAAATTACCGAAACACCCCTCTTCATAATCCTCTGACGTGTCTCCTTATCTGTTTGAAATTACATCGACCAGTTTATATTTAAGGAAATTCTAAAATAAAAATAATGATAGTGCTCTCTTCCTCTCCGGCCCATACTCTGTTTCATTTCATCGTCCACATTTCATTACCTGAGCTGCAGAACACGTAAGTTGCTAGATTCAAAGTTTTCCTTTGTTGGGTTCTTTTCATTTTGCTTGTTTTAATTCAACTGAAATATAAAGACTTAATTTTGGGTCGTTCTGTGATTACATTGCTACTCACTTGCAATTGGGTTGGGTTATTTTTTCTGATCAGATCTGCCTCTACCATAAACTCCTTGATCTCACTCATTTATGACGCAGTTTTCGAATTGTTCTTTCTGTTTTTTCCCCCTTGTTGGAAATTCTTTATTTTCCTATCTTAATTTCTTGGGTGTTTTAATTTGGAAGCTAGTTTAGCTTAATTATGGAATTCTATAAGTAGTTTTTTTTAATACAATTATTTATTATTTATTTTGTCTTTCCAATTAATTTATTCAGCGTGATTGTTTTGTGTGATAAGGTTGTGATCTGAGAAGTATGGTGAAGGACACTACCTACTATGATGTATTGGGTGTCAATGTTGAGGCCTCCTATGCTGAGATTAAAAAGGCTTACTATGTGAAGGTAATTAAAGCTTTTCACTTTCCCAATTTCTTCATATTTTGCCCTCGCACAAGCAGTTTCAACCTTTAACTAGACTAATGTTTTGGAGGCAATTGGAATTGGATTTCTGTTTCTTTCTTTTGTTTTCAACACTAAGAGTTTCAAAAGTTTGTAGTTTCTATTGGAGTACTTATTGAATACCCAGCTGCCCGTCAAGTTAGTATATTGTTTGAATTCAGTACCATGGGTCAGCTCATAAAACTTTTATAGGTTTCTGGCTTAACTATATATAATTCTTATTCCCTATGACATTATTTTCGTCTCCAGAAACCATCGGCATTAACACCAGCCTAATGATACCAAGACTCGTACAAAGTCAAAAAAGTTCATTCACATGCTAAAGCCTCAAAACACTGTTTGTCCAAAAGGTTCAAGTACATCACAGAACAGACCCTTGGGCAGCATTGGTCTGTTTATTAGTGTTGCCCCCACATCATTATGCATTGTGCTTTGCTATATATTTCCTTGATTTCCTTCTCGTGTTTAAAAATTTTAGAATTTTTTGTTGTATTTGTGTACCCACATTTTATTTTATTTGTAGGATAGTGGCATCTACTCAATTAACCTATGGGTTTATGTGTTGTTTCTAGGCAAGGATTGTTCACCCAGATAAAAATCCTGGAGACCCAAAGGCTGCTGAAAATTTCCAAGTAAGCTAACTGAAAATCTAAGCTATTACATTTAGTTGTCTATAGACAAGCATACCTTATGATTGAGATCATCATGTGCATAACCATCACTTTACTACTTGTTCTTCTTTCTAAACTTATAAACTCGATGCTTTCTTTCTTGGAAGGCCCAAGATGCATCATTGAAAAAGCAAAAGCCAAGACTTAGAGAAGTATATTGTAAATTGAATGCTAACTTGAAATAGGAAAGTATGCTTCTATTTGGGCTACATGCCCTCAATAAATTTGCACATTTCCTTTCCAAGCCAGTTGTATATTTGGCTGGTTGGGTTTATAGAAGAGTCATGTAAAAGTACAGAATAATACTTTCCTTGCTATCTAATGATGCCTTCTTTATTTTTCACCATAAGTTTTCTTATTATATTGGGGCTTATTTTCCTGCTTATCGTATTTGCATAAAGGCACTTGGCGAGGCTTATCAGGTTTTAAGTGATCCAGATAAGCGTGAAGCATATGACAAGCATGGAAAGGCAGGCATACAACAGTAAGTTTTTACAAGCATGGGGATGTAATAATGTTATGCCCTTTGGTAATTTCCTTGAAAGCGTATTTCTAAAATATTTACCTCCAATTAGTCTCCGTGATGTGAGTTTTGCCTAAGAGAAGTTTGGAAAATTCCTAGATGATGTTTGTTTGCCCCTATTTGAAAACTTAACTTTTCCATATGTTAACCCAGCTTATATCTACACCAACTCAACTACATTGCAGAATTACCCACACTAAGACCCAAATTGAGCTACCCTACTGAATTTTGTATGTAAACTCAAACAACTCCTGCACACCCACACCCACCCAAAGTGAAAAGCTGAACCTTAGGCTACTCAATCATCAAAAGCATCTATAAAAGTTCTCCATCGAAATTGAAGCATCCATTCTATTTGGTTTTTCAATCTTTTTTATTTGGGGTTAAAATTGAAAAAAGAATGGTCATTTGGACTTGCATTGGATGTTGGTAGGTTTAGGGCTTCAAAATTTGTTCAATTTTAACAATGATTTATAAAATTTATAAATAAACTTGGAAAAAATTGAGATATATCGTATGTGGTTCGGCCCTAGTTGGCCAAACCTCTAACTTGACATTCAACTGTGGACTTCTGAATATATTTGAAAGTTTTGGTGCTGCACTGCCAAATATCCAACACATATTTGGTGCAACATGGCCAAATCTTTCTTGACGTGTTCATCCTGGTTTTCCAAACACGTAGGGAATCCAGTTTCTGTAATGCAGAAAATTTATACAAAAAATTATGTTCATTCCACATTTGAAGAGTCCCAAACATCAAGTTGAGCATCCATTTGTCATTAAATCACTTGTTTTCACCAATATATTATGAAGAATGTGAAAGAAATCATTTTGAGTTGTGTTTAGGGTTTTTTTGAGGATAGGAGATGAGTGTGGGTTGTAGGCAAGAGTATGAGTGGGTACACTTATAAAGTCAGAGGTTGTTTTCTAATTCAATTGTGTCCCTTTTGGTCACTTTATTCAAGGGTGAATAATGCTTTCCTTGTCAGGCTCTCTTTCCTTCTTTTTAGATAGAAATGTTCTTTATTTCTTCTTTTAATTATTTCTTTTATCTTAAAACAAACATGTTAGAAGATATTTGGGTCTGTAAATCTGTCTTCCCTTTCCAGGGACTCCATGGTAGACCCTGCAGCTGTGTTTGGGATGCTTTTTGGGAGTGAATATTTTGAAGATTATGTTGGTCAACTTGCTTTGGCTTCTTTGTCATCTGTTGAAATTGAGGAAGAGACGCAGGATCCTGAAGTCCGTAGGCAGAGAGTCCAAGAAAAAATGAGGGTATGCCTTTTACACTGACTGGACCACTGGTATTATCAAAATGTTGATTTTTCCAATACGCTTAATTAAATCCTCTCCTTATTATTATTTTAAAAAAAATTAAAAAAAATTGTGCAGGCCTTGCAGAAGGAAAGGGAAGTAAAGCTCATAACTATTCTGAAAGATCGCCTTCAACCATTTGTTGATGGCCGTACAGATGAGTTTGTAAAGTGGGCAAATTCAGAAGCAAGGCGCCTCTCAACAGCTGGTAAACCCTTTTCTTTTTCTCCCTCCAAGAGGACTATTTTGTTGTTTCCCATCCAGATTTTTAAAATCTGGAGTTATGAGTTTCTGCCTGATCATCTGACTTGATAACTCGTTTCATTGTTAGCTACTGATATTGCCCAAAAGGATAGATAAAGCTGCATTTAAATTCTATTAACCAATTTCCTTAAGAAAATGAAGGCTTAATTCTCTCTTCTAACTAAAGTCACAAAGTGACCTGCTTTGTTCAGAAAATAAATAAATGAACTGGAGAAATATTGCATTTTTCTCCAATTGTTTTGGTTTTAATGTAGACTATAAAACTCTTCAAATGCTAACCAAACAAAACTTTAATTTTGTGTCTTGCTTGCTACAATTTTGCATTAATCCATAATTGATTCTTTTATTAGCTTTTGGCGAGGCTATGTTGCATACGATTGGTTATATTTACACGAGAAAAGCTGCAAGAGAAATTGGAAAAGACAAACGATACATGAAGGTACCATTTTTAGCAGAATGGGTGCGAGATAAAGGACACCAGATAAAGTCACAAGTATCAGCAGCTTCAGGTGCACTTTCTGCTATCAAGGAGTGCTATTTGGTGAAACACAGGCTGCATATCCTTCATTGTTGAATTTTTTTTTATGGCTTATCTTAATTTGTATAGGTGCTGTAGCATTAATTCAACTACAGGAAGATCTAAAGAAGTTAAACCAAGGTGAAAACAAGGAAGAGACCTTAATGAAAGCCATTGAAGATAAGAAGGATCAAGTGCTTAATTCCTTATGGCAGATTAATGTGGTTGATATTGAGTCAACCCTGTCACGTGTCTGCCAAGCTGTGAGTTCCAGTATTTCCTTTGTTAACCTTAACAAAATAATAGTTCTTCCTGCAAGCTATTACTGTGTGGTATTAGGTTAATAATTTGAGTTATATCTTAGGTCATGGTGTTCACATGGTCTTGTGCAAGTGTGTGACACATGATTTAACTAATTTGGAAAATCTTAGTGGATCATTAACTGAATTCCCCTACACATTTTTTCGGGGTTTTCAGAACCCAAAAGGACAGAGCTGGTAGGTGAATTTCATCTCTTACACTTAGTGTTTGGCAAAGTCATTAAAATTTCTTGATGATTGTTGAGATGGAGTACATTGGCCTCAAATTTGACCTCATTTCTCTTTTACTTGGTAATAAAGGTGGTGCCAGCAGACTTAATTGTAACTGCGGAACCTCATGTGGCATCTAGGAGCTAATCAAATATCATTGATGTGCTCATTTTAAGTTTTGTACTAATGCCTAGTCTCCCTTAAATTAATGACATGCAAAAGTACCATCTGCCATGGTAACCTTTTCTGATCAATATCTGCCTGTTGTCTGTGGACATTAAATGGCAAACGTTCTTGCATACCAAACTTCAATTAAAACAGACAAAATCCAGTGGAAAAATAAATTAATTTAGGGAGTGATCCAAAGAATATAGGTAGTTTGAATTGAAGGTAGCCTCTAGTAGAATTTGAAAAATTATTCAAGAACTGTTCTTTTTCAGGTACTTAAAGACCCCACTGTGTCCAGGGATGTTCTGAGAGGGCGGGCTAAAGCACTGAAAAAGTTAGGAACAGTCTTCCAAGTAAGCTTTTATTTTCCTTTGAATTCTAGCAATATATTATCTGGGGCCTAAACTTCTGAATTATTTTTTTGGGCCTGATCTGAACCTTTGAAATGAGTAATTGTTATTTGCATATATCGTTACATTTTCATCTAACTAACCTCAAATTTCCATTATTTTTCAGGGTGCAAAGGCTGCTTATAGTAGAGAGAACAGTCTCCGCCATGAAAATGACACCAAGATAGATTCTGCGTCATCGTCGTAATTGCATCATATGAAGAGATTAATTCCATCTTCAGGGTGATGTATGTGGGCATATCGAAGGTGAAAGGTTGTCTTAATAGCGTCATAGCCATCTGCTGAATTTGTAGGAATATGTTTGCTCTTGATTGGATTAGTTTAGCGTGCACCCTTGACTTGCTTCAACCTTGGCTCGTTTCTATTGTACTCCAATGTGCAAAATCGTATTTAATTGTATTCCTTTTGTATGTATATGAATGAGCTACAGAAATTGCCAGTAGTATTTTTAAGGCGACCAATCTTTCTTACTGAGATACATAATGATTGAGTGGTCATCTGGCCAAGAAATGCTGATTCAGAATCTGACTTAAAATCCTGTCAATGTTATGGCGAATTTGATCACAGATTTGCCTATTTTAGAATCGTTTCTATTAATGAACTTGCAAAGCTGGTGTGGTGGTAATCGCTGAATGTCTAGTTAAATTCTGTTTTACCTATTTACAACATTTTTGGCAATCTCTCTCTCTCTCTCTCTCTCTCTCTCTCTCTCTCTCTCTCTCTCTCTCAAATTAGTCAGGCTCAGGGAAAGTCGAATCAATATTTGGGCCCAGTCATATTTCTTTCACCAAAAACATTTAGCTGCTGAAGTGGGGAGGGCCAAAGGTCTTTAGGTCTACTGACATCCCTTTCCTCAAAAGCATAGGTTGCTGTAAGATCTTGCTTGGATGTTTGAGTAGTTGACAAACAAGGGAAAGAAAAAACAAAAATAGTCAGATGTTTGGTTAAACCACAAGTGGTGGGAGAGGGTGAAGAAAAATGTTAGGGTCAAAAGTTGGATTATTTCCAATATAACCTTCAGCTTACAAGTACTGATTATATATGTATAACAAAGTTAGTGCCAATCCCAACAAGGGGATTCAGGAGATATTTTATGTGGGTATTTTCTTGTTCTGTGCACATTTGTCATTCCACTCTGTTATCCTTCACTCTAACGGGCACAAATCCAGTGCATATCCTTTTCTTTAATGAAAAAGTCAGGACCAAGGTTGTAGCCATATCCTATCCTAGGATAGCCTACCAAGACATGCAATTCTATGGAGGAACCTAAAACAATCTTATCCTATGCAGGACAGAAAAGCTGACAGAGAAATTTACAATAATGCAATTCATATTTGCAATTGCATATGCTAGTACTTACCACAACTCAATACTGATTATATTTATACCAATTGCAATTAGTTGTTAAAGTGGGTAACATATATATGACATATGCTTCTCTCTCTCTCTCTCTCTCTCTCTCTCTTTTTGAAGGAAGGAAACAACAAAATTAATTATGCATGCATTGGCCATACTATACCTTCAATATCCAAGTGAGGTAGAGGAACTTGTTTTGATTGATGGGAAATATCACAAATATCCCAAACAAACTTTCCACTAAAATTCCTCAAATTAGTGCACAACATCCCACATTTCCACTATCATATGCTTGCTAACCATGCCTAAGATCAGACTGGATGTTAGGGAAGGAATAGACTGGCCAAATTATTGAAGGCAAAGGTAGGGATGGTTTGCTTAAGTTAAGGGCTGCCCTAACACCACTTTTCTATATAAAAGAAATTAAAAGAAAGATGGGTATTTAAAATATCACTGTGCATCTTCTCTTTATTCTCCACCAGTGTCCTTTCAGTGGTATTTGGTGTGTTGTCTTTGTCTTTATAGATAATTGAAACCACTAGTCATCCATCAAAGCTATTTTTATACCTAATATATCTTTTTAATTTGAGCACAACCACAGGATAAACAATAACCTAATCACCAAAACCCATCTGCTATCTGAAGTTTTCCAATTCAGTCCTCCTGTGTTTACTGATAACTGAAGTCAACAAGTGATGACCAAGCTCAAAAAACCTAAATGGTCAATCATGGTGTCCCAAATTCAAAGTGAAAATTTTGCAACCAGGTTCTGCTCTATAAGACAATCGAGGGGGTATTTTGGTAATTTCCACTGAAGATCATTTCATTCTAAGTACTATTCTGTTAAATAACTATATCTTCAGTCCACTAACTTCTTAGACTTAGTGCCCCAACAGGAGGAAAGTGGTCTATGTCAACTTTTCATTAGAATTCAAAACTAAAAAGCATAAAGCTTTGATTTATTTATAATTAAATGTCAATTTTCTCTAAGTAAATTACAATGTTCTTTGCATTAATATAGATATATAGGAAGCATGTATCATTTGGTCCACTAATTCTCTGATCTTGGAAGAGAAAAAAGAGCTTATAACCAACAACAAAGTTGCTCAACATGGGTTTCATGTTCTTCAACAAGTTCAGCATCCTCTTTCTCCTGATTTCAGCATCATTTTTATCAGCCTCTTTTGCAGCAGGTTGGTCTTTCTAAGTCTTCCACTGCAGCCTTTGGTTTTTAATTAGTCATATAACTACATACATTGTCAGAGCTGTTACTAAACAATTGGAGATAAATATAAACATGTTTATGTATGTATGTATGTATGCATGCATGCATGCAAATCTATGTGCATATAATGTAGCATCGATTCGTCGCAATATGTTGTTGCTGTTGCTGCTGCTGCTGTTATGCTTGATTCTTCTAGGACTGTGCAACAGGCCATTAATTAACTATTATTAACCATATGATGATGTGCTTAATATTTAATTATGCAAGAGAAAAAGCAGAATTTCACCTTTACAAATATGCATGATATGAACTGCATTTGCAGGTCGAAGTTCCAAGTTTGTCAATAAGTTGGCCCAAGAAGTGGATGCAATTCCAGAGGTTTGTATTTAAAAAAGCTTTCAGAAATTATTGGGTTATGATCTCCTCCTCCTCTTCCTCCTCCTTCTTCTTCTCGAAAATCAAACCATCTTCAAATTAGTAAGCTTTTTTAGTGAAAATTTTCAGTCAACATATCTCACCATTCAACAAAAATTCCCATGTTCACAGGCCAAGTTTAATTAGTATTAGGAGTAGTGTACACAAAATTCAAGTTTTGCAGCAGACTCATAATTTGATTTTTTTTTTATTCGCGGTAGGAAACGTTAGGGAAGCCATTGAACCACAAGGAGGCTGCCATAATCCATGAAAGGCTGCTGAAAGCTAACACCAGAGACTATGGAAGATATGATCCAGCACCTGCTCTTGTTAAGCCTCCTTTCAAGCTCATCCCCAACTGATCCTCTGATGGTTTTAGCCATCAAAAACCACCGTCGGAGTAGCCTCTTTATATTAACTAAATAAATGAAGTAGCTTATATGTATCCACTACTATAAAGTGTTAAAGAAATGTTCTAGTGTAATTATGTGAGATATATATATAGACATATACTAAGTTTTCAATTCTTGTATCCCTGGATAAATTTGTCTTTTACATTTCTTGATGTAGAACTCTTCTAGTTTTAAAAATGAAGAACAGGTTGATGGTTTGATATCCCCTTTTGTATGGTTGGTAAAAAGACGGTTAGACCATTCAAACCAACGAAAGTATGCAAATGCGTTCAGTTTGGTCGGTTCGATTTTTACACACACAGAGAAGGTGTAATTTGTGAACAAACTGAAACTGCCATGTTACAGTTTTGGTGGCCTATTTGGTCTCTTTGGAAATTTTCTAAACCGATCTAATCACATGGAACCAACCGAATTTATAAAGATGGGCTTGGTTTGGTTTGGTTAGGCTAATGATTCGATTCCTAAAGCGAACCAATGCAGGCCGGATATTTCATCGGTTCAAAGATTCAATTCGAGCAAGCAAACCATCTGATCTTGTGTTGATACAAGTAAACTGTCATATTTCATTTAACTTGGAAGCAAAATAGGATCTGACTGCGTTGATACAAGTAAAATGTTCCTTGTGAGTTTAGTTGTTCCTTGTGAAGTTGTGTTATTTTACAAGGGGCATGGATCTTGGCCTCTCCTCCAACCGTATATTGCAGAAATTTGGCTACACATTGCTGCTGAAACTCATTCACTGAAAGCATACACACTTGCTTGCTATCATCCTCTAGGTTGGCAGAGAAACCTCCTTTCACAGACAACCCAAAATTAATGGATAAGAAACAATAAGGGAGAAAATCTAGAGGAGGAACCAAGCACCAACAACTTCACCAGTCCGTATCTGCAGGATTGAGTTGAGATATATTCTCGGATGATGTACAAAGCAAAGTGGTCAAATGAATCCAACAGCTGTGAGAAAGTTTTATGCAGTAAGATATAAGAAAAGATACATCCTAAGTGCAATCCAAAATAGTTCTAACATAAAATATTACAATTAAGTATTAACTTTAGCAGAGAGTCTATCAATCATTTTGGTATGTGTCCTCACATTATGTTGAAGGCCTTCTGATGGTAAACCAGAAATGAGGTCCCTCGCATCGCATGTTTGATTTTTCCAGCTACGTACAAACCTTCGATAAGAATAGCGAAAATCGCAATGTCCATGAGACCCAACATCTTGCATTTCAAGCTCTCTGAAAAATTCTATTTCCATGTCAACATGTTGGTTTTTAAACAGACCATCCAATAAAACAGCATAAGATCGAATATCTGCAGATTGGCCACAAAGATTGCATCTTAGTGAACAACTTTTGTGCATCTTATATTCTTCCCGCTCTGCAAAAACCATCCATAAGAGCAGTATAAGTAAGGTAGCGGGAAAAAAGTACCCTACAACAATACTCGTTTCAGAATCTTAAAAGTTAACAAAGATAATGCCGATGACTAGAAGGATGATGATTTTAACGTTAAAATGAAAATACAATATTATGGTACAGTTCATAATGAAGTTCAACAAAACTTCTAAACTAAAACATTATTTGGACCAACTAGCTCTTAGTTATCTCTTTCCATATTTGAAGAGATCCAAAGTTTGAATCTTTCATCTTCCAATGCTATAATAGGAATATAGAAATTCTAACTTGTTAACATATATACCGAAGAAACAAATTCTTTTAATGTCAAATTTGAGTAACTTGATCATTTTTATATACAAGCAATAAAACAAACTTCTGACTAAAGGAAGTTGAGGTTCCACCCCAAAACCAATTGGCAATGGGGGGAGTAGCTCAACTCCTTATAAGCCTTGCTAAGTTTCTCAATTTTCCAATGTGAGACTTTTAACCTTCACATTCTCACACGCCCCCGCACATGTGCTAAATATTTAAGCCTAACACGTGGAAAACACATATTGGGTGACATGGAGCACGTGTGGCCGTTGGGTTTTCACACGTGGGCTAACCCGCTCTGATACCATAAAGGAAGTTGAAGTTCCACCCCAAAACCAATTGGCAATGGGGGGAGTAGCTCAACTCCTTATAAGCCCTTGCTAAGTTTCTCAACTTTCCAATGTGAAACTTTTTACCTTCACAATGACCACAGATACATAACTCAACAAAATTCTTGTTTAATTGATATTGTAGAAAATGCCTATAGAGAGGAAATGTTTGATTTTTATTTTTATTTTTTCATTTCAAGATTTGGTATTGTTAGTCTAAAATGATAAAAGAAAATCATAATGCAACCGGCCGAAGAATTTAGTACCAACTAGGCGTCTTTCTTGGGATGTGTGTTTGTTTAAGGCGTGTTAGCATGGTGACCTCAATGGCCACGCATGCAAGTGAGTGTAATATATGATATGGATAAACGCGCATGATCTTGTCTTAAATATCGATAGTTTCAGAAATATCGGTGGTTCAAAAACATGAAAATATCGATGTAAATATTTGAAAAATATCGATATCGATAAAAATTGGATAAAAACCACGGAAATTGTGATAAATACATGGAAATTTTTAATGAAACTTTAGAAGAAGTTTATTTAGTCAATCATCTATTATTTTGACACAAAAAATTGGAAGGAAATGCATTGCATAGTGGGTTTGAGTGATTTAAGTTGATTATATTGCGAGCTGACAAACTCCGTGACTTAGAAAATATGGAGTAATTAATGAAGAGAATTAAACACCCCATAGTAATTTATTTATCATTTTTTAGTACAATATTTTACACTTTATAAATTGCATGGTAAGATACATGTGTAACCTTATTTCACATTATTCATTGGACATGGTACACGTTCTTATATTTATTATTTATCAAAAATTGAAAAATAATTAAACCAACTTGACTTTTCATGAAAATTTGGCACTTTACCATACTTAAAAAATAATAGTGAAGATTGAAAATTAACTAAGAACATAAATAAATTTATCAAAGGAAGAATTAAGTAGTAAACAAAGAAAATAATTATAGATATTTAAGTAATTAAGCAACAATTTGAAGGGGAATTTAGTAATGTAAGTACTTATAATGAATAATAAAATAATCAATAACATTAAATGGATTAAATAGAAAAGAAATAAATTATATTAAGTAATTAAGTAACTGATCAACAATATAAAACAATAAGTAATTATGTTAATTTCTATTTTGAGAAATAGCTCGCATATATTATAAATATATATTCTATAGCTTACTATCACAGAGTGATGATTGGCGTGATGGTTAAGTGGCTGCAGGCCTTAGAATGGGGAAGGGGTTTGAACCCTTGCATGTGTGAAGTAAGTTTTCTTTAATTTTTGAAAATTCAAATCGCAATATTTTGACCATTTAAAGCTGCCAATTGAATGAAAATATCTTAACTGAAATATCGGCGAAATTATCGATAAATTGACGATATATAAAATATTGTTGTCCCAAAAAAACGATAATTTCACCGAAATATCAGCGAAATTATCAATTTTTCGTACTGTGATCTTGACTTCCTAACTAGAGGGATCGTGGTTGGAAATAACACCTCTCCGCCGTTGGCAACAAGGCTTTTTTATATTGTTAGCTTGCGACCGTTGGATTAAATGGTGTTCAATATAAACTCTGAATCGGAACAAAGAAAATCTTGTTGATATACTAGATGAACGTTTACAATGTATGATGCTTAGGAAATTTGATGAACAACTATCTTATTGATATGCCAACCATAAATTTTCTGAAATTGCCCCTTCTATTTATAGAAGAATATGCCAACCATGTAAGCTCGGCTCAAGATATCCCACCTCCCAAGTCCTTGCATGTCTGACAAGCCCTGGTGGCTTCTTCCTCGCTCACGAATGCCAAAACGGCCTTTCACTATTATTTCTGCAAATTTCCTCATCGTCATCAATTTGCTCTCGGTATGGGTCCAAATGCCCAACTTGGGCCTTGATTTGCCACATATTGGGCCTTCTCTCTTTGGTCTGGTCCGGTTTTGGGAAAGATTGTAATTTGTTGGAGCATGCGGGAGATTGTCGCTGAGATATTTGCAAATGAAAGCACACTTGCGCATCCTTTTTGGAACATGACCAAAAGTCACAATTCCACGTCTTCAAATCACGTGCAGGGAGGAGCCACAATTAGACCTTAATGTTGGCCCCTCCATCGTGTGCGCGTTGATTGGCAAGTAATTGCATCTTGGTTTATTTGCTTAATGGTGTACGTGCGCTATGATCATTGCTGGCTTATACATCTTTATTGACTTAGGTCGTCTTGTTTAGCTTTTCGTTTCATTTCTCGACTCGGTCTCTTTTCTTTTTGTAATATAGATTATCGCTTATACTAAAACAAAAACACGAAAAATTAACTACGGTCAAAATCGTGGGTTGCCTACATTTCCAAACCAAGGCAGCAACTTTTCTAATGACTTTTTCCTTCTAGCCTTCTCACTGGTTGATGTGGATGTTATTAAATTATTACAATTAAATTTAGAGTTTCTTAAGTCTTAACCATACACGCTTCCACTTGACAAACTCACTTTCCTGCACTTTAAAGTGGCCACCTCAGCACAAAGCAAAAAAGACAAATCTACCCTCACTTCTACTTCAAGACCCAATCCTGGTTCGAGCACAGATGTGAGGACAATTATGGTAGAAAAATCATCTTTGACAATTAACAACATCCAAACTTTGACTCTTCACAGAAAAGCAAAAGAAAAAGAAACAATAATAAGGCCAACCGCAGCAGCAAACTCATTATTTATTCATTATTTAATTAAGCAGATATATATAATAATATTTTTTAATTGTAATTTAATTTACGTGTCCAAATTGGTAATGTTGTTTACACTTGCACCGTCCTAACTCTCGCCACCTAATTAAGCGTTCGGACTAACTAAACCCTACCTTACAGCGATGTCGACAAAAACAAAAAGGTGCTGCGTGGCACAACAAGAATTTATAAACAAAATTAAAATTAGAAAGAACGATTGTAAATATATTTATACCATATACCATATTTGTATTTTCTTTTCATTTTTTATTTTAATTTTTAGGTTTTAGGGCTATACGGATTTGAAGAGTAGTTACTTGTGTTGCCGTGTACCCAAAATCTTGTGTTCAAATTTCCTTCTTTTAATATCACTTTTATTAATATAAATAATAAAAAATGAACTAGTCGAAATTTATTTTCTTAACCGTCAAAAAGCATTCCAATAAAAATAATAATAATAATACTAGACCTATCACAATTATATATATATATATATATATTATACAAGTTGCTACATAGGGTCATTGGTGCCAATTAAGGCCCACAAGGGTCACTTGACCTTTCTCAACATTTTGAAGATATTATATTTATTTATGTGATCCAAATTGTTTTATAACTATATTTACTATATTGACCTTTCTCACAAATGTAAATTGTCTATAATGAACGTGAATATGATCTATATTTGTTTTCATGTCTTCATATGTCATTTATATGCGTGTCATGGATTTATTTGGTTTTCTCATTCTATCTAAAATCAACTTTTAATACTCTTTCATTATTTTTAGGTTGCTAGAATTTGGGTTGTACTTACTAAGATATTAAATTTAATCATTATAATGAATTCTTATATATGTTTTCCTATAAAAACTAAGTTCCTTGTAATTATAAAGCTATTTAAAGTTGACCCTCCTTAATAGAATTTCTAGTTCCTGGTGGTATAATAATGTGGTTTAAAATTGTAGTGTGTTACTCAAAAAATAGGAAAATTATGTCATGCCAAATATAACAAATAATAATTTAAAAATGAACTCGAATGGATAAGGTGATGTTTGCAATGACAATGCGAAGAGGATTTCACATGCATAAATGATAGGGAGTCTTGATCAAATTACTTGAGTAATTAACTTAGGTAATAACATTTTAATCCTTACATCTAAGCAACTACACTACTTAGGTAAAATTTTATGAATACTAAGATGATCATAATTGACTTTAAAAATAAATAAAAAACGAGATGATGCTATTAATTAATTATATAACTCGTCACTTATGATATTGTAACTAGAATATGATAGCAACATTTTACTTGAAAATTGCTCAAGTGAAAAATGATGTTAATAACACTTGTCTTGTGAAAATTGCCCAAGGGGGGTCACTTTCCTCCCTTTTTTCCCCTCCTTACCCTCCCAGATCTTCCCCTCCCCTCTCTACCTCTACTTCTTGCCCATCCCCTATAGCTCCTTAATCTTGGCTAAGTTTGGTGAGCTACTTGCTTGGCTGTCTTGGTGATGACATTGTGATAGGGTTGATGTGGCGCAGGTGCGAATATGTTCGTCTTTGTCCTTCCTTGGTTTGGTGAGAGCCTGATTCGAGCGGTTGTGGTGATAGGGCGTTATATTTTGCTTGTTTTTTTTAGTTGTAATAAGTGCAGTAATCTGTTTGTTGGTCTCTCTTCGGGAGAGCCTTAGTTATTGTTTAGGTTTTACGTTGGTTTTCTAGGTCTCTCTTTGGGACAATTTTGTTTCATTCTTTATGTTACGTTTGTTCAGTTTATTCAAGCTGTGTCTTTGGGCGGTTTTTGGCTTTTCATGAAAAAGTTGAGTAATGCCATGTTTTACTGCTAGATTTTAGCCCTTAGGGATGTAATTGGGGGAGTACCATAGATGTGATTATCTTTTGTACTCCATTAATAGAGGTGTACTGTAATTATGATTATCTTTGTTTTGAGCCTGAATATAGGTTCAAGTGATTGGTTGCCTGTGTGACTATTGTAATTGAGCCTTTTGACTTTTATCAATGATATTTCTATCGTTTAAAAAAAAAAAAAAAAAAAAAAAAAAAAATACAAAATCTAATCAAAATCTAACTAAGCTCATTAGCTAGCCAAACTGCAAAAAAAATGTTAATAATGAAATTGTGAAACCTTCTGACCAAATTGACCTTGTTTTATCACTTTTAGTTTTGGGAATTAAATAGTGACAATTAGGAAATGGGATCTAACTTACGTGTAAAGTAATAATTAGAAGGGAATCTAACTTATATTTTGCTTCCTTTCTATTCTTTTGTTTATTTAATCCAAAAAAAAAGCACTTTCATTAATAAATCAAACACAACTTACGTGCAACCAAAATGACAGCGAGACGAGTCTATTATTTTTAAAATGCTTCTTAGGATCTTAGGAGTGGGAGAAACATACTTTTTGTTTTTATTGTAATTTAAGTGGTTAATAATATTTTTCCTTCCATTCAAGGTCTTAGATTTGATTATCTCGTCCTTTAATATCGCTGTTATTTTAATAGTACAAGCGATAGTCTAAATTAAAGGGGAGAGAGAGTGTTATCACACACACACACAACTATATATCATGAGGATTCGAACATGTGACCTCTTTGTCTTCAAGTTAAGACTATTTTTCACTAAGTTAAATTCCGTTGACTTTATATATAAGTTATTAATTGAGCATATCTCTAATTTACTTCTACAAATGATAATGATTTGCGCAACATAAACAAAATCACATACTGTGCAAATAATTAATTGAAATTTCTTTGAGAAATTTTTATTTTTATTTTTTGCTTCTTTTTCTTGAGATGGATTTGTTTTTCAATGCTGAAATTAATTATGTGGATACTTTGCTGGAACGTGAAAAGCACGGAATGCGTACTGCGCACTCCGCGTATCCCATAAGATAACGCCCGCCAACCAAAATCTTCCAATTAACTTTGAAACCTTTCGTTAACACAAAAACTCCAAGGTACAACACTTGTCAGCACAATTATCAGCCACTGTTTACTACATTGTCAGTGCAGTACAACTCCATACAGCACGCTTTAATTACTCTAAGTCCACAAAAGAAATTATAATTTTCTTAATTTTTTTAAAAATATTTAATTCCACTCATTGCGTCACCAAACGCCGTCAGAACAACACGGGGCGCGTTCCTGAACAGCCACCGACGGCGTTACCAAAACTGTCTAAAACGACCTCGCTTCCACCCCTCTTTCTCTTCTTCTGCAACGAACAACAAGCAGCAGCCTTTCACTCTCTCTCTCTCTCTCTCTCTCTCTGAAATTTTATCTCTACCAGGTTCGCTTTCTCTCTCTCTCTCTCTCTCCGGCCTCGTCTCTCTGTGAGTAACTCATTATGCACAGGCTTGCGTTTTGTTTTGTGTGTTTGTGATGACCTTCGCACATCAAAAATGAATTTTGATTATTGTTATTATTTTGTTATTGAATTTCATAGTCTAGGGATTAATTTGGTGGTTTTTGTTTTCGACAATTTGGCGTTTGACTATGAATTCGATATTTCGTGCATAAATTTTGGATCTCTCTGACATGTGTAGTGCCTCAATATTTACTATTTTAGGGCATTTTTTGATTTTTTTGGTTTTAATTTTTGGATTTTGGACTCAATCTTGAGTTTCCTGAAGAGTAGCAGATTGAATCGATACCTGGGCCTCTTTATATTTCTCATACAGTTTTACTGTTTTTTTCTTGGTGTTGTCGGTGTTTCATTTTTGGTGATGGTTGGTACGGTACCAAACCAACAGTGTGTTGAAGAAAACTTCGAGAATTTATTTTTGTCAATTTTTGAAGCTCCACTGAACTACAGAGGTTTATTAGACTGAATATATATATATATATATATTCAATTAAAGTATTTTTTTGCCCCATTTTTGCTGTCACTGTGTATCCAACTGGGAAAGGGAAGAACTGTGAGATTCATGAAGTGCTTTCAATTGGGTAACCTTTGTTTTCATTTGTTGTTGTTTCCATATGGAAGTGGTCCTCAGTCTGAATTTTCATTTTTTCTTTTTTCGTGTTTTGGAGTTTCGGGTTCTTTTTCCTTTCATGATATTGTGTATTGTTGTACAGAAGTAGGGTTTATTGAAATCCATCACTTCATTTTCTGCCCTCTTAAGTTATGCATGTTTATTGTACTATGGATCATCTTCTTGATGGTTTGCTTCTTTTACTGTAGTTGCAGAAGAACAGCTGGTTATGGAGCCAGCTGTATTTGTCAGTTGACTTTTAAGTTGGAGAATGCAAGTTACAGTTGAGGTGTTACAATTGCAAGTTTAAATTTTTGTGTATTTTGAGGATGGGGTCTGCTTGTTGTGTCGCTGCTAGAGACAAGACTATAACAAACAGAGCAAACAGTGAAGTTCTGCATCGCAATATTCGGTATTCTCCAACATGGAGCTTTCGATGGGATAACCGAGTGGGGGTAGCAGGTGAAGAGACTTCTGTGAGTTGGTTCTCTGATGGAATTAGCAGAAACGATGGTTCTGAAGTTAAATTTGAGTCAGCATGTGTATCAGAGGAGGGAAGTCCATTGGTACATTTTCGAAGACATACAGGGCAAAAGTCCTCCATTTCTGAGGGAACTGCTGGCCATGTGAGGACTCCCGCTTCAGGTAATTCTTCGGGTGATCTTTTATTTGATTCATAATTCAATAGTTTGTAGTGTAAGTTTTGGTGACTTTTGGTGCAATCTCGATGCTTAGGTTCCTTGCAGTTTCTAGTCAATATCCCATAAGTGTGATTTGGAATTGAAAGGCAGCAAAAGCAGATGTTGCAGCTGCCATGTCTCTGCATGTTTTCTTATATAAAATTTATCTCGTACTCTTGAGGTTTCCTACAGTTTTTATAAAGTATAAACACCATGGAATGGAACAGAGAAAATGTCTTTTACACACTGTATTTAAAATTCGAAGTCTTATTGGTGTAGATTGTGCATAACGCCAAGCTTATCCACCGTACATGCAAATCGGGATTAAGAAAAAACTAGTTTACATGTTAAATTGATGCATTATTGGTTGGTTTTGGAGTTTGTGGAAGTTTCAGACATAATTTATATGTTTTATAGCGTGTTTCCGTCATTTATTTCCACCGAGATCGATATATCTATCGATATTTCTCTAAAATATAGATTACCGATGTATACACCAAAGTCGAAACTTACATTGTTGATTCTCCCAAAGTTCTTTTTATGCAGCGAAACTACAGCTTGGGATCAAAGAGATTACTCTCTACTTTATTGATTGGAGGATTGCAATTTATCTCTTTCTAGATTGTATCTGGACTTCTGCTCCCTTATCATTATATTTGTTCCTGCAAATCGCTCATGCTTTTTGCATGTGCCATCCAACTTGATGATGTGTTTGCATGTAAACCAAAGGACATTGCCAGCATAGTTGCTTTTTAGATACAAGCTCAATATTAACATGAAAGGTCATACTTTGAGCTAAGGTTGACCTTGGTGGGCCATGTGTTACCAAATATGCACTGCTAAGAAGGAGAATAGTAATTTGAAAGAAGCACTAATGAAATGGATTACAATTTTATGTGAAGCTGGTGAAGAGGGACCCTGTACGTAAACATAGATGGAAGAAAAGGATCAGTTTGTTCCTATTTTGAGATGATCAAGGATTCAAAGGATCATGTGAGTTATTGAAACCATGCGGAATAGAAGATAATGGCTGAAAATGTGAAATATAGGTGAATGGAAATGCTTAGGAATGGGGCGGTTGCAAACTGTGCAATCAGCATCAAAGGTTAGACTAGCTTTTGTCAATTAGATTGGGAAGACGAAGGACACAGTTGGTTATTTCCTGAATAGATCCCCAGACAATAGGATGCGTGTACTTCTACTATTTCTTTGATATCTCTTTACATGGGTAGGTAGGAGAGTTTTTGTGGGTGTGATCATGTGGGTCAAGAGCTCAGGTTCTGGTTATGTGATGTTGTTCGTATTGAGAAGATTTCATGATTAAACTTTACACAGTTTTACATTCTTTAGGTGTTCATTTTTTTCCAGCTAATGGCCTTTGGGCCTAGCAGCACCTCCTCCCCCTTAAAAATAAGGGCGAAGGATGGGTTTCAGGGTTCAATTGCTGCTTGTATTGTGTTCCTGTCGTTTGTCAACATATGTTTTTAACTTTTCCTGAGCATGATTGTAGTTCTAACGCTAACCTTCTTTTACTTATAAGTTTTGAAGCTAAAATTTTATCTGGTTTATAAATAGAGTGTTGATAATTATGTAGGGATTATCAAAACTGTCTCTTACCTTTTTTTTCTTGGTTTCCATGCCAATGGGATAGCTTTTTCCTTGTTTTGATTTCCTTGTACTGGCCTGCAAGTGGAATAGGTGAGTTGAGTTTTTTGATGCCTATTGCTGTGTCTCAAGGCAAGCTTGTTGCCAATTCCTGTGGTTTAGTACATAATTTAATTCAATAATTTGTTAAATCAATAAAGATGCTTCAATCAATAAGAGAAACTTGATATTACATTAAATATGATAGCTTTTTGTAAAATCATCATATTATTTCCTGGAAAATGTGACTGATATGGAATCACTGAACCTATTTTGTGAACCTTTTTGGCTGTTTAAATTCTCTTGCAATTGTGCTTGAAAGCTTAAAAGGGCTGACACATCACACACCCACGTGCACCTTAGTTGTTTTTGTGATGGAAAAGAAATAGAAGACCCTGTACCTCCTGCTTAAGACAGTATTTATTTTTTTGGTTTTCCAAATGATTTAGTATATAACTAAAATAAGGCTGGTTGTCTGTTAAATAAATGGCCTCCTTCAGATTTTTCTTTATTTTTAATTTTCCCTTTTATACTTTAGTTGTTTATAACATTTTTTTCTGATATATTTGTATCTGTCTATGGCAGATCGATCTATTTCAAGAAATATTTCCATGGATGCAAGTCTAGAACAGGTAGATCATACGCATCTACAGGCACTTTTTGCTATCATTTTAGCACAATTAATTCGCAGCATTCCACAAATGATATTCTTCTCCTTATTGTTGGATTCTATTGTAGGCAAAGGAATCAACAGAATCCCCTACAGTTTCATATCCGTCCCCGACAAAGTTATCAGTTTCGTTGCCTTCTACTTCATCGTTGTCTGCATCCCCATTGTCATCCCAATGTCATCTACCTCCTGCTAGCTCAACGCCATTGAGGTGGCCCCGCTGTTCTCCAGGACATCAGCTATTAAGGCAAGTATCTGATGGCCGAGTCCCAGGAAACAAGTCACCAAACAGCTGCTCAATTTCTGAAGATAGGGCAAGGCTCCCCTCATGGAGCAATGAATCTGCTAGAGGCTCCCGTGGTGGGTCTTCAGATAGTTGGTCTATGCATGCATTTTCTGAGCTCATGGCCACATCTAATAGAGAAAGGTGGTCTTTTGATAGTGAGTCCTTTGGCTTTAATCGTGAGAAGATAACTAGATCCAGTAGCAGAATTTCAGCTTCACCCCCTGTTGATTTGCAGACGTGTGGGGTTTGCTCAAAGCTTTTGACTGAGAAATCTTCATGGAGCGGCCAAAAGATTATTGCAAACAATGAGCTTTCTGTGGTCGCAGTGCTAATTTGTGGGCATGTTTATCATGCTGAATGTTTGGAGAATATGACTCCTGAAATTAACAAGTATGACCCAGCCTGCCCGCTTTGTACTTTTGGGGAGAAACAGATCCACAAGTTGTCTGAAAAAGCATTGAAAGCAGAAATGGACTTGAAGGCTAGAAACAAGAGATCAAGAAACCGGGTGTTAGACCTTGATAGTGATTCTGTTGTGTTTGATCGCTTGAAGAGTAGTGGACATCAAGAAAAGGGCCCTAAGATGGGATCGAGTTCCAGCATGAGAAGCTCCTTGGGAAAGCCTTTTTTGAGACGACACTTCTCTTTTGGCTCCAAGAGTACTCGAGCCCTATCAGAGAATCACTCTACAAGAAAGAAAGGGTTCTTCTGGGCAAAATCTAGCAAGATGTGAGCTAACTTATAGATGTTTGGGAGGTGAGCATATCTGTTTCCCATGTAATATTTCTTGCATCACTTATTCAGTAAAATTTTGTCACTATTCCTTTGGCATACCTATTTAATAAATCTACACTTTCCGTACACTCTGGCCATGATTATCGACCTGGTATGTTTAGGATTAATTTCTGTTTGGCACTGAAGTCATCAACTTCAAAACCTCTGAATATGGGAGTTATGCTGCTGATTGGAAACCATTTTTGGTTCTTGTTGAACTCAGTATTGTTATTTTTATACAGATTCCAGTGTTGATTCTTCTTTTGCAATCTCAGTTGGATAAAGGATTGCGAAGAGGGCAGTTATCAAGGCATTGTAAACATCTGCAACTGCATCTTGACATTCAACAGGGTTAGCTTATGGAGTTACACTGTAAAGAGGAGGAGGGAATATATAGAATAGTGAAAGGAAAAAATAGTGGAATGAAAATGCATAAAAAGACCCCTGTGATCTGATTCTTATTGTTCAAATTTTATTCCTTGCGTGAATCCATACATGAATTTATCAAAATGATAACTTATGTATGTCAGTGGGATGCTGGGTTTGCCAAAAAACACCATATCCCTTCCTATGACTTTCTGTGTTGTGTTGCCATGTAATTTTTCTGCAGGTGCTAGTGTTTCCATGATAAAATACACCGTTTGAACTGACAGAGACCTTTCCAGTAGCTTCAAATAGTGGTTAGATCGAAGGTTTAAATGATATGCGATTCACGGGTGGTTGCATGTATTCAGGGTTTACCGTAACACTTTGTATCTCGCAGGGAGTGTTTCTTGCCATTCGAAAAGAATCATAGAAATTTTAAGATTTTGGTGATAAATGTGCAGAAGAATAGGGAGGAAGATTTTGCACTCTCATGTTCTCTCTTATTAGTCGTTTTCTCCGTCAACTAAAATTTGATTACGAATGTATTCTACGACATCTCGCACCTGATGCTGCTTTCACTTTTTCATGACTTGTTCTGAAGCTTTTCCTGTATGCGAATATGAACTGTTGATGCATAATTCCAGCATCTTACATGATTTGTTTGTGATGTGCTTGGCTATGTTGGGCTGCTATTGGTTTTTGGGCCTCCCCACCCCCTCTAGTTTCTTATTTTTTTGTTTCAATATATTCTTTTATTTACAGAGAGAAAAAATGATGCAAGTCTAGGTTGAAAATTGAAAATGATGGGAAGAAGAAACCCTTAAAATTTTAGCCCTAGATAGCGTTTTATAATCCTAATCAACCCAGTTTCACTCCTAAATTACCAAAATTAAGCCCTAATTTCACTCACCCATAAAATTAACATTTCAATGAGAAATGCAATTTGAAACATATGTAAAAATAATTAGAGATATTTAGTGATATACCCATTTTTAATACTAATATTATAGATAAGCCATACACCATTGAATTTCTATAAACAAATCCAAAAAATTACAGCTGGCCTTATTGAATTTAATATTGATTATTAAATTACTTTGATGCCCTATTGAGTATTTTGGGTATTTTTATGAGATTTTGGGGTTAGGCTTGTTTTAAGAAATTAATGGAAATTTTGTAATTTATAAAAAGTTAAAAACCTATTTGTTATGTTATAAATTGGCTTTGGGTGTGTTTCTAAAGTTCATTTCATATGAGGCATTTTTATAATTTGAGCCCCTATATTGGGTATAATAGTGAATCTCCCAAATAATTAATCAAAAACGCAAAAAGAAAATCATATACATATATGTCACATAGCTATTGGTAGGAATGTAGGAACTCATATTTACATGGTAAAGAAGGAAAGAAGTATTTTCCTTAAGTTAATTGAAGATGATAAAGATGATAACACCATTTACAATTAATAAGTTGGTATTTTCCAAATGTCACAAAATAGAGTGTTCAAACTAGGGGTGGGCATCTCATCCGAATTATCCGCGTACCGACCGTACCGTACCGACGGTTTGGTTTAGTTTGGTTAAATAATTATTTTTTATTTTTAATTATTCCGATCTGATCCGTACCGAGATATTTGGTTTGGTTAACGGAACAATATTTCTAACCCGACGGAAACCCGTACTGATATGATATTTATACTTATTCTATTATTTAAATACAAAACAAGAAACTAAAGATAAATACAATCAGCATTTTGTATCACTTCTTTATCACCATTGTATCACTGCTTTATCACCATTCTATCACTTCTTTATCACTCGGGTACTGTAGCACTTTTTGGTCAGAGATGAATTTATGAATTTCCTATGTTTTTCAGTTTCGACCTTTGTCCCCTTTTTTACCTGTAACTTTCCAGCCGTTGATCCAAATTTTATTTTCTTTATATGGTTGGATTCAGCATGAAAAACTAAAGAACCCAACGCGAAAAAAATGTCAAAATCATTTACATAAATGTAGAGAATTCAGTCAAAATAACACTCAAATGTTCAAACAACAAACACAAGTGGCTCCCATTACATCTTGAGTATATATTGAATGATATAGTGACTAAGTTATTTGATTTCATACTTGGATGAATTAGACTATTGGATTTTTATATTTTACAATGATAATTTGGTGTATTTGTTCAAGAACTTATGTTATGTGAAAGTATTATAAATTGTATTTTTATTAGTATGTTTTTATTATGGTACTACCGGCGTACCAAACCAATCCAAACCGAATATTAGGTTAACTGATAGTATTTGGTTTGGTCAACAAAAGAGAAAATAGTCTACCGAAGTCTTTGATTTGGTTAACGGAAGAACCTTCTACCGTTTCGAACCGATCCGTGCTCAGGCCTAGTTCACACGATGCATGTTTATTTCGTAGCATGATCATATTATGTATATATGCACGAAATCAGTATTTTCTTGGCAGCATATGTTTGTTAACAAGATGAACGATAAAATCATATGAGCAGTAATGAAATTGGAAACTTCTTTTAGTATTTATTATATATTATCTTATTGGTCCCCATTCGTTTATTTGTTATATTATATTCACTGGGTTGAAATTAGGGTGAGATGTTGGGGAAAACTAAAACATTTTTTTACTTTTTTTTACAAGGACTAGTAACTTTCTGAACCCAAAGGCAAAAATCTGGGTACTGGAATCATGTCCAATCAAAACACAGTTTAGTAATTCAGATTCGATATCTTCAAGCTTCAAACCAAGGAAAAGTCATACGAGACACATAGAAGCCAATATAGATTTGTTCCTGATATATTTCAGAGATGTTGACTAATAATAACCAAGTCCCCATACCCCACAGACGAACCACAACATGTGTATGTTGAAGGGGAAAACTTTCTTGCCAAACAGTGGGTGTCGCTGGCCAGTTTTAAAAATTAGTTGGGATTCAGCTAGCTAATTGCCATTCTTGGACACGAAGAAGCATACAATTTTTATTTTTCTTTATTTTTCTTTACTGTCAAATATGCATGTGATTAAGATGGTATCAGAACGGGTCAATTGACTGGGCTTGAAATATTGATCCTTTACCTTTATCCCTTATTGAATGATTTCTTAAGTTTATTAATTAGTGCAAATAAGTATATATTACTGCACTCATTTCTTTTGGACGAAATGTCACCGCACTCATAGTTAGTTAGTTGGTTATATTTTCTCAATACAAAAACTCCATTTCTAACCTTACTTATTCAACCAATCCAATTGGACCAAATATTAATTATTTTTCTCAAAAATTTAACTCTTAAACCCTACCCTTGTCTGCTTAACCTGAATAAGTAAATGACCCGCTAAGAAACAGACATCCGGATCATGCTCCTCCTCCGCTAGGTATTCATTCATTCATATCCCAGCCCAAAACCCACAACCATGACAAGCACGTGACACCCAGACAAGATAACACGTGGAAACCTTCATCTAACGTGGCAATGCATGCTCTTAATGGCATTGCCTGGGCACTGTCATGCCACGTGTCAGCACACAGTGACATGCAAGATGCCACACTCATATCTCCACCGTCATTCATTTTCCCTTTAAAAAAAGGCCTAGCGCCATCGAACTTAGTTCAAGTTCCAACATCTATAGAATATTAGCAAGGCTTGCCATTTCTGATTTCTTACTTCGATCGAGGCTCAGCTCTTTTTGGAAACAAAATACCCAAATGGCTCAAATTCGTGATGAGTACGGAAACCTAGTGCAGCTCACAGATGAGCATGGCAACCCTGTTGAGTTGACAGATGAGCATGGAAACCCTATGCACCTCACGGGTGTAGCTACTAGCACGGAAACCGAAACCGGAATATACACCGGTTCCGGTGTGCATGTTCCAGGATCTGGGACCACGGGTGGGTACGAGGAGCATGGTGGCGCGTTGGGTGCCGCTGGAGTTGCGACCGGGCTTGGAATGTTTGGTGATAAACAAACAAGTGATCAACCTCATGGGTATGATGGTGGTCTCGGTGAGCACCGACAACAACAGCCCTACGACGGTGGTGTTACTGGTGAAGTCCGCCGTTCTGGCAGCTCATCAAGCTCTAGTGTAAGACTTTTTTTTCTTCATATATATGTACATATTAATTGTGCTAATTTTTTTGTAAATATATTGCGATGCATCTTCTAACCGAAGACTAGGCTTGCATGTTTTGATCAATATTTACTTTTCTTTCTTGATCTCTTCCCCTCGGTTGGTTGGTTGTAGTCTGAGGAGGATGATGGGCAAGGTGGGAGAAGGAGGAAGAAGGGATTGAAGGAGAAAATAAAGGAAAAATTGACTGGTGGGAAGCACAAGGACGACGCTCAGCAGCAAGCACAAGGACAGGCACACACCATAGCCGTCGGCAGCGCCATCAGAACCACAGCGACAACTGAGCCGGAGAAGAGGAGTATGATGGAGAAGATCAAGGACAAGCTGCCTGGTCATCACAGCCGCTAAATTATTTATTAAGATTAATTGTGTGTGTTGGTGGTTAATTAATTGTGTGCAGTTTGTTGTGAGCCTATTAGGGGCAATGTAATAAAGAAGTTGCTTTTGGAATTGTGTAGGGAAGCTGTGCTGTACATGTTAGATAGTGTGCTGAATTTCATCACCGCAATGGTTTGCTTTGTGAAGTTTTTATAATCACTTCATGATCGGCAGTAATCATGTTCTTGTTTTTTTCTTTCCAGTAAACCACGTTCTTCTGTTTTCATCAGTGGTGAGGGTAAAATATATTGGCCAAATTTATTGCAAAATTTCGAACATACTGCTCCAATTGATATAGCTTTTAAATTCGAAATATACAGCTCCAATTCATTGCTAATGCTAAGCAGTCTTCATCAACCAAATGGATCAGGAAAAGTCTTCATCAACCAAATGTTTTCCTCAACCAAATGGATCAGGAAAACTTTCCGTCTTTGAAATTCAATGAACAGATTGACTAATTCTCCAATGGGAATTTACAAAGAAATTGGTATAAGCAAATGATTGTTTCATCCCAAAATTACAAAGAAAGAAAGATTACAAAGACAGGATAAACAGAGAGAGAGAGAGAGAGAGAGAGAGAGAGAGATGAGAAAGGAGGGGATCAGTTTAACGTCAATTTAGGAGGAAAAGGCGAAAAAAAGAAGCTGATGTGGCCTAAGACATAGGTAATAACGTCTGTTGGAGCAAAAGTTAGGAACTTACTGTTGCCGAGGTGGCTTATCAATAATTATTGGATTATTTGAATGCTCCAAAATTTACGAAATGCACGAAAATGCACCCTTCTTAAATGTAGAGGCTCGGAATACATTATCACATTATAAATTTGGTTGACCGTTCAAATTGCCGTCATAGAACGAATTAGTGGAATTATCGGTTTGATTTTACTAATTACTTCCGCACATACGAGAGGCTTTAAAAAAAAATAAATAAATTTTAAAATTTTGGAAATGCACGAAAATGCACCCTTCTTAAATGTAGAGGCTCAGAATACATTATCACATTATAAATTTGGTTGACCGTTCAAATTGCCGTCATAGAACGAATTAGCGGAATTATCGGTTTGATTTTACCAATTACTTCCGCACATACGAGAGGCTTTAAAAAAATAAATAAATAAATTTTAGAATTAAAAATTATAATAGAACGAATTAGCGGAATTATCGGTTTGATTTTACCAATTACTTCCGCACATACGAGAGAGGCTTTAAAAAAATAAATAAATAAATTTTAGAATTAAAAATTATAATGGGTAGTTGTGTTCATAAAAATAGGATTCATTATCTAATTTTTCTTTTAATTTTTATTTTTCTTAATGTGAAAAGGTGTGAATTTATCATATTATCCTCATTTAATTAATAATTTCAATTCTTACTATTTGCATTAACCAATGATATTTTTTTTGGTATTTTGAATGTTTTATCATTCTCTGCATATATATATAGATTATGGGGTAGGCATCCAGTTGAATAAATTAAATCGGCCAATTCATACCGTAACTAATAATTGATTGGTTTGGTTTTGACCAAGAAAATGCCAAATGGATTTGACCCCTATCTTTACATGAAACCATCCGATCTCATTCAAGATAGTTTGCTTTATGATGTTTTGTAATATCTGAGTTCAATACATCCCTTTTTTGTAAGGGAGTTATAGCTTAGGTTGTTAAGAGTTTATGATGTTTTGTAATCTCTCGAGTTCAATACATCTCTTTTTCGTAAGGAAGTTGTAGCTTAAGTGGTCAAAAGTATTTGAAGTATGCACTTGAGGTCCTAAGCTCGATCTCTCCTTTCCCAAATATCTTCATATCAAAATATATTGCTTTTCTTAAACTAAAAAATAAATAAAAATAAAAAACTCACATGATTATTATGTGTGGTGGTCCACATAATATTTATGTGGATCCAACGGCGCAAAACACGTCAACCTCCACTCTCTCTTTTCTCTAACCACCAAAACCCCCAAACTTGAGTTTTCTCACTTCTTCAGCAGCCTCGACACTCCATTTCACCACCGTTGTCTCTCTCTGCTCTCTCCCTTTCCCGCCTACTTAAACCTCTCAACAGTCACCAAATGCTTTCACAGGTTCCCAAACCCTCTCCTTCTTCCAAAACCCATCGCCCCAAATTCCCATTCCTAATCCCACCACTCCCACTCTCCGCTTCTCAACTCCCAAGCCCTCACTCTCACTCCTCCTCCTCCCTCGCTATCCTGGCCGGGTCACACTCGCAATGGCCTCCGATCCCGGCCGTCCAAACTCCACCGTTCCGCTCCCGCCAAAAAGTTTCGAGCTTGATCGATTCGCTGAGGTTGCCAACAAGGTAGCCGATGCCTCTGGTGAAGTCATTAGGAAATTCTTCCGTCAGAAATTTGACATTCTCGATAAAAAAGATTCCAGTAAGTTTGAATGTGTGTGCTCGTATATGCTTTGTTTTTATTTTTTTTGGTGAACCTGCTTTGTTGGTTGCTGAGAAAGTTGAGAAACTTGGAAGTGGACAGAAGCTTTTTAATAACGTTAAATTTGAAAGTAAGAGGAATGTGAGTAAGCTGGAGAAATTAGGAATGTTGGATTCAATTGCTATAGCTCTGTTTGGTTTTTGAGGAAATGTAGGAAAAGAAAAATCACAATATGAGTGTTGAGTTTTGTGCTGTTTTGCTTTATAAAATAATTGAGAAAAAATTGAATTGTTTAAGCTGACTGAGTTAGTGATTGGTGTGGACTACAGTAGAGGAAATTTTGAGTCATTGATTTCCTTATTTGTTGTTTTGTTGCAGGCCCTGTGACAATTGCAGATCAAACAGCGGAGGAAACTATGGTTTCGATTTTATTAGAGAATTTTCCTTCTCATGCTGTGTAAGTTTTGTATGTAAATAGATCATTTTCCAAGAATTTCTTTTGGTTGCAAAAAAATTGGAGGGTTTAAGTTGAATTGAATTGGTAAATTTCTAGTCTTTAGGTTTACAGCTGTTTAGATCCCATAATGTGACAATTTTTTAGACCTAAAATAAGCTAAAAGGAAATGTTTTTAGGGCCCTAATATGTTGTTGTTCTGGTTTTTAACATTTTTGGTCCAATGCTTTCGTTTTTATATTGAATATGACAAGTTGCGCTTAAGCTATGGTAAGTAGTTTTATAGGATAGACGAGTGTAGGCTTCTCATTTACTGTTTCCATTCTTTACTGTCCTTGTCCGGCTATTTCCTTCACAACCCCATGGAACACATTAGAGAAAATTCGATTTTTCTAAACAACCGTGAATTTCTATATATGTTGTGGTATTGCTAAAGTAATTGTGGAGAAAAATTGCAGTTATGGAGAGGAGAATGGGTGGAGGTGCAAAGAGAAGGCTGCAGACTATGTATGGGTTTTAGATCCAATAGATGGAACAAAAAGCTTTATCACTGGTATTGTATTTTTTTGTTAAAGAAAGATTACTGTCTTGAAATAAGTGTTCTGCAAATTTTACTTTGTTGAACCTGCACTTTTTTCCCCAGGAAAACCTGTGTTTGGTACTCTCATTGCTCTGCTACAGCGGGGTAAACCAGTAAGAATCATCTGCTACACCATGCATAAATAAAAACAGGCGTATTTCTATTATTTTTTATATTTTAAATAAAAGTGAATATGTAATATGATTATATGCTCAAGAAAAAACTTTTTTTTCTTCTCCGTTATTCAACACTTGGGATCAGAATTCTGAAATGAAAATTAAAAATCGTGTTAGAGAAAGGAAGAAAATGGGTACCATCATCACTTCAGCACTCGTCAGTTCAAATAATTTTTGTATCCATTTTTGCATGCAATAGATGTTTTATTGGAGTAAACATGCTCATTTGTGCCCATTTAAAAATTTAGTTTTTGTTCCAGTTACTTGACTGAATTTTTTCACACTGAGTTGGATAAATGCATAAGAGTTCAAATTTAAAGATTACATCTACTTTCTTCTTGAACTGATACCTATTATTTCACCCAGATTCTTGGCATAATTGATCAGCCTATTTTAAGAGAAAGATGGGTTGGGATGAGTGGAAGGAAAACTACATTGAATGGGCAAGTAGTGTCTACACGCAATTGTGCAAATCTGGCACAGGCTTATTTGTAGGTTTTTTTCTCTTTTCCTGTGATATCTATTTTATAGCTAGAAAGTGGTTCTGTGGAAAGCAAACCACGTGTATCAAGCATCTAGACCTTTATTGTGAGAAAGTAATTTGTTGGCATCCAGATCTTGCCAGGGATATAATTTTCTTTTTCTGTCTTTGTCTTTCGGGATTTCTTTTATGTGTTCTAATTATTCCTGTGATTAGGTACACTACAAGCCCACATCTATTCAGCGCAGAGGCAGAAGAGGCATTTATTCGTGTTAGAAATAAGGTAAGTTCTAATGAATCCATAAAGATCGGGGTTCAACATTAGGTGACATGTAGAATACTGCTGTGTTTTTAATATATGATCTATGTTAGAAAATCAGACTCAGTCAATAAGGATTACCTGAAAGGAAAAAGGGGTGAGCAAAAGTTGGGCAGTGTTACTGATTTGGTCCTTGCTTTGTCCAAGTCTTTTACTTTTTGTGGTGTTCCTATGCTTTTGGGGATAATCTGACCCAATTTTGCATTGTGACTCGATGCCAAGCAGTATTGAGATCAAATAACTTTACTAAAACAGATATGTGAGCGGCATTTCTTAGAATGTGATTAACATTTGGAAATTTAATGTGAAATTTGACTCCTAGGTCCAATCTAACATCTTTTCCAGCAGTTATTTTCATCTTAAATATTTGATATTTGTGTTTCTTATAAAATAAAAAGAATATTAAGAATTCCATGTTTGGTCTACAGGTTAAAGTACCACTGTACGGCTGTGACTGCTATGCCTATGCCCTTCTGGCTTCTGGTTATGTGGATCTTGTTGTTGAGTCTGGTCTCAAGGTAAGCTGAACTCTTTGTTGTTAAATTGCATATATGGCTAATGTATCCAGTGATGCACTCTTCTCTTGGGAGTGTCTGCCTAGCCATGAAAATGGCTCATTCCCCATGAAGGGTAAGGGCAGAACAATCCGGGGATGCCTAGTGTATGGCATGAGTGGTACCTATTGTATCTTACTCTCTGGTTGAACTAGAGGGGAAACATAAAACAGAAGGGACTTGTTATTTCTGATGATGCGTTAGGTTACCTACAGATATGCATTTTTCTTTTCTGCTGCACTTTAATGCCTATTTGTTACAATGAGCTGTCAAGTCTGCAACCATGCATAACTCTCGTTGCATTTGTCATCTGTGAATGATACAACTGTATTAGATAGAATTCATTGCTTTTATCTAACAAAAATCTCATACTATTTTGTCAGCCATACGATTTTCTTTCACTGATACCTGTGATTGAAGGTGCTGGAGGTGTTATAACTGATTGGAAGGGACATCAGCTTTATTGGGAAGCTTCTCCAAATTCACATGTGAAAAGTAAGCTCTTCTCCATATTCTTTGGATTGGGGTCATATTGATGATTTGAGTTATGTAGTTTAATATTGTTATTTAATTAATGTGCCGTATAGCACCTGCAAGATTTACATAAATCAGCAAATGGTTTTTGGTGTGTTCCCCAGGTTTTAATGTAGTGGCAGCTGGAGATAAACAATTCACCAACAAGCTCTAGATTCATTACAATGGCAATGAATAGTTGCATTGTCGATTATCATATAGAGGATGGTACGATGCTTCGGTTTGTCTTTCCGAATCTTCAAGGTTCATACACCAAGAGCCAAAGATGACATCAGGGAGCTAGGTGGATTAATAATAGGTGAGAATTGAAACGCAAAAGGTGGAGAGCTGAATTTATTATCTCTGTATGATTCTCGTTTGCAAGGGTAGGTTTGTTTGCTGGCATTTGTTCACGGCCCCAGCTTTAGTTGTGAAATAAAAGAGCCCGAAAGTGCCCTCATTTTGCCGTATGTTTCTTCTACAATCAATTTGCTTCAACAACCAAAAAGGAAATCTTTGATATCAGATGTTAGAGCCTTTCCATCGCTAGAGCCCAGCCCAAGGCTAGGGGAAAAAAAAAAAAAAAAAAAAAAAAAACGTTCCAGCGGAGCAGCCCAGGCCGGGGGGGGGGGGTGTGGGACCCACCAACTCGGGCTGGCCCGAAGGCAGCTTCAGCCCGAGGTCCAAAACGAGGGCTGCTGACGCCATCGCTACAGTACCCGCTACAGTATCACTACAGTACCCCGCTACAGTACCCCCACTGATTTATTTTTTTCCCTGTTGCCACGTGGCGTCGTCTGGGCTCTCCGATCTGATTTTTTCCTCCAATCCAACGGCAGCCAATTTTTTTGCAATAAAATACTGGAAAAAATTCGGAAAATTTTTTAAAAAATACCCAAAAATGAATGAATTTTTTTCTATAAATACCATTTTTTTTTTTTTTTTTTTTTTTTATTTTAAATTATCTGAAATTTGAAATTGAAATTTATACGATTATGAGATATGAATAGTATTGACACGTAGGAACCCAAAAATCTGATCCGAAAATATTATCCAAATTAATTATTGAGGTAAAAAAAAAAAAGTCCTTAGCAAGGGCAACGGGTGGAAACACAAAATTCGGATTTTGCAAGGGCAACCACTATTCACGTGAATAGTGGCTGCCCTAGCTCCCTCCCTTGCCATGGCTAAGGCCATTTCCAGCAGCCCCCTCGGGCTCGGGCTGGGGGGGGGGAGAGCCCAAATGCAAGTTCCAGCAACAAAGGCTGGCCCGGGCAGTGTGGGGTCCACTTGCCTGGGCTGGCCCCAAGGCGAAGGCAGCCCGAAGGCAGCTGACGTCAGCGTGACGTCAGCAGGCGCAAATTTTTTTTTTTCTTTCAGCTGCCACGTGGCGCGACCTGGTCCTTCCGATTTCCGAATTTTCATCCAATCCAACGGCCTGGAATTTTTCAAGGCAAAAAATTATGAAAAAAATCTTAAAAAATTTTAAAAAAACCCCAAAAAATACTGAATTTTTTTTTATAAAATACCAATCCATACTCTTCACTTTTAACAACAAATTCACTTTTTACTAAATAATTTTTTCACTTTCAACTCTAAATTTTTCTCACTTTCAAGTTTAATTATTCACTTTCTACTCAATAATTTTTCACTTTCAACTCAAAATTTTTTTCACTTTCAAGTTTAATTATTCACTTTCTACTCAATAATTTTTTCACTTTCAACTCTAAATTTTTTTCACTTTCAAGTTTAATTATTCACTTTCTACTCAATAATTTTTTCACTTTCAACTCTAATTTTTTTTCACTTTCAACTCTAAATTTTTTTCACTTTCAAGTTTAATTTTTCTCTATCAAAGAAACTATTAAATAAAATTCCTTTTTATTCAAAACATTCCATACATAAAAAAAACTAACCACAACCAAAGCATTAAATATATAAAAACAAACAAACTACAACCAAAGCATAAAAAAACCAAACATAACTAAACATAAAACATAAACATTAAAATCTTAAAAATGTTCTTCACTTCACTTCATTCACCATCATTGCCTTTCACCGTCCATAAATGCTCCATTAAGTCAACTTGACGGCGTTCATGAATATATGAAGATTGCATCTCCGTATATCGATCAATCATACGGTTCATGAAAAGACCATCTCTAACCAACGGTTCATGCTCCACTGGTTCTCCATTTGGACCTATTGGTTTTTCATAAATTCGGGTCAAGGCCGTGTTCATGGGATCGGGTTCGTACACCTCTTCAGCTTCGTAATCATACTCATCCTCCACAATCATGTTATGAAGGATGATGCATGTCATCATGATGCTCCTCAACACCTCCTCATCAAACATACGTGCCGCACCCCTAATGATCGCCCACCGAGCTTGGAGGATACCAAAACACCTCTCCACATCCTTTCTGTAACCTTCTTGATATGTAGCAAATAATTTTTGCTTCTGGGTTCGGGGATGCGGAAGTGATTTCACGAACGTTGTCCACCTCGGGTAGATCCCGTCAGCTAGATAATACCCATTTTGGTAGACTGTATTATTGACTTCATATGTGATTTTTGGGGCTTCTCCTCTCAAAACTTCATTGAACACCGGGGATTGACCCAGGACGTTCAAGTCATTTTGAGATCCAGCAACTTCGAAAAAGGCGTGCCAGACCCATGTATCGAAACCTGCAACGGCTTCAAGGATGATGCTTTTTTGGCCTTTCCGATTTCCGTAATCACCCTGCCAAGCAGTTGGGCAATTCTTCCATTGCCAGTGCATGCAGTCGATGCTACCAATCATTCCTGGAAACCCTCTCCGTTCGGCTTTCTGCAGAAGTCGTTGCAGGTCCCTGGGCGTGGGTCGGCGCAGGTAGTCCCTGGTGTACAGAGTTTCGACTGCATCACAAAATCTAACCAAACTCTCCAAGGAAGTGGACTTCCCCATCCGGGTAATCTCATCCACCTGATCAGCAGATGCACCGTACGCCAACATTCGTATAACAGCTGTGAACTTTTGTTCGGGAAGCAGTCCCAAAACACCAGCACAATTTCTCTTTTGAACAAAGTATTCATCATAATTGCAAATATCATGCATAATTTTATTGAACAAATGTTGTTGCATTCTATACCTCCCTCGAAAATGAACATCAGAGTACAGAGATGTTGGGATAAAATAATCTTCCATAAGATTCTTACCCCGAGAATGCCTATGTCTGTCAACATTTGGGCCACGGCCTTCATGTGAACCACGACTGCTCTGGTTTTCTTCATCAAGCATGGCCACAGCCATGACAAGTTGCTGATCTAGATCTCTCTGCGCTCTTTTGCTTGCAGCTCGTCTACGCCTTCTTTCTCTTATTTCTCGCTCTTGCCTGTCCAAGACCTCTTCCATGTCTGACATTGTGAATGGAAGATGAAATATGAAATCTAAAATATGAGAAATGAAATTTTTGAGAAGATGTAGTGTGAGAGGTTTGTGAGCTGAGCCTTTGTTTTATAGAAAAATTTAGGTCGATAGACATGACACGTGGCGCAAGTTGATAGGGTGAAAATCTTATCTGAAATTTGGAATTCAAATGAAATGTATCTGAAATGTGAAATTCAAATGAAAAGTTGAAATTCAAATGAAATTTATCTGAAATTTGAAATTCAGATGACACATGGCGCAATTTTATAGGGTGAAAATCTTAGCCGAAATTTGAAACTCGGATGAAATTTATCTGAAATTGAAATTCAAATGAAAAGTTGAAATTAAAATGAAATTTAAAACCAAATTTGAAATTCAGATGAAATTAATATGAAATTGAAAACTCGAATTTATCTGAAATTTGAAAAAAAAATTTATCTGAAATTTGAAACCGAAAATCTTATCCGAATATTTTATCAGAAAATCTCATCCGAATATATTGTCAAAATTAATTGTTTAGGTAAACAAATTTGTGAAAAAAACAAAAAATTGAATAGTACCCCCCCTTGCCCTGGCAACTGCTGGAAGTGCAACTTACTTTTTGCAAGGGCAGACACTATTCCCGTGAATAGTACCCCCCCTTGCCCCCCGCCCCCCCTTGCCATGGCAACATTTTGACTGCTGGAAATGCCCTAAGGGCAAATGGGTGGAGTTGCTCTTATTGCATATGTCCAACGATGCTTTGGTTGCAAAACATCATCTTTCAACTCAAAGCATCATTGTTTGAAGGTATCTCGTTGTTTGAGCGTGCCTTTTTAGGTACTAATTAAAGAGAGGAAAATAAAAGATAAGCATAAGGGTAGACCTCCATGTCTACCTCAATTGTGATTAATGAATTTTTACTGCCCATGTCATAATCAGAACCGTATACTTTCTAAATCATAATATAAAGATAATCTCAGTAGTCGTTTAGTAATTCATACATATCGGATAAATCAATGATTTTTGTAATAATTAAGATCATTAAACGCATAAGAAACAAAACATGATAAGAAAATCCAATTAAATACGTAATCATATTAGAGGGCCAAGACCAGATGAAGAAATCCAATTAAATACGTAATCGTAATTAGGGGCAATTTTGTCATTAGTTTTGTGCATAGATGATCTTTAAATAGTGATTTAAGAAATTAATAGTTCAAATTATGACATAAGTGCATCACAACTTGGGCGGACGTGAATTTGTTTGCATTGAGCATTTTTCCCCCTCGTGAGTACATCCTGGCAAGTGTCTATGGCAGCGATACTGAAAATCATTTAACATCCATCATCATAGATAACCTAATCATCATTGGACAATTCTGTCGGAATCAAATTACGTTTCACTCAAGTGTCACGAAATACCTATTTTATTGCATTAGCATGATCTTTTAATGTATTATTTCACAAAACTCTGCATTTTCTGACAGGATAAATGGCAAAAGCATGACTTGATGCTTCTTTTGATATATTTCAATTCCCCTTTCAAAGAAAATCCAAGAAAAAGGAGAGAGTTAGATATACTTTCTACAAGTACATTTTTTTCTTTTCTTATTGCCTTATGTTTGTTATTTCTTTTTGTACTTTTCTTCTTGAGTAGGAACATTGTGAGATGGTGGGGAAAACCAAATCTATTTTGGCTCCAGATGAAGAAAGCCTCTGCACGCATAGGATTGGTGACGGAGGAGACAAAGGAGACGTCGGCAGAGGTGGGGAGTGGAGGCAGTAGGTTTTGGTGGGACCAGAACATGAAGTTGCATGAACTGAAGTAGTACAAGACATTCTTGGAGGACCGGAGTCATTTGGTGAGTTTTTAATGATGTTTAATGACGACATTGCCCCTCATTGGTGCTTCAAGGTTTTAACGGCAAACGTCACCCAAGATACAACAATCTATTTCTACTGTCTGCCAATATGAGACTCTATTTTAGTGACAAATTTAAGACTCATGAATGGAATTAATAAAAATGATGTAGTGTACTTCTCTATTTACAAATAATGAAGAGTCAATTCCCAAAGTATGTGATTTAAGATATGCATTGTTTCAAACTTGAAGAGTCACATCTTTAAGAATTTAATTTCCATTTAATAACAGAAAATTTAATAAATTTTTCAGCAATTCCCCACAGAAATTGAAATTGGCTCAACAATATGCAAAACTAAAAATGCAAACACTTGAGAAAGTTTGATTAGAAAGATACATCACGATAGGTAGCTTTTGGCCTTGAACCGTCCCTAGTGAAATACCATTGAATTTACTTGGCTAATCAGTGAACATGATGTCTTCTGTTCAACTGTTTGTGTAAACTCAGACTATAGTACTCACACAATACCCCGCCATACACATTTTGTTCTAGGTTGTGTCTTTGTGGCCCTGAACAACTCTCGGTATTCATGAGTGCTTTGGAGGATTTAGCCTTACAAAATCATCATAGAGACGGCCCATTTCATACTCATACATGTGACTTCCTATTAGGAGTATCCCACAATACTCCACTTGAATTTCCAAACTATAGGAAAAGTTCGTTAGAGGTACAAGTCCTCAATGTTCTTGCCGACGGAAAATATAGAGAGAGAAGGAGCCTGAGTTAATGAAGTTTTGATTTTAATTTAGTAGTGGGGAGTTACATTCTACTTGTTCAACACAGTCAGATCTATTTTTGACTCTAAACAAAAAGAAATCGAACATTAAACTTATCAATTCAAATAATCGAAACATAATTCAGCTCAAAGATTCAATTCTTGCAAGCAAAAACCATCATATATTGCTTGAATTGAATCATCTAACACTCTCATGGCAGGTTTAGAAACGCAATATTGAGCATCTTCAATTTTGAAATATCAACGAAGCACAAGCTTTCTGTGAGAACTGATTTGCACAAACTAAATAAAATGTCTTATGTGACCTAAAATAAGAAGAAGATAAAAACAACCGAGTTAGACAGGGAGAGTGGGCAGTTGGTGAAGTGGCTCGAATTTGTTGGATCGTGGAGCCAAAAAAAGCTTGCCCTTTCAAGCTTATTGAACCTCAAACTATGTGAACGGGTATAGTCCATGAAAATTACATTGATTTGCATATCAGTAATTTCAGTTTCGAACTCTCATAACACTTTTGTGTGTGTGTGAGAAAGTCGCCCAGATCCAATATCATACACAGAAGTGTTTCTTCACTCATCTTGATCGAGGGTATTTCCGGCTCTTTGTGTTGCTACAGCCCACGAGTAATTATCTCCTTACATAGGCATAAGATCTATGTTTCCACATTTTCTAAATGAGTTATTTTCACTTTTTTCTTTAAGAAACTTTTCTACCAAATACCAATTAACTGATTGTATAAATGTTTGGGGAAAACAAAACCAATTAATTGTAATTTCGTGTTATTAAAAAGGTTTTTACCAATCGTTTCTGTTCAGTATCTAAATTACAATATATCCCAATTTAGTCTTTAATATAAGTTATGTCTAGTAAATTTTGTTAGAACTTACATAGTTAATTAGTAATTTAGAGCTTATATGTTTTTTTGTCATATTTGTCCTCCGCGGGAGTACATAATTGCATATTTGATATGTACTTCGTATTATATATGAAGTACACTTGTTAGTGATTGTATTTGGGTATTCATGTGTACACTTGTTTAAATTTTGATGTACAAGTATATGTACAGTTCATGTACGCATATACGGTCCGGTGTATGCGATAAATGGTTTACGATTTTAAATTTTGAATGAAAAATACAGTCAACTAACTTATTACACTACAATTATTTGCTAGTGGTGAAACAATTCTGTCATTATATAGGTCTTTAATTAGCATTGATATTTTTCACATAATATTGTCCAGATTTCTGAATATAATATCGTGTACTTTAAGATGTTTTTAGGGCATCAGAAAATCATGTGCCGGTGTATATATCTTTTTCATCCACGCCATTTCTTGTTTCATATTAATAGAGCCCATATGACGCTGCCCAAAGCCTGCAGCCCACTCAATGATGGTCTTTTTCAGGAAAGTCTGTCCTCCTCCTCAGGATTTGATTGAGATCTTGTGATCTTTGTAAGTATAGGTGTAACAAATGGGGCAAGATTTTGACCCCAAAAAAAAAACCAAATAGGGCAATATGCTTGGGATCCAAGTAAAATTTCCCATAAATAAGTAGACGACCTCTCCTGTATAATTAAATACCTTTTGCTTATTTGGGAAATAAAGTTAATCCAATTCACATGTAAAACTCTGACACTTATTTTTTGAAAACTGGTAGGTATAGTGAATTAAAAGCTTTGAAAACATTTTTGAAAGAATTTTACTTGACAACATTTTCTGCACAGCCGAGCAGAGCATAAAAGAAAATTTGGTTCAAAGTAAAAGCTTCTGAGAAGGAATGGCTGCAGGTTTAGCTTCGAAGTGTTCTCGCGGCGGTATGTGATTTTGCATTGGGATTTTTAAGTGATCTGTTCGTTTTATTTGTGTCACTTGCCCAAGTATTAGACTCTAATCTCCATTGAATTAGTGTTTTGACTGCTTGATCTGAAAAACGATATGCCCCATGTTTCAAAATTTGTTCTTTCATGTTTTTTCTGGTTCTCTCTTGCATTTTATATCTGCTTTTTGCTTACTGGCTTCGTATAATTCAAACAATACTAGTTTTCTCGAAGTATCTTGTTCATATCTCTCATCGAAAGGTGCTATTCGATAATGTCTATCAAAAGGTTTATATATCTTGTTCATATCTGTTCCATTTTATGAATTTTTTTCTGAGAGATCACAAAAACGTACGGATGTTTAGTTATCTGATCCAACATTATATCTCAGTTTCCTGGATAATTTTTAGTATTTTTTTCTGTAATTATTCTCTTCCCTATTTTACTCACTGCAATCTATTCAATCTTCTGGAAACAAACCCTAGTGGGTCGTTCATTGATGGGGGGGCTTGGCAATAACTTGTCTGGCTTATTGAGGACATCACATGATATGACATGCAGCCCTTTCTTGTCTCAGGTCAGTGTGTGCATCTGATATTTCTTTGAAGATTATAACTATGATTGGGAAATATATTCATTGAATCTTTATTAGGATTGTTTGGGTTGAAGTGAGGATCAAATCTTACTAGAAAAAATTTGCTTGGTTTTCGTACAAAATGTTTTACCGGATGTTTAAAATCTTGAATATATATTATTTTTTAGTACAATTGATAGTCTAAACTACGGGATAAGAGAATTTCTCTCACACACACACTACCACGATGCCATGGGGTTTCAAACACGAGCGGAACTACCTAGTGGGCTACACTAGGCTGTAGCCCAAGTAGCTTTTTCAAAAAGAAAATATTCAACCTATATAGCCCATTGATTGGTGATATCATATTGTGGCTTCTTGGCAGTTTCTCACATAAAGAAGTATGCAAGTTTAAAGTTCCACATAAATAAATAAATATCCTAGTATCCTAATTGGTCCCACATAATAAAGTATCCTCGATTATAATAAACTATGTCAAAATAAAAAATATACATGTGAAATTTAGCCTAGCAGCTGTCCTAAAAAAAATACATTCTCCTTTTGTATTCTTTGTTACAAGACTCATTGGTAAAATTCTTATTCCTAACTCTCCAATTTTAATATTTTCATTGATATGTCTCAATGAAATTCACTTTTTTACGAATAAGATGAAATGAAAATGTCACAAAGATATCATTTGATAGATAGGTTGATTTGCAACAAGATGGATTCATATGACAATAACAAAATATTTCAATTCTCTCAAGGATCTCAGGGCACAACTTCAATCGATACACTTTCAATTATGTTGTTAAACATATATTCATTTTGATAATATGTATTTTTTTTATTGCATCTAATATGTATTTGTTTTATGTTAAATCTTATTGGAAATTAGTCAATGTAACTATAAATTGCATGGTTTATATGATTTAATGTTATACTTTTGTTTTAGCCAAAAAATTTAGCTACCCCCACCCTTCGAAAAATTCCTGGTTCTACCATTGGTTTCGAACCCGAGACCACTAGTCTACAAGTCAAGACCTTTTTTAATTAGGCTAGATGCCATTGGCGAAATCTCAATTAGATAAAATATCAACTCGTTTATTACTTAGTATTGACAGGAGCTTGATTTGTTGTTTTTGTGCACTTTTACAGCAGCAAAGGACCTTCATACAGATGGGGACTATTCTCCAAGTCGCAGACAACTCAGGGGCGAAAAAGGTGAGGTGCATACAAGCTTTGAATGCAAGCAAGAAGGGGGCAAGATTGGGAGACACAATCGTTGCATCAATAACGGAGGCACATCATTTCAATGCCGAGATCGAGCGAAAACATCAGAAAGAAGAGAAGAAGAAAATAACGGGTAAAGGAGCCGTGGTGTATGCCGTGGTTGTTCGTGCTGCCATGCAACGAGGCCGTTGTGATGGGAGCGAGGTCAAGTTTGATGACAATGCTGTGGTGCTTGTTGACAAGAATAGTAGGCAGCCGCTTGGGACTAGAGTATTTGGACCCGTCCCGCATGAGTTGAGGAAGAAAAAGCATCTGAAGATTCTTAGTTTGGCGCAGCATGTTGCCTGAAGTCATGATGCACAATGGGACGCAGGAACGCTTATATCTCAAGCAATGAGGTGTTAAATCGGAATAAAGTTTGGTAATCACGATTTGGCTTGAATTTAGAATATTGAACATATTGGCCAAGGATTTGTTCATTGCAAAATTCATGATCAAAATTCCCAGCAAAATTCATGGCTTACTAATTCCACGAGTAAAAGCCACAAGTTCATTGCGAGGATAGATATAAACAAAAGTATTACAATCAGAAATAGAAATTTTAGAATGCATACATGGATTCCTAAATATGCTAAACCCTTTGATAGATCAACCAATTGGGGTGAACACAACATACCATGAAGCTTTTATTATTCATCAATAGAGATGAATTGTTTGTAAAGAAGAGAGAATCAGAGATTTAGCGTAAGGGGGGTAAATCATGGACAAATTTTGATAATATCAGCTGTAAAAGACATCTTAAAACCACAGTAAACTAAGCGACGAGCAATTGAATGCGCGAGAATCATAATACTGAAAATAAGACTCAAATAATGAAATGTTGTCTAAATGTTTCTTCAGAACACAATTCATAGTGTGCCTCTTGTGGTAAACACATTCATGGAAGTTAAATTGCAGTACCACCATCCACATCTCATACAGAAAATACAGCACAACAGAGCACATGTTTGGAGTTTCACTCTTGAATGACTCTTTGGTAGTTTCAAAATTCAAGTTCATTCCTTTCCAAAATCGGCATTGTAGTGCGCACTAGATTCAAGCTTCTTGGCTTCATTTAATTTTCGTACAGCCTGAAACATTATAAAATATTTATAAATTTAGAACCAAGATGTGCACAACTGATTATTTGTATACACAGTGCGCAAGGAGTAAGACAGATATAACTAAGCCAGCAAAATTTATGTACAGAAACAAAAATTGATGCCACTTTGCATTAGATAAACATCTGACCCTAATGGCAGAGTCTTACTTATTTCCCTTTATTAAGGAATAGGTATTGGGTTCGATGACTCCTAAACAAGTCAGTACTCAAAACCCCATAGATGATTGACCCAGCCAAGCCATTGGACCCAAAAATAGAAAAAAGGTACCTCAGATGCACTAATGTATTTTTCTTGAACTTGTAAATTCTTCGTAAGATCTAAAGTGATTACTTTTCCATAGTTAACAAAAAGTAAGTTAAAGCATATAAAGTGTATCCCGAGGCTATCTTCAGGGGTCTATGGTAATGCAGCTCCTAAACAGATTTGTGACCCAGAACAACATGAAGCAGACAACCCTAACCACAGCCCTATATATTCTTTGATTTCATCTTTAGTTGTTTGAACAATGATATGACATCAGTGACTGTTAACATTGGATTTACAATAATTTTCGGGAATGGACATCACTGATTGTTAACATGGAAGCAAGCACATAACTGACACCATAGCCCATGTAGTTTGAAAGCTCATTTCCGTCTCAGAGTTCACCATTGTTTAACAGAATCTAAAGGCAATACTGTATTCAACACGTTACCTTCATGAAATCTTCATGGATGACATAATCCCTCTCAGCACGGATCGCAGACATCCCAGCTTCAGTGCAAACGTTCCGGAGATCAGCTCCATTAAAGCCCTAAAACGAAGACATTGAAATCATTTAGGTAAAGGATGTAAATAAATCCGTTCGATACAGACAACTATATCATGCTCACCTCAGCAAGCTTCACGACAGCTTCATAATCAATTTCACCATGTTTCGCTATCCCAGCAGCATGGATCTTGAGAATTTCCATTCTTGATTGCTCATTAGGCAATGGGATCTCTATCTTGCGGTCTAGACGGCCCGGGCGGAGAAGCGCAGGATCTAGGACATCAGGTCTATTGGTTGCCATGATCATTTTCACCTAATAAATGAAATTAATCAACTTCCATCATCCATGCAAAGACATGATGTACTTATATCCATCGTGGGTTTGTAAAAGCATGACCAGATAAACATGCTTACATCTGTTTGTTATGATCAAACCAAATAAATCAGGCTTGATCTAAATGAAAATATACATACCTTTCCAAGCTGATCAAATCCATCTAACTGGTTAAGCAACTCCATGAGTGTTCGCTGAATTTCACGGTCTGCACTGGTCCCTTCACTGAAACGCCGTCCACCAATAGCATCGATCTCATCCATAAAAATGATACAAGGCTAGACACAAAGTCAAAAAATTAGGTATGCTTTTAAACATTAATGTGTAATGTGAAAGTGCTCAATAAAATTCAAAGTTCCAACCTGGTGATCACGGGCATAACCAAACATTTCCCTTATCAATCTCGCACTCTCACCAATATACTTGTCAATAATGGCACTTGACACAACCTAGACTCAGGGATAATAACATCAAATATCAAAGATGTGTTCAAACAACTAAAGTCCTTTTTAAAAAAAAAGTAATGGAAGATATAGCAGGAAAACTTAGAACTTCATACAGAAGCTGCTATAGACAAGGATAACTTACCTTTAAAAAGTTAGCATCTATATTGCTAGCAATTGCTCTGGCTAGTAATGTCTTCCCTGTTCCCGGAGGTCCATACAGAAGAACACCCTGGAACAATTTAAAAACAAAAAGAAAAGGAAAGTTCCATGTGAAAATTCTACATTTCTAGGTTTCTAAGGTAAGCATATCAGGTTGTGGAAAATATCGAACATGAGAAACTATATATAAATTACCTTGGGAGGTTTGATCCCCACTCTGAGGAAGAGCTCAGGATTCATTAAAGGCAGTTCAATAGATTCCCTGAGCTCTCGGATCTGATCTGATAGTCCTCCCACAGCGGAGTAGCTAACATTACCAGGATCTTCATGAAGCATGTTATATACAACTGGGTCAACCTGACAACCAAAATATGAAAGAATGTTCATGAGTAGACGAATAAAATGTGAAACTTAATAATTAAGAATCAGATTATCATTACTTCTCTGGGAAGAGCTCGCATGATAGTCAAAGTAGTCATATCCAAAACAACCCGAGTGCCAGCTGTTAGTTTTTCCTTGTCAACTTTACTGCGACAGCCAACTACATACCTTGGGCCACTACTTGCCTTCACTATCACTGAGGCAATAAAAACAATACAAATTTATAAATAAACCCAATCCTAGGCATGTATTTATAAAAAAACCCAAGTACTATTTAAACATAGAAACACACCCAAAATCAACAATTGTATATTTTTTGGGTGTGTTTATAAATGGATTTTGAGTGTGTGTAATGATGGGTTTTGGGTGTGTTTATAAAGTGTTTTGGGTGTTGGGTTTTTTTATAATTTTAGCCCCCATTTTGGGAGTTTCATCATTATTTTGGCAGGCAGTTCTCAAACACAGAGAAGCACTAACAAAACTATACTCGCTGAAAATTACCATTCTTGTTAAGATGGTTTCGAACAATTAAGTTTTACACCAAGAAACAAGTATGAACCAAAGTAAATAGTGTGGTAAAGAAACGAATTTACTTACAGCGTTCATTATCGAGAGGCCTGAGAACTTCGCCTATAATTTGCCCAACACTTTGAAGGGACTTCAAATCATCTTCAGTTTTCCCAAATTCTTTCTTTGCGGCCCGCAAGTTATCTCTCACTGCACACCATCCCATTGCAAAAACAAAAAGAAGAAGAAAAAAAATCAATTGCAACCCAACTCTTGAAACTAACTAAATTTCTCAATTTATTGCAGCAAACACCATATGCATAACACAACAGAAAGCCCCCAAAACCACATCAAACAAAAACAGAATTGAATCGCTCAATTTGAAAATCAGAATCGAAACCCTAGCAAAGCGAACGAAACTAAAGCATACTAATTTGGGCAATCCTTGAGTTAGTTGCAAAAGAGGGATTAGGGTTTGGGAGTAAATCTGACCTGCGCGAACTCGGGAGTCGAGCTCCTTGTGCTGGAGTAGCCGTTTGCGGTAGTCGGCAACCGCCGTGCGACGTCGTACTACGTCCTCTGCCTCGGTCGTCATCGCAGCGGTAGGAGGAGAAGGAGGAGAAGTGAGCAGAAACGAGAGAGTGGGGTTTCGTAATGAGAGATGGAAGAAGAAATCTAAGCTGGGCAGAGCTATTTGTATTTGTATTTGTATTGTCAGGCAAGCAAGCTACTCATTTTTTCCCTTTACTTTTTGGAACACGATTAAAACTAAAACTAAAACTAAAAATTTAATAGATGGGTATATCTAAGTATTATTGTTCACATATTACTCTTTGGCTCTAGATCTAAATTGAAAAATTTTACTATTTTACTAAACACATTTTCTCTATAATATTCAGAAATATTCTTTTAAAAAATATATTTGTTTATTTAAAAACTTAACAATAAAGAAGATCAACAGTACCCGACGGATGACAATGGGTCGAATTGGGGGTGGGTATGCCACTTCCATCCCCATCCATGTTAAGCTTTTTTCCCTCATCCCTGTCTTCATACTCGCAATATTTATATCAGGGATTCTCCATCCTCACCTTATTTGGGAAATGGATTCCCCGACCTGCCCCATTACGGAAAAATAAAAAAACAATATATAACTACTTTGTTCAAAAAAAAAGTATTAAGGCAAGATAATGAATATATATAATATACTTATAAGACAATATAAGAATGTTTATATATGTACTAGAAGTTAACTAAATAAATAAGTAGTGTGGCTTAAAATTTGTATAAATTATTTAAGTATATAATATAATAATATAAAATATAAAGCTTAGTCGTACAATCACTTTAATAGCATATTTATATAGAAATGAGCGCAATGTAAATTAGTTTCATTTTCCTCCATAAATCATACGGATGAAAAATGTATAAGGCAGTCAACATGGTTTTGATTTGGGAGTTGAAGGAAGAGGGTCTAGTACCATATTTAGACAACCATTAGCTAATAATATATAAAGTTTGAATGATATTGAGGAGAAAGACGCAAAACTGCCCATCTGTATTTTGTTAACTTATAATAAAGTTAGATTTGGTATTTAATTAGCCACTAAATTGGGACACATCATGAAATGCAGAGGAAACAATTTAATCAAATTTGTTAGCAGAGAGAGATTGAAGATGGTATATTTAAGCCACAAACATGCAGGGACTTGGAAGATTAAGAACCAGATTAATGAAAGACTTTGAATATCACACACAGTCAGCTGCACTAAACATCAAAACCCTATTTTGGATGCAAATTAACAGAGAAGGTGTGTGTGTGTGTGTGTGTGTGTGAGAGAGAGAGAGGTTGAAATCTTGTTTGACGAATTCAAAGTTAGTGCAGCCGTTAATTCAAAGTAACTGTGAGTCCAACCGCTAATTCTTTTCAAATCCTAAAAAAAGAAACCAAAACAAACAAAAACTTTCAAAGCAAAAATCTTTATCCACAAACATTGCCTCTTTCTTGGGAATTCACAACCTATCTAGGTTGTCGTCTCCTTCCCTCCACTTATAACCAAGGAAAAGAGTAACGAACCATTTGAAAAAAGAGGAAAAAAAAGTACCAATTAGAGTTAGTTTCAGGCCCCTTCTTCAACTACATTTGCCAACCCTTTTCTGCTCTCAAACCTCCTCACCCAGGAGGGATGGAGATAGAAAAAAAAGGAACAAAACTAAACCGCAATCTTTTTCTATCCTCCTTGCCATCACCATTTTCGACACCGATGGCTCTCCTCCTGGTCCTTCTCTTTACCCTCTTTGCCTCCCCATCCTTGGTCTTCTCTGCCTCCACGCCTCCCTTTACTCCCCAGGACAACTTCCTCATCGACTGCGGCGCCACAAACAAGGCCACCCTACCTGATGGCAGAGCCTTCAAAACCGAAGCAGAATCGGGACAACTATTGAAGGCAGAGGATGACAATAAAGCCTTTGTTGACAAAGCAGATGTGCCTTCACCTCTGTATTTGTCTGCAAGGATTTTCAAGAGCGATGCCACTTATTCTTTCCACATGGCTAGGCCTGGCTGGCATTGGGTTCGCCTCCATTTCTACCCGGTGACCAACTCGGTGTTCGATCTTCAGAAGGCCACCTTCAATGTCTTGACGGATAAGTACACTCTGCTGCACAACTTCAATATCAATCAGAACAAGAACAACGACACCAAGAACCAAGTTTTTCTCAAGGAGTACCTCTTGAACATAACCAATCAGCAATTCTCCATCAAGTTCTCTCCAATGAAGAACTCCGCGGCGTTCATCAATGCGATAGAGGTGGTTTCAGCTCCTGATAATCTGATCACAGACACAGCTAACAACCTTCAGCCAACCACCCAGTTTCAAGGGATGTCCAAATTCGGGTATGAAACAATGTACAGGGTTAACATGGGAGGACCTCTTATTACGTCAGCAAACGACACATTGGGAAGGTCATGGTTGCCTGATGATGCATACATTAAGTCCAAAAACATGGCCAAGGAGGTGTCGGTTGGGACTTCTACGGTCAAGTACCCCGATGGAGTAACCCCGCAAATCGCGCCACCAACTGTGTATGCAACCACTGTGCAGATGGCTGATGCTGCTGTTAGCGGTCAGAACTTCAACATAACATGGAATTTCCAGGCCACAAATGCTTTCGGGTACCTAATTCGGTTGCATTTCTGTGACATTGTGAGCAAGTCACTTGGCAACCTCTACTTCAATGTGTACATTAATGGGAACATGGCAATAAGTGATTTGGATTTGTCACACACAGTCAACGGTTTGGCAATTCCATACTACAAGGACGTTGTGGTGAATTCTTCCTTGATATCTGATGGACTATCTGTCCAGATTGGTCCATCCAGAATGGACAATAGCGCTCCCAACGCCATTTTGAACGGTCTTGAGGTTATGAAGATGAGCAATTCCGTGGACAGTTTGGATGGCGAATTCGGGGTTGATGGAAAGAAAGAGGAATCAGGTAGCAGTGGGGCTCGCAGAGGAGCAGTGGCTGCAGTTGGGTTTGGTTTGATGTTCGGAGCCTTCGTGGGGCTTGGAGCAATGGTTTACAAATGGCGAAAGAGGCCTCAAGATTGGCAAAAGAGGAACAGCTTCTCTTCTTGGCTACTCCCTGTCCATGCCGGAGACAATAGCTTCATGTCAAGCAAGAACTCAATAGGGTCTCACAAGAGCAACATGTACAACTCGGCATTAGGCCTTGGCCGGTACTTTACTTTCCAGGAGTTGCAGGAAGCTACCAACAACTTCGATTCGAGTAAGATCATTGGTGTTGGTGGATTCGGCAATGTGTATATTGGTGTGATTGATGACGAGACTACTGTGGCGGTCAAGCGAGGAAACCCTCAATCTGAACAAGGCATTACAGAGTTCCAGACCGAGATCCAGATGTTGTCCAAGCTAAGGCACAGGCATTTGGTGTCACTAATTGGCTATTGTGACGAAAACTCGGAGATGATATTGGTTTACGAGTACATGTCCAATGGACCTTTCCGTGACCATCTGTATGGCAAGAACTTGGCGCCATTGACATGGAAGCAGAGACTAGATATCTGCATTGGAGCAGCTCGTGGGCTACACTACCTTCACACAGGGACAGCACAAGGAATCATCCACCGCGACGTCAAGACCACAAACATACTGCTTGATGATCAATTCACTGCCAAGGTAGCTGATTTTGGTCTGTCGAAAGACGCAACAATGGGGCAGAACCATGTCAGCACTGCAGTGAAAGGAAGCTTTGGGTACTTAGACCCTGAGTACTTCAGGAGGCAGCAATTGACAGACAAGTCTGATGTATACTCATTTGGGGTTGTTATGCTTGAGGCACTTTGCGCTAGGCCTGCTATCAACCCTGCACTTCCTAGAGAGCAAGTAAACTTGGCTGACTGGGGAATGCAATGGAAGAGGAAGGACCTACTTGAAAAGATCATTGATCCTCTTCTCGCAGACTCCATCAACCCTGAATCCATGAAGAAGTTTGCTGAGGCTGCTGAGAAGTGCTTGGCAGAACATGGTGTGGACAGGCCTACAATGGGAGATGTGTTGTGGAACTTGGAGTATGCTCTGCAGCTTCAAGAGGCATTCACTCAAGGAAAGGCTGATGATGATAGTACCAACAGCATCGCACCGCCTTCCACTGAGGCAGTCGCCTCCCCTGCTCCTACTTCTGCTGTTGTGCCTCCTACTATTGCTCCTACTACTGCCTCCAACTCTGCTAACCGCCCGGCTCCCATCCCGGAAGGCGATGAGGGTTCAGCTGAAGCTCACACCATCAATGACCAATCCGGAACGGATATATTTGCTCAATTTTCAAATCTCAATGGTAGGTAAAGTTTGAAAATTTGGTTCACAAATTGAAAGATATATATGGTCTAGAAAAACAAATTTGTAATTTGTGAGGGGGTTATGGTTTCATGTTCGCAAACAAAACTCTTTTTAAAATTTATACAATATGATGCACTGGTTTGAGGGATTTATACAATTGTAGTAGTACCAATAATCCTATACATATTTCAGTGTAATATATTTTGTAATTTATCTTTATTTATTAGCATAGCTGCAAAGTTAGACTTTGAATATTTATTATGTATAGTCACATATATGTGATTTGCAAGTTACTTTTGCTGCAATCACAGGTGGCAAAGTAAAATTGTAGGCTGCTTAGCATTGATTTCAATCCAAGAAATAAAACTTGATGCTGTATATGGCAATAATATATGCAAGAAAGATCTAGAATTTGTCTCTTCCCAATTGAGAAGAAGAACCAAATGTTTATCAAACAACTTTGAGCAATGCCTTTGAACCACCACATGACCTACATTCATTCCTTTATCAAACAATTGGCCAGCCCTAGATGATTGAGGTGTTCAATTAAGCCTCTCTTCAATATTGCACACTACAAAAATAACTAGTATGTAAAAATAGGGCAGCTATACTTACCACGGGTTTAATTGTAGCAATAGTCTCTTAATTATAGTATGAATTGCATTTTGTAGTCTCTGGATCCGGATTTGGTGTCATCTTATGCTCTTATCCCTTTCCTTGAATTGAAATTTATTTTTTTTTTTTTTTTTTTTTTTTTTTTTTTTTTTTTTATATACTGGAATAACAATACCAGGGCAAAATGCCAAGTTACAAAGCAAGAATCCGAAGCTAACAAACAATCGCGACCAGAAAAACAGAGCAGACAAATACAAAGACTAGAGAAAACACAGGTATAAGACAACCCAACCAACCAGTGGTGGCATTGTCAAATTCCTCACTAGTCCCAAACTAATAATCGGGTGGACAAGGTAACCCATCCTTACTAAGAATGCCGACCAGCGAGGATGGGGTTCTATTGACCCAAAAAGATAGGCTCATCCTCAACATTGCTATCCTGGCTAAGTGGTCTGCTGCCAGCTTTGCGGTTCTGGGAACCCAAGACCAACTACACTCCCTGAATTCTGCATGAATCTCTTTTATCAATGTGAGCACATGATACACATGCCACCTGCCTCTTAAAATGGACCTTTGAGGAGCATTGATAATCTCCCTGGAGTCTGATTCCATTACAATGTGAGCACAACCTTGTTGCTTGGCAAATTTGCACCCCTCCAACACAGCCAAAGTTTCATAGAGTAAGGCGGAATCATCTATAATTGGAAGAGCCCCACCTGCCACAAAATCCCCAAGGCACTATGAAAGACTATTCCCACACCTGCTTGTTGAACAGTAGATCGCCATAAAGCGTCTACATTAACTTTAATGATACTACTTGGGGGAGGAGACCACAACTTGGGTGGTTTATACACTTAAGATGCACCATTTCGACGTTGATTGAGGGAACGATGAACCTCCAAAAAATCGCCACAAGAGGTTTGGATTGCCCTCATAACTGAGAGAGGATGTGGTATGTCCTTGCAAGTGCACAAGATTGATGTAGTATAGCGTTTGACAAGTCCAAGTATCGTTCCCACGAGGATTCCAAATTAATCTAATACTCGAATACCTAAATTAAATCTAACTGACACGCAAGTAAATTTGTAGAGATTGTTGTTGTGAAGGTTTATGAAACAAACAAGAAATTAATCAAGGCAATTAAGAATTGAAACGTTGACTTTTAAAGATTGAAAAAAGAAGATGAAGGTCTAGGGTTTCGGAATCAACCACAAGCAATCCAAGTTAGATTTCAATGCATTCAATAGATTCCTTCGATTCTTTAGATGATAATTCCCGTATCTAAGTCCTTTTCAGGCACTTAAACCATAGTTTTCCTTAAGTGTAAGATTCTTTTCTAGTTCAGACAAAGATCATATACCCAATCCAGCAATCTATCCTGGTTAAGGCATAAATTTAACAAGTTGAATTCATTACGTTCTAGAAAACAAGGGACCAAGCAAACCATTATTCTTCGTCAAGCAATAATGTAATTCACCACACTTAATCACAAGAAGCTAATTGAATTATATTGCGAGTTCTGCCTCAAATTCATCTTCCAATTTACTAGATGCAAAGCCCTAAGGTGATCAATCAAAGAACTTAAACAAATAGCAACAATTGAAATAATGATTAAACATTCATCTAAAAGAAACTTAGAATCCATTAAATATCATTAAAAATCATAACTATCCATGCTCGGGCGTCATCCTCGCCCTAGAGAATAATTTAGTTACTTATGTTCAAAGAAAACATAATTGAAAAACTAAATAACATAAAATAAAACTTATGGATTGTGACAATGCTTGAGAACTTGACGATGGCAGTGACTCTTTGACTCTCCTTCAAATTCCAGCATCCCCCAGAACCCTATTTTCTGGTCTTCTTTAAATAAGGAACAAATCCTCTTTTGACTTGGTAACTATGTTTTTCTAGTTTGGCTTCAATTGTCTTTGATGAGTTGGCATCCAAAATCCTACTAAATATAGGATCAGACTTCAGAAAATAACTCCACATCCTTGTAGACACTGTCCAAATGTCAAGGATTGGACTTCAAATGGATTATTTTGCAAAACCCGCAAAACACATTCTGCCCGAACTGTCTGTACTAAAACGGCCACAACTCTCTCCACACAAGTCCAAATCACGAACCGTAAAATTCTACAGAAAGCTAACATCCATATCTTTCCAACGATATAAGGCTCAACATCTGGTTCGCTCTGAGGAAGTACAGTATATTCTGTCAAGTTGACTGTTCTGCACAGCACATTATATTTCAATCCCAAAATTGCTCCTTTTGCTTGCTTTTCCATCTTTACTCTTCAAACCTAGTAAAATACAAAACTAAGTAAAAATGGACTAAACTCACTCAAGAACATAGCAAGAATCTAATATAAAGATAATAAAAATGTACAAAATAATGGTTATATCAGGATGCGGGGCCTTATGCTCCATAACAGCTTTGCAACGGGCTTTCCAAATGTGCCAGCATGTGTGGGCTTTCCAAATGTGCCCTCATCCAGTCACACTTAGAACCCCCTCCTTTGTGATTGACATGAACCATCTATCCATACTTGTGATCGCTCCCTTGTCTATCTTGATATTCAATTGGCCACCAAACCACACAGGTTCAACCCAAGGACATATTAAAAGCATGTGTTCAACAGATTTGGAAAATTCACCGCAAATAGAGCAAATAGGGGAGGTGCCCATTTTTCGCCGAAATAAGTTATCCTTCGTGGCAATTCCATTCAGACAGCTCTCCAAATAAAATTACAAATTTTCGGGGGAGCTTTTATTCACCAAACAAACTTCCTGCAAACCGCATCAACATTGCGGGAGGATGAAGGTCTATTTTGCTGTCTAGTAATTAAGGAGCTATGCAGCCAGCGATACCCAAATTTTATAGAGTAGCATCCATTCTTTTTGAAAGGCCACACTAGTCTATCTTTATTCCTCGTCCCTGCAAATTTAATCTTGGCAATGGCTTCAGCGGCTTTATTATCAATCAGGTGCCAAATTGGGTTAAGGTCCTAATTACGGGTATTAAAATTAATAATGATTAATAATGGAATTAACTTTTCGCTCTAAATTCACCATACCATTAGCCACATGTTGCAGCCTTAAACCCTTAAAACCTGGAATCCAATTATCAACCCATAGTCCAACCTGAGAACCATCAAAAACCTACTAGTGAGCGCATTGCAACAGAATATCTCTCCCCTGCAGTAAACTCGGCCACGCTCAGGAAGCCTGACTACCCTTTCTGACATGAAGAAAATTTTCATTTGGGAAATAAAAACTCTTCAAAGTTTTGGTCCAAAGAAAGTCAGGTTCGCCGAAATAAGTCATTACTTAGCTATCAACGCCAAATTAAATTCATGAAGGTCACGGAAGCTCATACTGCTAGACTGTTTTGAGAGATCCAAAGTGTATCCTTTTCTCATTTCCACTGTATCCCCACCAGAAATTTGACATTAACGAATCAATTTCCTTACATATTTTGGAAGGGAACATAAAGATGTGCATTGGATAAGCTGGAACCGCTTGAACCACTACTTTCAACATAACCTCATGACCTACATGTGAAAGAAGTTGTTGTTTCCAACCTTAGATTTTAGACATAATCCTCTCCTTAATGTACATCAGTGCCTCACGCTTTGAGTGGCCCCAAATAGTAGGGAGATTGAGATACCTCCCAGGATCATCAACCTGTGGCATCCCAAAGACTATGGCAGAGACCCTGGCCCAAATTTGACGGAGTATTGGGGCAGAAGAAGATAGTTGATTTGGCCAGACTAATTTGTCGTCCAGATGCTCCACAATAGGCATTTAAAGCATGCACCATGTTTGTACAATTCTGCTATGAGGCCCTTAAGAAAATTAAAATATCATCAGCACACATGTGTAATTGGTACTTAGGTGAGGATGGTAAACTAAAACCCTTAATGAATAGAAACAGACACGCGGAAGACAAACACCAAGGATTCCAAACCAATATGAGACTTAAATAAATCTTAGCTACAAAGCTTATGAATGCTGACTAATCAAACCAAGCACATTCAAACGCAATAATCATACCCTTGAAAAACTAGAAGAACACTACGTGACAACCTAGGCATCCCATGTGCTAGCAACAACTAGAGTGATAGGTTTGTGAACATTCATCAACATTTCAGATAATAATACATACAATCTGACTAGACATAAAAACCAGAGAATCACATTATAAATCTTTACCTAGAAGCCCACCATTGGGAAAAACTAGGGGTCATCGATCCAACTAGGCAATCCACTAACAAGAAGAAATAGTTACAGAGATCAACATATACAACTCAAGTTTCCTAGTTCTATAAAGGAGCAGCTATACCTCTCCAAGCTATCTTCTTCTTCTCAGCAACGTTGCTTGCAGCTAGTCAATCATGACAATGGCAACTTCATCCTTCAACTCAGACATCTCATGGCACCAGCAACACAACACTACTCAATCAAATGCAGTGATGATAATTTAGATTTAAGAAGGATCAATTTTCTCAAGAAACCATTCTTGGAGAAAATCAATCTTAAAATCTAAACTCTAGATCTAAATTATGTGTATGATTTAGAATTTATAGAAGTTGATTTAGTGAGCAAGAAACTGGTTTTTCCTAAAATCTCATAAATGCAACCTCATGGCCCTCAACAAAGATTATGCATGCAAACTTTCCAAAAAGTGCCAGTGAATGTTTTTCTACGAGGTGACGGCTGATTATCATAAATGCCTCTTTTATAGTAAGGAGAAAGAAAGGTTGCCCCGGGACAAGACCTACATATGTCAACGGTGTAATGGCTATCAAATAAGACAAAGAGAATATTTCTAGACATAAGTGTAAAGGCTGGCAGAAAACGGTAAACTTGTACCATCCTTATGACTGGTCATTAAAAATGGACCAACAGCACAGAATGAAATGCAATGCATGATTTTACCTTTATTTAGTAATGCCAAAAGCTTTCAGTTGAGGAGCAGGCAACGCTTTGTGAGAGGAGTAGACAATCGCTTTCTGTGAGGACCACTTTAAGCCAACAACTTTAGTCTAATCCTAATACTCTTTGAGCAACTTATTACAAGATGTTAATGGTGTCAAGGAAAGCTAAAAAACTAATTAAAATTAAAACCTTACAAACTCCCCCTTTTTGGTTTTCCTTGACCAAAAATTATTTTAACATAACCTATGAGCGACTAACCCAACCATTAAGGCAAACACCATAATAACCTGCAAGACAAACACAATCTCGACTAGCCCATATCTCATTTTCCACCTCACTATGGACCCACCTTCACCCTTTGCGACCGATGGTCCTATCTTTGGCCTCGCCAGCAGAGCAAACCTCGCTGCACCGCCCAACACACCCTGAGTGGAAACGCCAGGTCTGCATAACACCCTGCAGTGGGAAATGGCGAAAATGCAGGAACACAACAACATCATTTCCTCCAAACTGGACGACACCCAGAAACAGCTTCACGAGCAGCAATCACACTCGGCCCAACTGCAGGATGGTTTGGAACAGACCCTGCAGCTTCGCCATGAGCAATCACTCAAAAGCGTACCGAAGCCTAGCGAACAGGAGAGAGGAAAACAACCAGCCATGGGCGGGCCATCAGTCTCCCGAAGGCTGTTTGTGCCCTCTCCAGAGGAACGCCACCGAGAATATCAAGTTTACTCCGACTGTCGTGACAGACTCAACTATCTAGAGTACGGAACGGCGGACTTCCAGATTCCGGTCCAAGTGAAACTCAATTATCAACACCTGGACGATTCGCCTACAGTACGACGCGATCGGTCTAGAAGAAACAGACGAATCTGACTACATTCCGACCTCTCCTGGAACGACGATCTCATGCCGATCGGCAACATCAGGATCATCCCAACGAGAACACCGATCAGCCAAAGAGAGAGATCGGCAGAAAAGAGGTCCCGTCAGAAACTCCGACCAAGCGGCGGGCCGCGAAACACAAAGACACGACGTTCGCCTTCCAACTAGCCCTCAGACGTCAGAACCTTTCTACAACAACCTCCCTCGTACCGATCCCACCATCCGCCTCCTCCTTCAAAAATTCAACCGGATCGAGGAAGAACAAAACTAGATTTGAACACCAACCTAGGGAAAGGTACAGCTAGGGCCGTTCGCCAGCCAAATCCAAATCTACTGACGTGAGAAGGAGGTCTTGGCACTCCGAATATCATTCTACACAGGAGTAGAAGATCTTGTGACACACATTCATACCTTCCAATCGGCCCTGGGTTGCAAAGGGCTCACCGATGAAGGCTAGTGTCTACTATTTCCATACACCTTGGCCTGAGCAGCCCTGAATTGGTTCTATCGGTTGGAGCCAGGTACGGTAGACTCTTTCGATCAATTAAAACAAACTTTCCTCAATCATTTTATAACACAGATCGATCGTCTTTACTCTGCTGACGATCTTTACACCATTCGGCAAGAAGACGACGAGCCTCTCCGGGAGTACGCAGCCAGATTCAACCATTAATACTCTCGATGTCCAAAGATCGACGATCGAGCAGCCTTTGGCGCTTTCAAAAGTGGCCTCAGAGCATCTCAACTTCACTATCTGGTCCACAACAACAATTAGACCACCTATGGCGAATTGATGGAACATGCAGCCATTCACGCAAAGACGGAACACTTCAACTCCAAAGAGGTGCCTTTGGCACCTCCCTGCCCAACGATGAACGTCGGTCAAGCCCCAGAACCAACCTATGACGGTGTCCCGCCACACCAAATTACAAATCCAGCTCCCTATCGAACGGCACCTACCGTGTCTGCTCCTTACACAACAGGAGACAAGCGAATGGACGAATTTCAGGGTTGGCAGGACGGAGGTATACGCAATAAGGAGCCGAGTGACCAAGTCGATTTTCAAAACCTAAAAAGGTCCCGACCAGAAGAAGTCTTTACCTCGATCAACTCAACTTACGAACATGTCCTCATGGCCGAAAACCAGATGATTCCGAAGCCAAACAGCCGGAAGCTCCCTAGACAGGTCGACAAAGATACCGGAGTATTCTCCTGCTACCACCAATACAATGGCCACGATACCGAATCATGCATCGCCCTCCGAAAAATTGTTGAAAGCGTGATCAATGAAGGCAAACTAGACCAATATCTAAATACACATCCGGCCCCCGAGAAACCAGGCAATCTATAGATCAACATGATCAGCGGCGGTACACCGATTGTTGATTCTAGCAACCAGTTTGTCAAAAATTATGTACGTGTCGTTCGGCGCCCACATATCCTCAGCCTCACTAAAGGGCGCAATAGGAAAATCTGGCAAATCAGATGGGAACCCATAACCTACTCCGAGGAAGAGGAGAAGGGCATCATTTTTCCCCACTCCGATCCCATGATTGTTCGGGCCAACATTGCTGATTTTGACGTAGGCCGAATCCTCGTCGACACTGAAAGTTCGATAAACGAACTATTTACCGATGACTTCGCGGGCCTAGGAATCAAACACTAAAGCCTCAACAGGGATATCAACCCCCTTATAAGCTTTTCAAGTGATGTTGTGGAGCCGATTGGAAGCATCCAACTCCCCCTTGCCATTGACACCAGCCCCAGAAGGACGTTCGTCTACACTCATTTCTTAGTGGTCAACTGTCTAACAGCTTATAACGTCATCATCGGTAGGCCTGCCCTCACCCGAATGAAGGCCATATTGTCACCACATATGTTGCTGCTAAAATTCCCAATGCACTATGGTATAAGCCAAGTACGAGGGGACTCGACAACCCGGATATCGGAACGAAAAACACTTAAATCCCTAGCCGTTTCCAGTTTGACCATGCCGAACGGCAGGGGAAGGTCTGAGCGTCCTGACGACCCCCGGGACACAGGCGTCACGCCGCAAACTCTACCTATCGAAGAACTAGAAACGATATCCATTTTCGACACACAAAAGGACCGGCAGGTCAGGATCGGCACCTCCCTTAGTCCGTCTCTTCGGACCAAGTTCATAGCCTTTCTGCGGGCCAATTTGGAAGTTTTTGCCTAGTCCTACAACGACATGCATGGCATCTCCCCGGATGTCATCTGTCACAAACTCAGCATCTCCCCTTCTTTCAAACCGATTCGACAGAATAGACGGTCCTATGATACCGAACGGTATGAAGCAATGAAGATCGAAGTCGACAAACTTCAAGCGATCGGGTTCATCCGTGAGGTAACTTACCCTATCTGGCTCGCTAATTTGGTTTTAGTAAAAAAAATCTAGTGGAGCTTGGCGAATGTGAGAGGATTATACGAATATAAACAAGGCATGTCCAAAGGATAGTTTCCCACTACCAAGAATCGATCAACTGGTGGATGCCACAGCCGGCCACGAGCTCCTCAGCTTTATGGACACCTATTCGGGCTACAACAAGATCTTCATGCATCCTGCCAATCGCAAACATGCGGCATTTATCACCGATAGAGGTCTCTACTGCTACAACGTTATGCCTTTCGGCTTGAAGAATGCGGGGGCAACATATCAACGCCTAGTTAACAAAATATTTGCCGAACTCATTAGCACTTCGATGGAAGTCTACGTAGACGACATGCTAGTCAAAAGCAGGACTGCCGACGATCATCTTCAGAATCTCTCCCTCATGTTCGGCACCCTAAAAAAGTACAACATGCGCCCGAACCCAAGCAAGTGCGCATTCGGCGTCTCTTCCGACAAATTCCTGGGCCTCATGACTGCGAGGCATCGAAGCTAATCCTGACAAAATTCAGGCGTTACTAGACATGTAGATCCCAAAGACGAAGAAGAATGTTCAAAGCCTCACTGGCCAAGTCGTCGCCTTGGCCCACTTCATATCCAAAGCCACCAACTGATGTGCCTCATTCTTCAAAGCTCTCAAAGGGAGTAAACGGTAGGTAATTTGGACTTCCGAGTGCAACCGAGCGTTCGAGGATCTTAAAGCCTATATGAGTAGAGCTCCTCTACTATCCAAGCCTCTTCCAGAAGAGAACCTCATCATCTACCTCTCAGTATTGGCAACGGCATTGAGTTCCGTACTCATTCGTACACCTAACGGCATTGAGCTCCCCATCTTCTAAACAAGTCATGCACTGCAGGACGCGGAGCAACAGTACCCCAAACTTGAAAAATTGGCCTACGCTCTCGTTCTCTCCGCACACAAGCTTCGAACCTACTTCCAGGCTCACACCATTGAAGTATTAACCAACCAGCCCCGACGACAAGTCCTGCAGAAGCCGGAGACATCAGGACAACTAATCAAATGGGCCATCGAGCTCGGTGAATTCGACATATGTTATCATCCCCGGCCTGCTGAAAAGGGACAAGCTATGGCCGATTTCATTTCGGAACTCACACTTCCTTCTGAAATCAATCGACCCTACCACGGAACCACCCTCGGCATCCATGGAGACACATTCAGCTGACCATACATTCGATCCTACAATTCCTCACTAGACATTGTACGTTGACGGCTCATCCAATCGACAAGGCAGCGACGCGGGCCTAGCCCTCAAGACACCAAATGACACCACGATCGAATATGCTATCCGTTTTCAATTTCACGCTTCTAACAATGAAGCCAAATACGAAGCCCTCATGGCAGGCCTCCGGCTCGCTAAAAGCTTGGGTGTCGAACGGCTGACGATATGTAGCGACTCCCAATTAGTCGTTAACCAGCTGATTACTGAATTCGAGGCAAAAGACGAATCCATGGTGGCCTATCTCGTGCAGACCTGCCGATTGCTTGATCAGTTCAACGCATACCAAATTCGGCAGATCCCCAGATCCGAGAATAATCATGCCGATGCTCTCTCAAGGCTGGCTTCGGCAATCGACGATCACGTCGGACGCCACGTACTGGTTGAAGTCCTCAATCGAATGAGCACTACCGAAGCCGAGGTAAACGTCGTCCGGTAGAACCCTAGTTGGGTGGATCCAATCCACGCCCACATCGCCGATGTCACGCTTCCGACTGACAAAATCGAGGCCAAAGATATTCAACGCCAATCAGCACAATACCTTCTCTTGCAGAACGACCTCTACCGACGAGGCCACTCCCTATCGTTGCTACGATGTGTTACTCCACAATGGGGGGACTATATCCTACAAGAAATTCACGAAGCTGCGTGTGGTGACCATTCGGGATCCCGATCTTTGGCCTTCAAAGCCGTTCAGCAAAGCTACTATTGGCCAACTCTCCATGCTGATGCTGTCAAGATTGTATAAAAATGAGACCAGTGCCAACGCTTCGGCTCCATTCCAAAGCTATCGACCGAACCACTCACCCCGATAACAAGCCCTTGGCCATTCGCGCAATGAGGACTAGATCTCATCGTCCCAATGCCCCAAGGCAAGGGACAGCTCAAATTTGCAGTCGTAGTCGCCGATTACTTTACAAACTAGACCGAAGCCGAGGCGCTAGCAACAATCACGGCCACTAAAATTGAACATTTCATATGGAAGAACATCATATGCCGGTTCGGCCTACCAAACGCAATCGTCACAGACAATGGCAAGCAATTCGACTGCTCCCGCTTCCAGCATCTGTGCTCCCGATTCAACATCAACATACTCTTTGCATCTCCGGCACATCAACAATTCAACGGACAAATAGATGTCATCAACAAAATTATCAAAAAGACATTCAAAAAGAAGCTCAGAGCCGCCAAAGGTGATTGGCATGCAATACTACCGAAAGCACTATGGGCCATCAATACCTCATACCGAAGGTCCACAGGCAAGACCCCGTTCTCATTGGCCTTCGGTATCGAAGCTGTGGTACCGGTTGAGGTACATGCACCCACATGTCAAACGGCATCTTACGATCCCAAGCAAAATGGGCACCAGCTTGCCTTAAATCTGGATCTCATCGATGAACACCGATCACAAGCACAGCTTCGGAACGCCGCCTACAAACAGCAAACGGCTCGGTATTACGACTCTCACGTCAAACACCGATCGTTCAAGGTGGGGGACTAGGTTCTGCGAAAAGTCTCTCCAGCAACGAGAGACCATACCGAAGGCACTCTCGGCCCCTCATGGGAAGGACCCTATGAAGTTGTCAGCGTTTGCCGACCCGACACCTACCGATTACGTGGTTCCGATGGTTAAACCCTCGGCCACCCTTGGAATGTTGATCATTTAAAATATTATTACAAGTTAAAATTGTGGACCCTTTTTTTTTCCTTCGGCATCATTATTTACTTTTCTATCCTATGCGTTCGATTACGCCTTAACGATACCGACCCGCATACACTATCTATGGCAAGCATGCACTTCTTTGACTACGATGGAAATACCAAACCGATCGCAAATTAAATACAATAAAAAGCCACAAATGGGCAATTGTCTTAACAAAATTGGCCAAACATAACTTATATTACCAAAAATAAAAAACATAAATAAAACATAAATGTATCAAGGCGTCAGAGGATCGGCAGGCAAGGTCTCAGCAGCGGTGGCCAAAGGATCTAGCACCTCGGCATCGCGATTGGTTGACGGCTCGGCAGGAGGAGTGTTTTCTTCCTCCTCGCTACTTGAATCTGACCCACTCGAAGAATCGGCACCCACGTCCTCACCAAGGTACGCCTCCACCATTTCTTCAATCACCCTTTCGGGCAACGGTGGCATGTCTTGAAGGAAGTTCAGCTTTTTATCGGCGTTGAAGCGCTTGAATAGGTATATCAGGTCCTCGCATTGCTTCATCACCTCCTTGTCCAGAAGCGTTGTGAACTCTTCTGAGCTCCGGTACTCAGCAACGACCCTTTTCTTCGCCTCATCTACCTCCATCACACGAGACCGAATGACCTCTTCCTTTGCCGCCTCCGCCGCCGCCCTCGCCTCTTCAGCATCCACCGCCGCCCTCTCAGCCTCGGCCAGTTTCGAGGATATCTTTGCAATCTTCCCGACATTTTCCTCGACATACCGATCCGCGTCTTGGATTAGCTTCCCAGCCTCGGCAATCTTGGCTCGGCTATCCTCTTATTTTTTCTGAATGCACTCGGCAGCATTGATAGCTCGTTTGATGCCGAGCCACATCTCCATGTTAGCATGCAACAACACAGGATTAGCTCATGACCGATCAAATAAATGCTTTAAGCAAAAATAACTAACAACACTTATAGCAGCTTGAAAGCGGAAGGATCGGCCGGCCTGTTCACGCACTGTCTTCCTACAGCTACTTAAGCTCTGGGAGCTCCATCTGAGCGCCGTCGATGAAACAATTCATGAACGGCACAACTTTCCAAGGGCAGACCACGTTCATCGGTTCAGCATCAGCCTAATCCTCATCATCGGGGACGAGGACGGCCGCATCCTCATTCGGCCCCCTTTGCCTCTTCGGAATAGGGGTCACGTCAAGGGTACCATCGATCACCCTCTTCCCCGTAACCTGGAGGTAGGCCTAGCGAATGGCCTCGGCCTCGGCCACCCATTTTTCCCGTCGACGATCAGCCACAGTAACCTCCGGTGCCGAAGCCCCCTCAGCCTAACATGGCGGTTTCGTCCTCGGCCTCTGTGAGCCGTCCTTTTTCTTTAGGGGGGCTTGTGACTCCAGCCGCCTCCTTGTACCTTCATTCATTGGCCCACCACCAGCCACTGCGTAAGAGGGAACCAAGTTAGGAACGAATCAGCCTACGAAAACATAGATGAAGACATGCCGAACGACATTCACTTACTTTTCCTCCTCTCCTCTTCTTCTTTTTCCTTCTGCCTTCTGGCGTGCTTGGCCTCACTGATCAATCCCGCCTTGAACATATTGCCGAAGTCAAGCAAAGTCCTGAAGACACATTCTTCTTAAGCAATTTTTGACCGAACGCGTTGATTACTTCCACTTCCCTCTTTTTTTGCAATCGGCCTATTCAAGGACACTGCAATACGACAATACACAACCCAAGTTAGCTTTGGCACCCAAAAAAAAAAACTCTGCCAAATGGCACCCTATACGCCTACCGACTGTTTGAAAGGTCGTGGGGATGTGCCTCACCATAATCACCCCTGATGCAAACTCCCAAGCTCCGGAGATCAACACCCGACGCAGACGCCAGATCTTCTGAGAGCTCGGCACCCCGACCACGAAGTGCCCTCGCTGACCTGCTGAAAGGCAATTCGACTGCACCCACCCCCTTTGATCGGCACTCTTCACCTTCGTCACGCTATAGAGGTGGGCGAACTGCTCATAGCTTGGCTCTCCTTCTTCGACTATGCCGAAAGCTGCGATCGTTTCAAGCATTATAATCTAGAAGTTCAGATTAAACTGCCCCGGAGCATAACCAATTTGAGCTAGGATCTTCTGCACCGAATGCCTCGACGGCAGCCAAAGCCCATGTTTGAAGGCATCGGTGAAGAAGACCACCTCACCGTCTGAATTGCTCAACGACTCGAACGGCCTGGGGATCCGCATCACCATCGAATCTGGGATGTGGTACTCCGCCCTAATTTTCGCCAATTTAGTTTCATTCAAAGCGTTCGGCTCTAAGAAGTCTACGCCGAACACCAGGCCCTTTGGCTTCGCCATTAGCACCCTTTGTCAGCCAGTAACCATAGTCAGCACGCCTTCCTTGGGATCCGCAATTGACGCATCAGCCTCGGTCGCCCCGACTCGAAGACCAGATGTCGATGGCTGAGAGTTATTAACCTCAACCACCTCGACACTCGAAGTGCTTCCCGAATTGGTAGACACCTCTGCACCCCTTACCCCCTCGGCTCCTTCAGAATCGGCACTACCAAGCCCTGCAGTCGAGCTTTCTGATACCGATTCTCCCTCAAATGCTCTTGGGCTATCACTATAGTTTGATTCGGTCTCTGACATCTACAAACAACAGCGAAAAAACACTAAACGCCATGCCAGGATCAAACTCCTATCCTACAGCCCAAGAGCTTATACTCATCTACGTTCATCCATGTTCATACATGTTCATACAACATTTGAAGAATTTGATTCAAGTAAAACGAAAACATGGCAGCTTACCTTGTTTATACGGTGGTTCGAACACGCCGGAAATCGCCTCCACCTTGAAAATTCTCGCCCAAAATCGCCTCTACCACTGTAGGGCACTCACCGGTAATCGCCTCTCACAAGCTCGTTTGCTCTCAAATTCTCAAGTACCCCTCCCACCGTCTCTTCGGCCCATTTATAGGACTAACCTAGCATCGGGAAACGAAACGACGCATTGGGAAATGAAGCGACGTGACCCCTCGCAGCCCTCCCGACACGTGTCACACATGCACAAGAAAGCCCAAGCATCATCGCTTCCCACTTGCGTGAGTGCTTCACATTCTCTTAGACTTTCAATTCGACACACAAATTCCCTAACGACCAGCAGGCGCACAGTGGTTAAGTTCTCACTCACCTCTCGTGCCGAACGACAGGCGCCCTATGGTTGAGTTCTCACTCACCTCACATGCTGAACGGCAGGCGCACCGTGGTCGAGTTCTCACTCACCTCTCGTGCCGAATGGCAGGCGCACTGTGGTCGAGTTCTCACTCACCTCACGTGCCGAACGACAGGCGCACCATGGTCGAGTTCTCACTCACCTCTCATGCCGAACGACAGAGGCGCAGTGGTTGAGTTCTCACTCACCTCTCATACCAACCGGTTCAGCTCCTACTATCGTTCACTTCCACTCTTCAACCTCCCCTTGGCTTGGGGACTTGGGGAACTACATGATCACCACCATCGGCATACGTTAGAGGACGCTCGTACCCGGGTCAGAATGCCGGAGCTCAAGGACACAAGCAAGCCCCCAACCAAGAAGTCCATTCTCGATCGGAAACTTGGGGGACTCCTATTTGTACCATATCTGACCCGCCACTCACGTCATAACACGTGGAAAGTAAACAAGGCTGAGACCAGCTCAATGAGCCATGCCGAAAGCCATGTCGAAAGGTCAATCAACATACTCCACCGATTCATACATAGTCGTCAAGTTGGTAAGTGACATCGACCAACTCACCCACACCAACCTTCAACACGCAATGCCGAGCAACCAGTCAGCACATCCGGCCGATTCTGACATATAACCTTAGAACTCCCGCCAGAACCTGGCAGGGCACGTGTCGACCGTCGAAGACACTTCCATGAGTCCCACATCGAAACTAAGTACTAAGAGCATCACAAATGCTCTCTATAAATAGAGTCCCTTGGCCCAGCCAAGAGGTAAGACTGTTTACTTGACTTGTGCTTTCACACTGTCAATAAGAATTGCTCTTAGTCACCAACTTTGGCATCGGAGGGTCTTCGGCCGGCGCCACACCGGTGTCTTAGGCTTCACCTGCCGTTTCTTTCTCCATACCGAATCCAGCATTGCATCTCAAGGAAAGACATCACGGACCGAAGGCTTCTCGGGTCACCTATCTGTTAGCTTTATTTCTATCTGTTTAGTTTTAGCACGAACAGAACCAGATATTTCTTTAACCGAGAATGGGTGCAGACTGGCTTTGAGCACTTGGTCAGGTAAGAATTGTTGATGAACAGGGGGTGTGGAGATCATAGGTTGTTGACAAGAATTTAAGAAAACAATTATCACAATTCAGAAGTGCAGGGCAAAATCAAGATTGCAGGGCATAATTTAAAAAAAAAACTATGGAATATATTTATGTGGAAATTAGAATATATTTACACCGTATATGACCGATCAGTGAGAGTACCACACTTGGAAAGAAGGGACCCATGAAGATGACCCCCTGGAAAGTCACAGTCGACTGCATCTTGCAGATCACCATCAAAAGGGAAAGTCCTCGGCACCTAGGATTGCCGATCATGAACGAAAGACTTGTTTCACCTAGCATTTCTCACAAGTACACGTGGAACCACTACAGACAATGTTCATAGTCCCACATCGAAATTTCACTCAAAATGCACACCTCCCAAAATCTATAAGAATGGGCATAAGTCCCAAAAAGAAGGTACCGGCGACATTCGGCAAGCCTACCATTTATTTTCTCCATACGTATTCTAAATTAAGTTGAAAGTGACAACATCATTAAGTTGGGCCCAAAAATGTTGAACCATTTTTCAACATCAATAGAATATATTAACAGCAAATCTATTTATTTATTTATTGTTGAAGTTAATACAACAATTGCAATCTAATTTTCCATCCAATCCCCCAACTACATTTTTTTTTAAAGGAAAATTGTTGCAATGGTCCCTCGACTAAGACCCAACTTTACTTTTCGTCCCTCACGTCACAAAATTGTTACGGAGGTGTTTCAATTAGATATCGCATTACACCACTTTTTTTTTTTCTTTTGTTTATTTTTATTATTATTTTTTTTTTTTTTTTTTTTTTTTTTTTTTTTTTTTTTGAGTTAAATTGGAGTCAAAATTGATCACAAGGCACACGATAGATATTTTAGGGATAAATAAGACTTTTACGTAGCCACCACCTCCGTTTACCATCATTTCTCCCAATTTCTCTCTCTTTCCCGTCTCTCTTCTGTTAAGAGTATTTGTCCCACATTGAAATGTTAAGGGACCTAGCCTGGGTTTATAAGGAGTTGGGTTACTCCTCCCATTGCCAATTGGTTTTGGGGTGGAACCTCAACTTCCTTCACGGTATCAAAGTAAGGCTTCATGTGTTGGGCCCAGCGGCCACACGTGTTCCCACGTCACCCAATATGTGTTGTCCACGTGTTAGGCTTGAAAGTTCGACACACGTGCGGGGGTGTGTTGAGAGTATTTGTCCCACATTGAAATGTTAATGGACTTAGAGTTTATAAGGAGTTTGGCTACTCCTCCCATTGCCAATTGGTTTTGGGATGGAACCTCAACTTCCTTCATCTTCACATGTACCTGGCGCACCCCAACCACCACTCTGGCAAATTAAACCTAAGCAACCCAAACCCATCATTCCCACCACCTCATACCTTGCTCCTTTTCCCTCACTACGCACACCACCCCATCCCTAAAAATTCTTAGCACACCCAACCTCTTCTTTTCCTCCCCAAATTCAACAATTTTTCCCAATCCAAGACAAATTCAACAATATTTTCCCAAATCCAACACAGTTCAAGGTCAAGGTCAAGGAGGAAGGACCCATCTAACAAACTGAGGGTTGATCCATTTTTTGTAGTAATAAATTGGGTTTTTTTTTTCTTCTTCTTTTCCATAGGAAGGTAGTTCAAGGTTGAAGATAAGAGCATCTCCAAGGGAAATGTCAAATACCAAACATCAAATTTAAATTTGATGGCTGATGTGGCAATTTGACATTTACACAGTTTTACAACCCACCTGATATGTCAAATAAATAATTATTGTAACAGTCAAATCATTTAAGATAAAGAAGAAAAAAAAAAGGAAAATAATAGATGAAAGTAACAACCAGCTATCTTTAAAAAATAATAAAATATTCATTTGACATCTTGCTTTTGGGATGTCAAAAATAACATCTCAACCTCCAGCTTTCATTTCACACTAGTTTTGACAATTCGGTTGGAGTGATGTGAGATGTTATTTCTAACCATTAAATATCTATGTGACACTTTTGACACATCGATTAGAGATGCTCTTAAGGGGCCACGAGTTGAGAATCACTAGATCTTTCTTGCCCTCTCACCTCTGAACTTGGATAGGCTAACATCGGATTGGATTAATAGGAAAATAGAGAATCCTTTCCATTTCGTTGCCTTAGCTGGCATTTTCTTTTTGCTTTGAGATCAACAACAATGATGGAATCTCAGGAAGTGGAATTTGGTCCGTCTCCTAGTGGTTTTTGGCGTTTGGGTTTTTTTCTTCCTTCTCTGTTTTCTATTTTGAGAACTCTTTTTCTCATATTCTTCTTTTTCTACCTTGGCCGGGTTCTGTAGGAAGAATCAATTGAAGAAGAATCCCGTGAAAATGATGATGTTTGTTGGGTTAGCTTAATTAGGAATTTACAACTAACTTATTTTGGATTTTTGGGTTTAGGGATTTCTTCTCCTTCCTCTTTATAGGTTTTGGGTTTTGGAATTTACAAATCATGGCTTGATGGTCGGTGACAACATCAGCTTGGTTATATGAATTTTTCAATTTGCCCTTAATTTTGACAGAAAATTTAACTCAATTGACGGAAGGACCAATGATGCAACATAAGATCTAATTAAAACACTAACAATTTTGCAATATAAAAGACGAAAAGTTAAGTTAAGTCTTATTTGGGGAATATCGCTACAATTTTGCTTTAAAAATAAAGTACGACTTCACACAGAAGCAACAAAATCTTTGACTTGGGAAAGGAGCTGGTTGGATTCTGGCAATTCCGGAAACACATAGAAGGCATGGATACTGTTTGGATACTCGATTAGCTTAGCCTCTTTCCCGGATTTCTTCAACCACTGATAGTACCTCTTCTGCCAGTCCAGCAGCGGGTCGAATCCCCCGACGAACACAAGCGTGCTCGGATAATCCAGACCCGATATGTCCACCGCGTTGGGCCCAGTCACGTTCGCAGCTTCGTGGTCCCGATCCGACCCGTCCGGCAAAAACGCCTTCCAAATCCAGTCGGTTCGGGTTATCGACACCAGAGGTGCTCCGTGGAGTCGGATCTCGGACTCGACCCGGCCCTCTCCTCCGAAAAATGGTTGTATCGAGATCAACCCAACCGGTTTCACTACCCGAAACCTGTCCTTCTCGCGAGCGGCCCGAACCGCCACGTGGTGGGCCATGTTGGCTCCGGCGCTGTCCCCGGCTAAGAAGCACCGGGATCTGTCTGCATTTTTGGGGAGTACGTCGTCGTTTTGGTCGAGGAAGGTGAGGACGTCGAATCCATCGTCATATTGGGAAGGGTAGCGGTGCTCGGGGCAGAGGCGGTAGTTGATGGAGACGACGACGGCGGGGATTTTGCGGGCGAATTTCCGGGCAACGGTGTCGTACGCGAATGAGGCCGGGCTGAGGTAGCTGAAGCCACCGCCGTGGAAGAAAACGACGACGGGCAGGAAGGAGGAGGAGGAGGGAGACGACGTCGTATCGGGGACGAAGAGACGGAACCAGAGCTGGCGAGTGGGGTCCACAGTGACGTCAGAGGTGGTGACGCCTTTGACTGGAGCAGTAGGTTTGGCTGAGGACTTGAAGTCGATGAAGCTGAGGAGACGGCGGTTGATGGTGCCGTCGGCGCGGCGAGCATGGTCCGTTAGTTTTGACAGAACCGATATCGACAGGCGGGTCTTCCACGGAAGAGAAGCCCATGCGGATGCGGCGGGTTTGGAATTCGAACTAGACGACGTCGTCATGGATGCCACCAAAACCAATCGATCGCCGATAGAAGGAGATTTTCTGCTGGTTCTGTTTTTGTGGTAGACGAGTGAGAGGGAATAAAGTGCATGCAGCAACCAAGCCAACTAACAACTCCAAAGCTGTCAATTTGTCAAAGCGGGGTCCCCATTTTTATCTGTCGTTTTTACTATTGTGTTGTCGTATGAGTATTGAATGGGAGTAGGTATTAGGTTGAGCTACTCGCGTTTTGTTAGTTACTCAGATCATTTATGGTCGATGTTTCCTGGCACTCGTTTGGTAGCTCCGCTTGAACGCGATTGTAGTTGAATTTGGTTGGTACCGCAATGGGAATTGGGGACTTCCATATCTTTGTATTTCTTTCACGTTATGTAGGTAGGGTCCGTTGCAAGATTGAGTGTTCATTTGATAGATTTTTCAAACTTGTTGGTTCAAGTCTGATGACAAAATGCTCATTGGGTATAGAGGAACTCGCCTAATCCCCAAGGTTAGAATCTGATTTTTATACTTATTTAATCCTTATACATCAATTAAATGTTATTGCCTTTGACTACAAAAATATATGAACAGATTGATATATACAATTATTAAACATTGGAGTAAGAGGACTGAGTATGATTTGCTGCATCAGGCATGATTTTAGTTGGACAAGGTAGCAATGCATCGAGGTTCTTAAAGATTACTGGCACAGACGTACTCATAGTGAAGAGCTTATTTGAGGAGTTCAATCTCACCATCAACAAATATGAGAAAATTAATGGACTTGAACATTCTAAATGGCTTGATTGTTAAATTGAACCCCTCAAATACGCTTCTCACTCTAAACTCCTCGTTGTAGAAGTTTGGGTCAAAATTGTTCACAAACTTAGGCCTAGCCTTGTTAGGCCTTAGAGGTTGGGTGAGGCCTATTCTTTAAGGATCCGGACATGAGGGTTTTTCCCATGGCCAGGTAGGAAATGCTTGATGCACACATCATGCGTTGCACAAGTTCGAAAGAGACACTTAACTCCATTAGAGCATCCACAATGGGAGGGTGTATAAGGGGGTGTATGTTAAATATACACTCTTTGTTGCCAGAATCATCTCCAATGGGAAGATGTAAATGGTTGTAAAAATACACCCCCACCATGGAGATGTAAAATTAGATACACATTTGCATCTTTTTTAACATTCTTTACATGCGGGACCCACAAGAGAAAAAGGGAAAGAGAAGGATTGTAATTCAAAATGGAAGTCCTAGATTTCATGCAATTTTCATTGCACTTCCAATGGCCCATATTTCTACATAGATATTTTTATTTTAGTTTGTAGGTAAAATCATATGTTCTCCAAATTTAAATTTTTTTAGGTCCATTTATTTGGAAAAATAAAATAAATCTAACACGCACAAAATTAATTTTAAAAAGTTAAAACATAAAAAAAAACACACAAAAAAGAATTATCACAAACAAATCGAATATGCATCTTTGGATTTTCATCGTTTCCTATTAGAGCAAAAAATGTATTTACACCCCCTGGAAGTGTAAAGAGGATGTAAAAGTGGCTTTACACCCCCGAAAATACACCCCCCCCTCCCCACTGTGGATGCTCTTATAATATTTCAAAATAAATAAATAAACCATTGATGATTTCCTGTACTTCTGTTTCTGCAACACCTGTTTGGATTGTTACATTGTGGTTTATAGTTTTCAATTCGGAGAGGAGTAGAAGTTTGAGCGCTAAATTGGCTGAAAAAATAAAATCGAGAAAGGAGGTGGTGGGGAAATCCAACTAGCGTGATAATTCAAGAGAAAAACTGCATTTCCCTTTCTTTTCTTTTTTTTTAATCTCACTCTCCATTTGATTAGTTAATAATGAGTGAGATAAAGAGAATGATGCATTGCACCCGTGCCATGATAATTTTTCTCCTTTACACATGAATCAAGTGGTGCTTTACATTTTAAGATAAAGTAAAAGATCCTCATATAATAACCAAAAAAAAATTAAAGATTTAAAATAAAATAATAAATAATCTATATATAAAGCAAAAGACAGAGAATGGTGAAATATTCAAACTACCAGAAAATGTCATTGGTTAATGCAAACATTAAGAATTGAAATTATTAATTAAATGAGGATAATATGGTAAATTCATACTTTTTCATATTTAAAAAATTAAATTTAAAAGACAAATTAGATAATTGATCATATTTTTATGGAACACAATAACCCATTATCTTTTTTAATTCTAAAACAAATTTAAAATAAAACTTAAAAAAAGTCTCTCGCATGCACGGAAGCACATGTGGAGAGGCTAGTAAATAATAAATAAAAAAGAAGAAGAAGAAGAAGAAGAAGAAATAAGGGTAGGGTAGGGTAGCCAAGGCCAATGAACAAGAGGGAATGTAGACAAGGATGTGGTGAGGTAGGCATGAAAATCCTAAACCAAACACGGTGTGAGCAGCTTTGAGAGGCTCCAAACCAATCCACTTTTATCGAACCCACAACACAAGTTGCATCCCCCAACCCCAATCCCCATGACGTGTGACCTCCTATCCCCTTTGCCATTTATACGTACGTGAACTCCATACACATCCCACAATTCTTTTCTCATACACACACACATATATATATATAAATAAATAAAACGACAATTGCTCCTCCTAAAGCCTCATAAACAATTCCAACCTTTTCTTCACCATCTCATATTTCCCTATTTTCTCTTGTTTGGATATCATGGAAGGTGATAACATGAGAGCCTTTGACATGGGTACACTTAGAACAAGTCTTCCACAAAAGTAAGAACACAAATTTGTTTATTCTCTGGCTCTCTTTCTTTCCTTTCTTTGATTTTGCATTTTCTATAATCTTTCGGGGTTTCTCAACGGAATATTTGCGAATGCAAATTATTAATGTCGAACGCAATGCACTAGACGTGCATAGATTTTGTAGTTAGGTTTTAAAAATTTTGTTGAGAATATTAGGAATAGATGTGACAATAGTGCTACTGTTTATATTGTGTGAATAATTGAATGTAACGGGTACATGTTTGTTTTCTCAGCAGGAGATCTGGGTTGTCAAGGTACTACTCCGGCAAATCAAGATCATTTACGTGCATGGACGACGTTAGAAGTGTGGAAGATCTTAAGAAACCGGAACATCCCGATGCTAAGAAGAGGAAGAAACATTCGGAGAGGAAGAACTTTCCGGTTCCGACCTACCCTCCTTATCCATGTCGAAGAGTTTCTAGCACCACCCAATGTGCTGCACCTTGTGTTGGTGTGTGAATATATAAATCTAACTGAAAATATATATATATATATGGAAAAGCACAATAACATATTCATTTTGTGCAATATTTTGCTGCTTTCCCAAATCTCAAAAGATGCCGACTTCGAATTCCATTCTTAGGAATTTTGTGGTTTTTGGAGGATCTAGCTACGGGAGAACAAGGAAGAGAGAGCTTTCTTTTCTCCCAAATTGTGTAAATAATTTAAGTGAGTAAACGTACATGTATTAGATTTTATTTTTTGTTATTATTATTATTAATATTATTTTGGTTTTGGTGTAATCCATGTGATGAAATAAGACAATTCAAATATCTAAAGGACTCATATTTTGGGAATAAATATTTTACCACTACGGGTAAAAAGCTTTACCATATTTTAAATCAATTTAAAACAAAATTTTAAGGGCTCATTTAGCAACAAATATTTCTTTAATTTTTTTATTTAAAAAAAAGTGTCACAAGATACTTGTTTATTCCATAGCATGATTATGTTATGTCTAACTAACAGAAAGAAAGGAACATAAGTTTGATTAACGATAGAGGCAAGATACTTCTTTGATAAACTGCCATTACAGTGTCAAAGAAAATTCTAGTATAAACCAATAGGTTAGATGTACTATCTATACTCGATTACAAACATCCTTTTTTTAAATATTCTGTATTTGTTTATTTTGCTAAGAACAAGTATGGTGAGATGTTGGAGAAAACTGAAACTTAATACTCATTCTTTTGGGGATCAAGGGAGCTTTTTTCGGCTCAATAATTTTTTTATTAATTATTGAGGTGGCTGTCATGCATTACTACATTTTAATAATGCATCTAAAACACATGAAAATTACAGAAACGGCCATTACAACAGCCCAATTGTCCCACTTCGGGGACTAAATCTGGCTGGTCATCCTTTCTATCACAAAATCTGGTTAACTATCTTTTCCGCTAATCAATTTCGGTTAGTCATCTCTAGCCAAGGCCAATAATTGTGAGTGGCGGATTAACAAAGGGACAAAAGGAGACATGTGACCCCATAGACAGCAGTGGACAATTAGAAGAGCAAGGAGGTACATATGCACCTCTTTTTGTTGGAAAATGCATTGCAGATACCGAAATTTGCCCATCTGCTTGTGCCCACCAAGTGTTCAATTAAAAGCCTTAAAGATGTTGTTCTGTTGCTGTTGTGTGAGACCTTGAATATTTACCTTCCATTGTTGGGATCAATCTTACGATCATGCAGGAGAAAACGGTTCATCAATTGGACATCCACAACCAAAGTTATAAATTTGAGAAGATTTTGAAAAAATTTCACTTAAGTTGCAAACCAAAGTCGAAGAAGAAGATGATTGGACTTGTTTGTAGTTAGAATCTCGTGCTTTTTAGCTTTAATTTCTTTCTAATATGGTCCATTATCAAGATGTCATGTGTCAAATTTTAATTAGACCAACTTTAAAATTCATTAAAAATGCACCTGTACTCCAAAAAATTCACCGAAAATTACCCCGAACTCATAATCACATGCACTTTTATCTAGTGACCTCCAAATTATATGTAATTTGGGTTAGATTAATTGGTATTGATTTTGGTTAGATTAATGGATGATTTTATGTGAATTTTGGTAGACTAATTGTGTAATTGGCATGCATTCTGTTCATATTTGATATGAATTTTGGTAAATAATTGTGTAACATGAATTTTGTGCATATTAATTGGTATACAAAATAGACTATGGGCAATTAGTCTTTGACGTAAAACTCTTATTTGTTTTAATTATGAATAACATTAGTATTGTTTAAATTGTAAGGCTATTTGGTTGCATTTTTTAACCTTTTAGCCTTTTTAACATTGCGCCTTCTTTAAAAAATTCATAGATCCACCATTGTCCATGGAGGCCGAAAATTTGACTGCATGCGACCCCTTGGAAGTTTGGTGGGCAACCAAACTTCCTTCGTTTGTCTTTATAAAAATAAAATACAAAAGTTTTTATTCTCACCCCCAGCCCAACAAGAAGCCCGCATTTCCCCCTAAGAGCAACTCCACCCATTTGCCCTTAGCCATGGCAAGGGGGGGAGCTAGGGCAGCCACTATTTACGTGAATAGTGGTTGCCCTTGCAAAATCAAAATTTTGTGTTTCCACCCATTGCCCTAGCTAAGGGCAGTTACTATTCATTTTTTGTTTTATTCACAATTTTTTTTACCTCAATAATTAATTTGGATAAGATTTACGGGTTCCTACGTGTCAACACTATTCATAATCGGATAAAATTTCGGGATAAGATTTTTGGGTTCAAATTTCGGATGAATTTCAAAATTCAAATTTCAGATAAATTTTTTGGTTCAAATTTCGAATGAATTTCAAAATTCAAATTTCGGATGAATTTCAAAATTCAAAATTCAGATGAATTTGGGTTCAAATTTCGGATGAATTTCAAAATTCAAATTTTAGATAAATTTGGGTTCAAATTTCGGATGAATTTCAAATTTCAGATAAGATTTTCATCCAATCAAATCAAGCCACGTGGCATCTCTATCTTGCCAAATTTTTCTATAAAACCAGAGGCTCACATCATACCTCTCACACCACATCTTTCAATATTTTCATTTCTTAGCGTTTCTGCTCCATTTCAATTCTTATGGAGTTTTGCCTTGCAATTTCCTCCAAAAACTTTGAATTAAAATTGCTTGAATTGCCCGCTTTCTTTGCCTTCGCAGCCTTTCGGCCAATGGGCCTCGGTTCTTTTTGGATGGGTGAGTCTTCACTCATAGGGGAATCGAGAGGTGAATCCGATGTCGTTGAATCACGGAGAGGCGTCTCGTTTAACACAACGTCGGGACCCGTGGGAATAATTATGAACCGTTTACAATATTTCACCACCTCCCAACATTCATGATGGGTGAACCTCTTTTTGCCACCCCCGGTTGCACCAAACCACATCTGTGCTTGAATGAGCTATTTAACAAAAAAATGGCAATGCAATAAATATTTAAAATATATTGGATATGCAAGTAACAAAATAAAAATAATGGAAATGCAATTAACCTTACAAATAAATTGGAAGTGCAAGAAATATGAAGAAACAATTGGAAATGCAATAAATATTAACAACATATTGAAAATGCAAGAAATATGAAGAAACAATTGGAAATGCAAGAAATATTAACAACATATTGAAAATGCAAGAAATATTAACAAAATATTGAAAATGCAATAAATATTAACAACATATATATATTAGGACATTAAACTTAATAAAACGAAAATTACAAAATACTTACCTCGTTAGTACGATTTTCCCCACTTCTATACAAGTTCATCGCTTTTGCCAAGGCATCTCTCCATTTTGCCATCTCTTTGTTGAGAAGTTTCCACCTACTCGACAATGCCATTTCCGTACGAGGCGAGTCCGGAATTTTTTCGCAAAATTCGGCATGAATTTTTTTCCACATATGGAAAAATTTCATCTCATTGCCTGTCACGGGACAATGACAAACTCGGAGCCAAGCCTCACACAAAGAAACATCTTCCATGGTGCTCCACGCCCCTCCGGTTTCAATAGAAGAAGCCATAAAAATAAGAAATAAAAATACAATGTGAAAAAGATGAAAATGTTAAGTGAAGAGTGAAAAAATGTTGAAGAATTGTAGAAGTAGAATAAAATGTATGAGAATTGGTGTTGAAAGTGAAGGGTATTTATAGGTATTTATAGGAAAAAAAAATCAGAATTTGAAAGTATTTTTTAGTATTTTTTTTAAAAAAAATTTCAATTTTTTTTCATAATTTTATTGCTGGAAAATCGCGAGCCGTTGGATGAAAGCTGTGGAATCAAATCGGAGCACTGGGGGCGTGCCACGTGGCTTCCAGCCGTTGGGCCTGCGTCGCGCTAACGTCAGCGCACGCTGGTTCAAAAAATTTTTACCGTTGGTAAAAAAATTTTGATTACCGCGTGTCGATGTCGACATGGCGTCAGCCACCGCGTTTTGGACCTCGGATAAGACTTGCCTTCGGGCCAGCCCGAGGAGATGGGTCCCACACCCCCCCGGGCCTGGGCTGCTCCGTTGGAACGCCATTTTTTTTTTTTCCCCTAGCCTCGGGCTGGGCTGCACGGGTGGAAAGGCTCTAAAAGTCCCTAAAATCCCTGATTCTCTCAACCCTAACCTCGTCAAACCCTAACCCCCAACCTCCCCAACCCACAAATCCTCACATGTTGCCGAGGTGTTGCCACTGTCGTCGGACTTCTAGCACCGTCCACCACTTGTTGATCAGGTGGTTATGGTTTTCCGTTTTGGCTAATTGTTCTGGATTTTTCTTTTGTTTAATTGGTATAGGTTAGGTTTGAAATTTTACAAATTTTTATTAGGAATGAATAAATTGATGAACGAACTTTAAAAAATCCATACTCTTATCAGTTCTTTAAGGTGCCAATAAATCTTCATTATAAAAAAAGTGCCAATAAATGAACCTAATATGTCCAAAGCCTACCCAAAAATAATCCTCAAAGAATTCTACAAAGGATACCTTCAGTCTCAGAAACCCAATATCAAAGCTGAATTTAAAATCATCCAAAAGCATAAACTAAAAAAGATGATATCTAAAAAGAGAGATTTACTATTATGTCCAATATAGGGGCCCAATTTATAAAAAAAATTTATATGAAGTCGACTTTAGAAACACCCAAAACTCATTTATAACATAACAAAAATGCTTCAAACTTCCTATAAATTACAAAATTATCATCAATTTCTTAAAACAAGCCCAACCCCAAAACCTCATATTAAAAACTCAAAACACTCAACATGACATCAAAGTAATTTAATAATCAAAATTAAATTCAACAAAGCAAGCTATCATTTTTTGGATTTGTTTATAGAAATTAAATGGTGTAGAGTTTATTTATATCATTAGTGCTAAGAATGGGTATATAACTAAATATCTAAAATAAAGAATACGGCAATGAAATTTCCTAATTTAGTAATAGTATTCGTACCAAACATCTAAGTTTCATACCCATTAACAAAATCAAAGCCACCAAAAAAAATTTTGTTCAATTTCATACATCATTCAAACAGTTGATTTTATCGTTAGCAGGTTTCACAACCAACAGAGAGTTTGAGAATGCTTGCAATGGCCTACAAAGTCACTCATGTATATTACCATGCAATGTATAAAGGGTAAAAGTAAATCATTATAAATAAATTATTATGGTATGTTTAATCTTCTTTCATTAATTACTACATATTTTCTACACTCACAATGTTTGTCAACTCGCTATATAATCAACTTAAATCAGTTAAACCCATTATGCAATACATTTCATTCTATTTTTTTGTGATAAAGTAATATATAACTAACTAAATAAACATCCTCCAAAGTTTCAATAAAAAAATTCTAAGTTTTTCTTACAATTTCCGTGATTTTTATCAATATCGATAATTTGCCGATATTTCCATCAAAATTTCCGTATTTTTGGACCACAAATATTTCCAAAATTATCGATTTTTAGACCTTTCTTCAACGTAAGCCTGTAACAAAAGAAAAAAGAAAGAACAGTAATTGATGGGTCGCTAGCATCCAGGGCCTATATTGGCACATTTAGTCTGTCCCCACAAAGAGGTGTAGATCCATAACACTTGTTTGCATGTGAGATCAAATGCCAGTGCGAATAAAAACTGGCCATCAAGTTACAGGCCCTATATTGCAGATCAATCCATCATTCTTAATCGGTATAATTGGTTTTACTTTCATTTAACTAAAGCAAATAAGAGCTTGAGTATTTCGCTGGTTTTCAGAACTCGATCCTGCAAATTTTCCAGATGCATATGAGTCCATATAAATAGAGAGAGAACACTGTTAAAGCTAATTTCAAAATGGCCATAAAGAAGCTTTGAAATTCAGGGGCACTTGTTTGGTCACTGATGTCATTTCAGGTCCGTTCCTAAGTTATGGCTCTCTTCATGTTACACTGCTAAAACTGTGTCAACTAAGTTAGGAAGAATACACATTACACTTACACCCAAAAAAAAAGGGGACCAAACGACCATTTTAATTTGTACCAGCTCTACCTAATAAATAGCAATTATGAGCCCGCCAAAAGAATCAATGCTTCTCACTAGTGGTACAAAATTAGGACTGAGGCCTCCACATGGAATCCAAGGAAGAACTATTGCGTTCTATTCTTCTTGTTGGTGACCGAATCCCAATTATCAAATATCATAAGCTCATCATCATCATCAAGAACTTGCAACTTATCAGGATTTCTTGTATCGCCATCAACACTTGATAAATCTGGATCGACCGCCTCGGAAACCTCGGACAGCTTTCTTTTCTTTTCAGGAGGAATTTCAATCTCATCATTCTTTTCAGCCTCCACGGGAGGCTCATTTGATGTGCTTCCAGCATTTGCAATAGACTCGTTGTCATCCTTTACCACTGAAGGAGCTTGAGTCCACCCAGAGAGAACCATTCCATCGGGCTCCTTCTCCTCATCAAATTCCTCTCTGTGAGAAATCAAACTTACATATATAAATTATGTAGCTTACACGATAAAAACAGAGAAAATAACACCAACTCCCCAATCCCATAAGAAAAGAAGACAAAAGGGGACAAATCAGCAACTAGAATGAGGAAACTGCTTCATATAACATCAATAGACAACCAACTTGGTTGGGTTCGGAGGGGGTGGGGGAGCCAAACATAGGGTGAAAATTGCAGGATGAAGGGCATTAATTTCAACTAATAAAGTTTCTGATTGCTTATTCTATCATAAAAAAGATTTCAAATTCTACAGCTACATGAAGATTTCTAAAACCCAAAACAGGAAAACTAGCAAATCCAGATGCTCAAGCCATCCATAACGTTGTATAACTAACAGATGCTAAGAAGCAATCTTAATGTCATATACATAAACTGGATAAAGAAGAACCTGTGCTTAATATTGATCTGGCATGATAGTTCTTGCTGAAGATCCTCAATTGTCAGCATGGTTCCACTGGTAACTGGAGTAGGAAGCTCAGACAGCACCTACGTGAAAAACATTAACCCACATAAACAAGAGACATATATCAGGTGAAAAAAAATTAGCAAGTCATCTTGAAACAGAGGAAAAGAATTACCTTATCAAGGTTTGCTGCATAATTTGCAACCATTTCTTCATCCAGGTCATCACCAACTTCATAAAGAAGGGCTGAGCCATGCATAATGAGTGGCAAGCTCATCCCAAGCGTGGATTTAACTATCTTTTCTACGAAGTCCCGCAACTTAGCACGATGAGTATTGATCTCTAGAGATAATGGTGTCTGCTTGCAATCATATTGCATTAGTGTCACAATTATACTTTAAATGTCAGCAAAAAGATCCCCACAGAGATGGAATTTAGAAGAGATCATTGAATATACCTCTGAACAGACATAGCAAGACCGGTTAGGCTCAAATGGTTCCACTGGCATGAGCAACATTTTTCTTGTTGGATGTTCCAGACAATAAGTCATCCTACATAGCCATTCAGATCAGAGTAGAATTTTACCCCAAAAAAAAGTATCAGTGTAGAACATACAAGTTAGAGAAAAAAGTAGAGCCAGTAGATTTTACAACAGAGACTTGCTGAATTACCATCATGTCTGACATATTGTTCACCATTAGTTTTACGTTTCAATTTTCCCTAGTATCACGTCACCCAAACAAAAGGAAATCGCAAGTGAATAGAAAGTAGGACCCCTCCTATTAGCACTATATGCAAGCCAATCAGTGCAAATAGAGCACTTCCAGCAAGTTAATACCATGTCACAATCCTTCTTTTTTTTTATTCAGGTTCATGAGCAGCTAGGATGTTTTCTTCCCTAAAGATATATATATGATCATAGCTTTAGCTCATTGATGCCAATCATAAAAAATAAGGGTGTTCAGAGTGCATTTGGGTGTATGAGTATGCGTGTAAGTGTGCGGGTGTGTTTATGTGCGGATACCAGAAGTCAGTAAAATAATATTTTTGAAAATCACAAAACCACAAGCAAAAGCATTTTCTCTGCACCATTTTGAAATGCTAGAATTCAGATAGAAAAAGACTACATGCGAAAACATTTTTATGGGAATAAAAAGAAAAAGAAAAGGAAGACATTATTTAATTAGAAGGAAGGTCAATTGCACACCTATAATTCTTTGTATCATTTTGCAGCACCTTGATTGCCTCAATGACAATCAACCCAGCAATAATAGCATTCGTTGTCGCAACAGCATGTACAATATTACCAGCAATGCCTTTAGCTTCAAAAAGGCTATGCAATGGGATTCCAAAAGAAGCGGCCCTTATATTGGCAGCAGCTGTAACAAATTCCACTGCTAGCTGATCATCTTTATCAAAAGTCAGATTTCCAATCTCCTGCCAACCAATGCCCCGCCGGACCCAAAAGATAATAAAAAATACAAAAAAAGGAAAAGAAATTAGAGTTCGGTCTTGACATATGGAAAATAAATGACCCTGCAAGGGCTTTATTTAAATGCAGAGAGTTCACACTAACCTTTTCCCTTTTCAGGAAAAATAATTTCAAAGCCTCAAGAAAGACTCTGGAATTTTCCTTAAGGCTCCATACATCCTGTGGATTCTTCATTCCTAGAGATGCCATGGCAGATACTGAAGATATATCATTGGCTGCACCATTTTTTTCCATACTTCCATTCTGTTGACTGAGATCATTAGGCATGAATTCACTACTGTATATAGGCTTTGGTCTGTTGCGGTTCTTCCAAGTCTCCTCATTGGACAAAGCTACCTCAATGTTATAACCAAATACATGATCATATATTCTCCTTCCATACTGCTCAATGTCTTCATCTTTTCTATGTTCAAATACATCTTCTGCCTGCTTTGATGAGCTAGCACCATCACTAGAGCGGACATTCAAATCATTTGCCTGATTCTTGTCCCCAAACAATTTTGCGAATAGAAGTTCTTTCGCCCATACAATACAGTGAACAAACTGCAAAATTCAAATAATAAAATCAAAGCCTATACCTAAGACCATGGAGCAGGGGTTGTCGTAAACAATGATGTTTTACCACTGAAAGTCTCATGGAAAATGACCATTCTCAAATCATAGTTTGTTCCATGCAAACTAGCAGAAAACATACAATCAAAATTTTTTAAAGTGCAACTCTCAACAACATTTTTATGCCAAAAACGTCATTAAATTTCCAGATAGCTTTAACCAATTACATATCAATTGCAGTGTAGCAGAAGTGGTAGTCCTACTAATGGTAATTTCTGGAAAAGAAAAAAGGAAAAGCAGTTCAAGTCTATTTACTATTAATGGTTCCCATGGTTTCTTGGTTCCTTGGGTACCCGTTCCCCATTGATTTTTTCATCTTCATTTACTCTCTTTTTTCTCTTTCCGATTATTGAATCCTCCGTGTTAGAATTAGACATTTTAATTCACAGGATATAAGTAAATAACTATGAAGAACCAAAAACAAAAACAAAAACGAAAAAACATAACTAATCTTTCAACAATACCTTTGATGGAGTACTGGTAATGGTACAGACAGGATAAGTTTTAGGAGCAGGTTTTGGTTGGCATTCATAGCACTCTGTTCTTTCCTTCACATGTACAGTCACCTGCTTTCAAAGTTTCAACAAATAAGTAAAAAGGGGAGGAGTATCATCACACACAGAGTTACCTGCAATGATGCATTTTACAAAACAAATGCCCACAGATAGAGTAATCACCATGATGCCAAACCATTTGAACATGCTGGTCAAACACACTGACGCGTTAATTCCAACAAGTGTCACTCAAAAAACTAAAAATCTACAAACTTAAAATACATCGTACATGAAATATTTCACTCCAAAGCTACATCTAACTACACACAAAGAAAAGACTCCTGAAAGTATTTAACATTATGCAGGAAACACATGACTGACATTATAATTCAGAAGGAAATATTTCCCATAATTGAAACTTATGGAAGACAATAATTTATGTGGCTGACCCCATATTAGCAGAACAAGGGTAAAGTTGATGATGATGATGCTGATGATAGTGACATAGTTGATGATTAATGTAACATTGAGATGACATAGGCTATCATAAAATAATACAAAAGGATCCTTAGCTCATGTAGTTATCCAATGAAGCACATGATGCTTAGACAGCAAACAAATAGTTTCTATGCATGAACTCTGATGGAGGCATTCCATAGTGAAACCCATTCTGCAACTGCTATAGAGAACCTTCTAGATCAAAGCTCAACATGTCAGAAAATTCACATCTCTAATCATCAAACCAGTTGCAATTATACTTAGTTGATGTGAACTCAGACACAAGACACACCCACCCACACACCATAAAACAAACCAAAAACATAACAGACGTACAAACAAGACATTATTGGATGCATCAATGAATGTATAAACCTAGTTCAATTAAAAATAAACAGTTACTTGCCAAACAACTCTAAAGCAATAACTCACCTGTCCAAGGAACCCAGTTGTCCCACTTTCAATCAAGGGAACGTCAGCTGCCAAGCATAGGCGATTCACATGTCGCCTCGCATCTAAGTTGTCAAGTCCATTCAATACAACATTAAATTGCTTAAAGAAGTCCACGTTGAAGTCAGAATCCTTAACATTTGCATGGTATGGAGTAATGCTTATGTGAGGCCTAAATTTTAAGACAGCTTCCCGAGCAACCTGTTGAAAATATCCGATGAAAAAATCTTACAGAAAGCACAGCTATTCAATAGACAAAAAAAAGTATGTAGTAAATACACCTACTTTAGCCTTGGATTGCCCAACATGTGATTGTCGAAAGAGGAATTGTCTGTTGAGGTTACTGACTTCTATAGTGTCCATGTCAATCTGCAATTTAACATTATCACAAATGAATAATTACCAAGAGCAACAAAATAAACCTGCTCATACTTCCCTAAACACAAAATCAAGAAAAAGAATTTGGACTATTACAATTTGCAGGCTATAACTTGTCAACTTAATAATACAGGGATCTATTCGAAGTGGTTAAAAATATAGACTGTACTTCCAAATCCAAACCCACCATCTCATAAAATTTTGACTTATAGTTCATGCTTTTCTAAACTGGAAATTTTTGGCTGGTTCATGCTTTTCTAAATTGGACATACCTAATCAGTAGTGTTAAAATAGATAGTTCTCTTCTAGTTTTAACGTTTAGAAAATATGGTAGGATCCCCACCATAGAACATAGGAAGCAATAAAAAATGGACAGCGATGAAAGTAGAAATGCAAAAAATTGCAATAATTTAATCCAATTATTTCTCATTGGCCAGATCCTAGATTCCTCCAATAATATCTTAATTCACTTGTACTTGTTTACTATGGTTATGATGGTGATGATGATTAGTATTATGGTTATGATATAAATGAATGAATAAAACAATAGTAAGCCATCATTTGATCACTATTTCACTCTAAATTGTACATGGCCATCATGTATAGAGAAGTAAATTTTGTTTAAAATAAATACATCTGCAGAAAATTGAACTATATTTTGGTACCAAAAGAAGTATTTTCCTAAAATAAGTAAAACCCTCTCCAAAACAAACACATAAATTTCAATCAACAAACATATGAGATGGGGAACACAAAATGAAAACCCTAGAAATAAAACCTTCGTAAACCACCTACAAAAATAAGAAACTAGCATAAACCCATCAATTAAAACTAACAAGAAAAAAGATTCAGGGAGAGAAAGCTCACAATATGAATGTCTTGGAAGCCAGAGAGAGCGAGAGTCTTAAGGAGCTCGCAGCCAATACCACCTGCCCCAACCATGAGCACTTTCGCGCCCTACAAAAAATAACCCAGAAACTTTTTTTTAAAAAGAAAAATAACCCAAAAAAAGTTCAAAATCCCACTCAAATTCGAGCGGGGAGAAACTTTGACAGTTGGATTAGGGTTTCAGTTGAAACTTTGTTGGGTCCTCAACAGTACCTTTACAGCAGGCAAGTGTTTCAGTGAAGCCATGAGAATTGAAGAAGAAGAAGCTGAAGAGACGAGAGAGAAGACTGAAACAGTGAATTGGAGTTAATAGCAGAGCAAGCAAGCAAGCAATTTGTCAAATACCATAGAGAGAGAGAGAGAGAACGAGATGGGTGGACTTAGAGTTTAGATGGGTTTGCGGGGAATCGAACAGAGGACGTGGGGAGAATCTTGGAATGGTGGGTTGTGGTCGTGGGAGGAGGGTTCGAGGAAGGAAGGTTGAGACTTGAGGGCGCCAAAAACGGCAAAAAGTGAAAATTTTCACACCCAAAAACACTCCCTCTCTCCTTTTTGCTCTGTCCTTTGTGAGAGATGGAGGGTCTGAGAAGTGAGAGAGAGGTGGTGTTTGTGAGCGGAGTTTGTAAAGTCCGAGACTTTTTTGAGTCTTCCTCTCCCTCCCTTTGGGGTAGGGGATTTTGACTCTTTTTTGCCTACTTTGCTATGCCTAGAGAAAAATGGTCGATTTTGGTCATCTAAAACAAAAGGCAGAGAATGATGAAATTTTCAAAATACCAAAAAATGTTATTGGTTAATTCAAACATTAAGAATTAAAATTATTAATTAAATTAGGATAATATGGTAAATTCATATTTTTTTCATATTAAAACAAATTAAAATTAAAAATAAATCATATAATAGGTCATAATTTTATGAAACATAACTACCCATGTTATCTTTTCTTAATTCTAAAAATAAAATATAAGATAAAAAAGAAAACTAATGGGCACATGAGTGAGGATGTGCCAAGGGGCTAGTCACAAAATTAAGTGTACACCCTCTTAGGGCATGTTTACTAATAAAGGGTACCAAAGGGTTAATTGATTAGTAATGGTACTACATCTACCAAATAATTAGGGTTTAGGGTTAACAGTGTGTAAAGTAATGTGCTCAATTTTGGGTATAGCAAAAAATTTGCAAAACTTTGTTGGCCCTTTGTTTTAGGGTTTAGGATTTTTTTTATAATGACCTAAACTATATACTTATATTAAAGTGATACGTATTTACACAAATATTCATTAGGTGTCTAGGGCTTTCGAACCTCTGCCCATATGGTTGAGGTGGAAGAGCTCAACCAACTGAGCTATACCCCATTGACCATTTATTATTTATATTGTCTCACATTCATAGTGTCATACAAGATGATCACTCTATCTATGGTCCTATTTATAAGGAACATATTCAAGCCACCACTTGTAAAATGCATCCTCTTTCATTACTAGTAAAAGGCTACAACTATTCTGCTAGTTTTACAATTGGAAAAAACTACTATGGTAGATGACAATGTTGTCACACACAATAATTTTTGGACGTAATTGATTTTGGGGTTCACAATTTGGTTGTACGTGTGCATAACTTGAATGAATTCGTAATGTCATCATCACACTAATTTTTTTTTAAAATTTTTTTTATGAAAAGTGACATTATTTTATTGATAAGGAGGAAACAAACAAGTACAAAATAAATCATGTAATAGCTTAGAAGATTAGGCAAGCTTCTCAAAACATAGGAGTATGATTATCGGACTAATTAAGTAGCCTTACCCACTCAACTACAAGTAGGAGCAGGAATCTCACCACTAATAGAGCGCCCCTTCGGTTCTCTACATCTATGCTCGCAAAGAAATTTTTTTAAAAATTAAGAAAAATAAAGTAGATACTTTTGAGTTCAACTTAAATATGTTGCCTTAAAGCAACTTTGGATTGAGCACACCCCAAATTGATAATAAATTTTTCCAAAATTGCAACAATATCATGTTTCCCATTCCATTTCATTTTCAACGCATACCAAACACCGGATTCGAGTCATCACAAGTCCTAGTCCGGCTCGGGAGCTATAATTCCATGTTTCCAAACATCCCCAATCCTCGCGGGACCAAAAGCGCCTAGATTCCAAGCGTGACGCGATTAATATATATTTTCTAACTTTTTTTAATTTCTTATTGGCAACGACGTTTGCACCACCACACACATCTTCTCCACCCAATCAGCTCCTGCCACGTCATGAAATCGCACTCTCACACGGTCTAAGTCTCATACACGAAAGCTCCTCTCTGCTCTGCAATGCTTTGCTTTCCTCGCTGACGCTGTGCGTCTGTTACGCTTTTACACAGAAACAACACCTGGAGGAGAAGCTGTACGGACGCTCCTACACACACTGTATGAGAGCAAGAGAGAGCGAGAGTGTTCTTCTGAGACTCAAAAACCCAAATGCGAGTGCCTTTTCATTTCTGAATTGCCAGTTTGAAGGTTTTTTTTTTACTTATTATCATCAATTTCTCACACAAAAATGGTGATTTTACTAGTTGGGTTTTTTTTATTTTATGAAAATGATTGATTTTTTTTGGTCGAAATTGATTTTGTTGTTGGGTTGCTTATGTTCAGTGTTTTCTTGGATTTTGATGAGCCATGGAGTCACCACTTGATCTAACGCCTATTAAAACATCTTACGATGGTAAGCCTCTGCTTCTTGAATTGTATTTTTTTATGGCATCTGAGAGAAATGCAGGGTTGAGGGTAGTCAAGAACCCATGAGTAGAAGAATTAGAAGTTGTGGAATTCATGTTTTGCTTAACAAAATTGTTCATGCATTAAAGATCATTTGAGATGGAGAAGGGGGACTTAGAGGGTAAGAAATGGATTAACGATGAAAATAGTAGAGATTATTTGGGTATTTTGGGCTGTTAGGGCCAATTCAATAGTCTGTGGCGTTTGAGAAGCTAGTGTTGAGAAGCTGAGAAGAACTTTTTATTTTTATTTGGGATGAGGTGGGCACAATCAGAAATGCAACAGCCTTTGGAAGCAAACCACTTTGTGTGGCTTCTCTCCTACAATAAAAACAAAAAAAACATCATTATTAATACAGTCAAATCATTTTTCTCAATGTATACAAAGGGATGAGTCGGTGGTATAAGAGACTAGAACAAAATTTGCGGTTTGGGAAATTAGAGCTCATACTGATCAGGTCTTGTGTAGTTTTGGCTGTTAGCTAAATTTCTTTGCTTTTTCTTTTAAGTGACTACTCATAACAACCCGTTTTGAGCAACTGAATTTGTTGCCTGCAATCTAGGCCTGCCCTATCCCCTCCTGTGAGGCATTTTTTCAAACATGTTGCCCCCACACACTCAAACAAATCACCAAGAAATCATCAAATTGATGTGCAAGTTCATGGGTGTAGAAAAGGCAAGTGGGGGCAATTGACTTCACTGTCCCTTGCTGGATCCACCATTGCTTGGCTAGATGGTTTTCTGAACTTATAAGTTTCTGGAATTAGCCTACTTCTTTTCTTACTTTACGCAAGTTCCTCATTTCTTTTTTGTCTATTTGTATGACACCTTTCATTTGAGCTCAGGTTTGTATTCCAAGGGGTATAAGAGGATGAAAGTATGTTTTGATACAAATGATTATGATAGCATGGACTTCTCTCCAAGTAACCATGATGAAGCTGTACATAAAAAGCCTAAGTCTACTTCAGAAGTTGTTGATTACAGTGATCCATTTGCCATACCAGACTTGCTGGAGAGGATAGACTGTGGCAAATATGGAAGTGTTACAAAGGACATAGAGGCAATTCTTGCTCGAAAGAGGCAAACTCTGAGCCCTTATTTTGAAAAATATCCTGCACTGTCAAATCTATCCTTGGACGAGAAAAGGCAGAGTAAAAGGGCTCCTAAATCTGCAAATCAACAGGCTAGTCCGTTGGCCCAAAATAATGTCATTGATTTGGAGGATGACTCTGTTGAAAATAATGCTCCAGCAGCATTATTGCCTGTTGTAATTATTGATTCAGATGAGGAACAAAGTGAACATCCAAGACCTCCTTATCCTTTCAAAGAGGTTGTCTTGCCAGAACCATCCTATTCTTTCCAGGAGGTTTTCTTGGGACAACCATCTGAACAGTTAGTGGTATGTATGCCTTATGAGATGATTTTATTTGTGCAATACTCTGACAGGAGGCTGTCTCATTGTTCTCTTCTCACTTTTTATCCTATCTGTCAAATGATTGGCTGGACCATGTTCAGGTAAGGGACTTTGTTGAGAACAAAGTTCCAGGAGAGACCGAAATTAAGAATGACCCCGGAGTTTATGTTGGTGTAGAAGATGATGACAATCACCAGACTGATACTGAAGAAGATGATGGGTTGGGAGATATTTGGAATGAAATGTCAATGGCATTAGAATCTAACAAGGTATCATTGATATACATTCTTTACTATGTTATCTTGTCTCTTTACTCTGCGTGTGTATATATTTTATGGTCTTCCAAAGTGGAAAGACATGTTTGCTTGGCCTACAGTTGGTGCAGATTGTGCCAGCTCTCTTTGCTTTGACGGAGCTCAAAGTAACAACTTCCATCTTTGATCTATAGGAAATGATTGTTTGTGCAAATATAGCACACTGATGCTTCATAAAACTTTAAAACTTTTTCATTTTTCCCATTTAAAGAGATGTCTCATCACCTGAACAGACCCAGAGATGATTAAAATTTAAGATGATAGGAAAACCCTAACCATATTAGAGGGAAAATGACAGAAAAAACCAAACCTTCCAGTAAATGTTACATTTTTCTAAGTTTGTTCTTCTTATTCAATCTGATGTGGAAAGTGTGTCTCAATGTCAAATGACTGGTATAAGCTTGAGGATTATGAATTTTTTGTACTAAAATGTTTGATTTCTTTCCAGAGTTCCATTCACCATGTTAATAAGTATCTTACATTGACTTTATACTGCTTCTGATAGGATGTTGTTGTGGACCCTTCATCTGAAGGGATGAGTGACGGCGGGGAGGACTGTGACTGTGATCATTCTTTTGTCTTAAAGGATGATCTTGGATATGTTTGCCGCATTTGTGGGGTTATTGACAGAGGAATTGAGACCATATTTGAGTTTCAGTTTAACAAGGTATGGCTTTCCCTTGAGCATCTATAATATCATCATATTATCAGCTTTCTAAGTTGCTTCTAGAAAATAGCTACACATATGTGTGCGGTTTAATTCTCCTTGAATATTCAGTGGCCTGTAGGTATCAGTGATATAGGGCCTTAGATACTAGAACTAGACCAATAGGAAAACAAAAGTTTATCATCCCTTGAATCAGCTTTGTCTCTTATGACGATTTCTGAAACTCTATCATGTGAGCTTATGCACCATGCAAGTAGGATAAAGTGGCCCTTTATATGAGAATGATCTGCAGGGCGGGTACCAACAAACCCATACCCGGTTATATTCAATGGGCATTACCCATACAGATGACCCAAACCGATGCACCAATCCACCACATTAACAAATCTTTTTAAACTCTTGCACAAAACAAGAAAAAGGAAAACGGTAAAGAGATAGTGAAAACATGCATGCAATAGCTGGAGGATCTAAGTGCTTCTATCCCTCCAATTTCTCATTTAAATCCAAGGATGTAATCACATCAATTGTTTACCTTATAAAGCATATTTAAAGATTTTCTTTTCTATTTTCTTTACATTATCAATTGTGTACTGAAAATTGAGGCCTTTTCTATTCTATGACTCCCCTTTGAGTCCTATAAATGACTGGAGCCTTGATGATCTATTACTCTCCTGTTCTTGATCCCCTTTTTTATGGAGTCAGTACCACCTCTTCCTTTTACTCTTTCTTTTTTATGGAAGTTTTTCAATAATAAAGGGCTCAGAAGTAGAATGTTTCTATTTTTTTTTCTTTCAAATAAATTAAAAATGTGGTTTCTGGTTTCCCGTGGGTATTACCCATACCCGCCTTGCCTCGTCATTAAGTTTTATAAAAATTCCCACACCTGATTGTTCTTACCCAAACCTGCTCCTAATAGAGCAGGTCCCTGTGGCTACCTGATCCAGCAGCTAATTTGGCCATCCTGTAGCTAGGGTAACTACGTTTTGTACCAGCTCAATTCGAAATTCACTCTTTTTTTAATGCAAAATCTTGCTAGATTGTTGTACCAATGTATTTAGGGAGAGGAAGTCTTCAGGTTCTACAATCTAGAGTGAAATAGGACCTAAGTAATATAATCCTGATCATCTTTTTTGGTGAACTGAGGATCTGTTGTTTCCATAAGAGGTGGTCATGGTAATTTGAAGGACTAATGTCTAGCTATAACTCATATAACACATTGATTATTTTCTAGTTATTCCTTTTGAATGGATGGAGCATGATCATTCCAAGCTGTGGTCTTACAACCATGAGGTTGAAGAGTAAGTGATAGCTGAAACTTATCCTAGAGAACGTGAAGTTTCATCCTGCTATTCTGGTTCTTTATGAATGATGTCTCTAGGTTAATGCATTTTCCTTTTTTTGGGTCGAATAGGTTAATGCCTGTTTGTATGATCAAAATATGTGAATTTGGCTGAATTTTGCGCTTTATCAGCCGAGGATGTAGGAAGTACTGTTTTCAACATGGAGACGTACTGTACCTTTCTGATCACCAGATGGAGTGCATAAAGTGTCCCTGTTGTTAGCAATGAACCTATAGATAGGGCTGTTCTTGGACCGATCCATCCAATGGATTCGACCCAAACTAATAGGTCCTGGTTGATTGTATCAGTTCATATGGGTTGGGTCTGCTTTATCGTTTAAGACCTGATATCCATTGGTTCTGTTGCGTATATGTTAACTTTCCTGCTCAATCCCTCATGCAAACAAAAAAAAAAAAAAAAAAAAAAAAAAAAGGGGTGGCTTCTCACTACTGGGAAGTCCAATATAATCTGCTTGATAGAAACACCCTTGTATCTCTGAAGGACTGCGCTCATTGGATTTGACAATAATTTGATTCTAAACCCACCCCATTACTCTTTTGCCAGGCTCAGGATCAGCTGAGTGAAAATGAGATAAGCAGGGTTATAGGAATAGGAGATAATTTTCTGAGAATAAGTACACAGAAATAGTAGATAATTAAATTGGTATTAGTATTTTAATCCATAAAATTTATTGCATATTGGAAATTAATATTTTTGTTACCGCCTTACTGATCACCTGGTTTAGCTTTTTAACTATGCCTTGAATTCCAGTTTCTATATTTGCCTCGTTGTTATGGAATAAATGTCATCAATAGATGGATCTACTTAAACTTATTAGAATTTATTTGTAGCTAAATACCTTATTCTGGAAAATAAAATGCATATTATAATAATTTTCTTTTATTATCTCAGGTCAAAAGGAGTACAAGAACTTACATGCCTGATTCTCGGAATGCCAAAGACAGAGAGGCAGCTGAGATAAGTGGAGTTAAATTGTCAGAGGATGGTTTGATAATAACTGAAATCTCTGCCCACCCAAGACATATGAAGCAAATGAAACCTCATCAAGTGGAGGGTTTCAATTTTCTTGTTAGTAACTTGGTGGGTGATAATCCTGGGGGTTGCATCTTGGCCCATGCTCCAGGTTCTGGTAAAACATTTATGATAATTAGTTTCATGCAAAGTTTTCTAGCCAAGTATCCAAATGCTAGACCGCTTATTGTGCTTCCTAAAGGAATCTTGGATACATGGAAAAAGGAGTTTAAAATTTGGCAAGTAGAGGATATTCCATTATATGATTTCTATGAATCCAAAGCAGACAATCGATCACAGCAGCTGGAGGTGTTGAAACAGTGGGTGGAGCAGAAAAGTATCCTTTTCTTAGGGTACAAGCAGTTCTCCTCTATTGTTTGCGATCGAGAAACTAGCAAGATATCAGCTATGTGCCAGGAGATATTGCTAAAGGCACCTTCAATTCTGATTCTGGATGAGGGGCACACTCCAAGAAATGATAACACTGATGTGTTCCAATCCCTCACCAAATTACAGACACCTAGGAAAGTTGTACTTTCTGGAACCATTTTTCAAAATCATGTCAACGAAGTATTCAATCTTTTGAATCTTGTTCGTCCTAAATTTTTAAGGTCAGAAACTTCACGACCCATCATTAAGCGCATCATGAGTAGAGTTCATATATCGGGTGTAAGAAAGCAGTTCAAAGCTGGTAGTGAATCAGCTTTCTATGAACTAGTGGAACATACCCTACAGAAGGATAATGATTTCAGGAGGAAAGTGACTGTCATACATGAGTTGCGTGAGATGACTAGCAAGGTGCTTCATTATTATAGAGGAGATTCCCTGGATGAACTTCCTGGACTTGTTGATTTCACTGTGCTACTAAATCTCACCCCCAGGCAGAAGCATGAGACTGAGAAACTGAAGAAGTTCGCAAGGAAGTTCAAGCAAAGTTCTGTTGGGAGTGCTGTTTATCTGCACCCAAAATTGTACTCCTTCGCTTGGAAACCCACTGATCCGGATGATAAAGTGGATGAGCTCTTGGACAAAATGGATGTGAAAGATGGAGTCAAGGCAAGATTCTTCCTTAATCTACTGAACTTATGTGAGTCAGCTGGTGAGAAACTTTTGGTGTTCAGTCAGTACCTCCTACCATTGAAATTTTTGGAGAGATTAGTAGCCAAAGTGAAGGGTTGGAGTCCTGGGAGAGAAATGTTTATGATCTCAGGTGAGTCAAGCTCCGAGCAACGGGAATGGTCCATGGATCAATTTAACAATTCCTCTACTGCTAAGGTCTTCTTTGGCTCAATTAAGGCATGTGGAGAGGGTATATCTCTGGTAGGGGCATCTCGAGTCATACTTTTGGATGTCCATCTTAATCCCTCAGTGAGCCGGCAAGCAATTGGCCGTGCATTTAGACCAGGTCAAAAGAAGAAAGTGTTTGTGTATAGATTGGTAGCTGCTAGTTCCCCTGAAGAGGAAGATCATAGCACTTGCTTCCAGAAAGAACTAATTGCCAAAATGTGGTTTGACTGGAATGAGTATTGTGGTTATCGGGATTTTGGAGTGGAGACCATTGATGTGAATGAATGTGGTGATCTCTTCCTCGAAAGTCCAGTGTTCAGGGAAGATATAAAGGTTCTTTACAAAAGGTTTGTACTCTTGTACATCTTCTTGTCATCTTTGAGTTGCAACTTGCAAGACCTAAATCTTTCTGTTAGCATGTCCTAACTATTTATTTCTATTATTTCAGGTAGGTCCTGCAATCAGCATTGAGCTGACGTACAGAGTAGGGAAAGTTGTCTCACTATAGTTTGGTTGACATACAGTCTCTTGTCTGTTCATATATGTTTCCCTAGATTTTGGGATTTCCGAAAACATTTCAGGCAGGTTGCTCAGCATTAGTGGTTTACCAGTTACTACACAGTTTCCATATTGAACTTCTCCTTCAGGGTTGCTTTTTGATTCCTTAGAACAGGCAGCTTTTGTTTTCTGTTCTTAGAAAGAGTCAGACTAGTCAGAGAAATATCTATGTACACAGATCAATGAATCCTGACTTGTAAAAAATCTGAAGTATGGCAATTTTGACAATGCTATTTGCAGGAAGGTGATTTTCTGTCTTTGGGTCACATAAATTATCCTGATAATTTAGGGATGAAGCATTTTGCGTATAATTGAACTGACATCTTGAGGTCACCAACTACCAATTGCGCTTAACTTAAGAAAATATCGTAAGGCTGTGTCATGGTCGAGATAAAGTTGAGATGTGGGCTGAAATAACGAGATATTGACTCGTATTTTATCAACCAAAAAATGGGCCCATGTATTAATTTTGCCATGTGATGTTATTCTAGTATTTTTGGTTAAGTGCAGTCTAGAGTCTACAATGGGAAACGTTTCTTTGAAATCCAAAAATGCCCTTTGAGAAAAACTCAGTTGGCCTAGTAAGGATAGTTCATTTTTACCCCACCCCCCACCTTTCTGGTATTTATCCACCTTAATTTAAAAAATATCTATTTTTTTCTATAAAAATATTATGTTTAGATGAAAAGTTAAGGTTGATGGACAAAAAATGTGGGCTTTTCATAAATAGGTCCATTCTAGCTTGATATCTTCCATATCTTTGGTTTAAGTACAAATTTAGGCCTCGTTTGGTGGCTCGGCTTGAACTAAACTATTTCAATTAAATCAATAAGAATTTATAAATAAACCCAATCCTAGACATGTATTTATAAAAAAACCCAAGCACTATTTAAACATAGAAACACACCCAAAATCAACCCCAAAATCAACAATTTTATATTTTTGGGTGTGTTTATAAATGGGTTTTGAGTGTGTGTAATGATGGGTTTTGGGTGTGTTTATAAAGTATTTTGGGTGTTGGGTTTTTTTATAATTTCAGCCCCCATTTTGGGTGTTTTAGTGAAACTCCCTTAAATCAAACTAATGTTCTTACAGTTATTTTGTTAACTTATAAATGTTGGGATTTATAAATTATATATAGAGAGGTGAGACTCATAAAAAGTGCTTTGGACTCAATTCCAATTCTGCTAAAAAATAAATTCTTTTGAAAAAAAAAAGTGCTTTTCAATGTGGATAAATCTTGACAATTTCTTCACAAATCCAAAAACAAATTTATCAACAAAAAGAAAGCTCAATAATATAATAATAAATGCCACTATCTAACATTTTAATTTGACAAAACGTCATTTTTGGTCCTTGTAGTTTATCTCTTTTACCACTAAGGTCCTTATGGTTTCAATTTGGTCATTTTTACCCATGTTGTTTCAATTTGAAGCAATTAAAAGATAATTCTCAATCTCTGTCAAATTTATTTAACTTAATGTTATTTATTGTGGGAAAATTCAGTCCACAAATTATTAAAAAATTAATTCCTTTAAAAAAATAATAATATAAATATAAATAATAAAAACTTAATTTCAAGTTAAAATAAAACATCTATGTCTCCTTCTCTTACCAACCCCAACCCCCACCACAGTCCCCACTCAACCCCACCCAGCCACCACCTCCTTGTAACCCAACTTAAATTAGTTGCAAAATAAATTTAAAAAATTAGTTTCAAAATAAAATAAAATAAAACATCTCTTATCGTATGCTATTGGCACAAGGGTGATGGGAAATTATGAGAGTGGCACCTCCATGACCGTGTTTATAATTAATCATCGCTACATGCAAGTGCAAATGGGAATAATTATACTTGCCCTTCGTCATTGCATGCAAGTGCCAATTATAGGGAGGTGGAGGTTGGCTATGTCATGGGGGAGAGAGATGCTTTATTTTTTTTTAAATTATTTTTAAAATTTATATTTGTCTGCTTTATTTTAAAAGGAATTAACTTTTTAATAATTCGTAGACTGAGTTGTCTCTCCACAAATAACTGAAACTGAAATTGTGAATTATCCTTAAATTACTTCAAATTGAAACCATATGATAAAAATGACCAAATTAAAACTACAGAGATCTTAGTGATAAAAATGATAAACTACGTAGACCGAAAGTGCCGTTTTTCCTTCTAATTTTTGGCTCTCCGGATTCAGACAGAGAATGCCACTATTTAACTTGGGAATCCGTACCGAGAAAATACGGAAAGAAGAGTGGAGGAAAGCAGAGCCTGTAACTTTGTGTGTACGGTACCTTTTCCCATTTTCCCACTCTCCCCACACAAACACTCGAAGAAGATTTTTGGGCAGAAGCCATTTCTAACACCTATCCATATACATTCAGTGCATGCTACCCATCTTTTCTCTCTCTCCCTCTTGTTTTCCAAGAAAAACTAGGCTCATCTTTTGCTTGCATTACAGAATAATGAACTGTTTGGTGTTTACACTTTCTTTAAGCTTATTTGTTGAAACTGATTTTAGTGCATAGTGAGCTGTGTGTGGGACCAGAAATTGATTTCCCAGGTGAGTTCTACCCGAGTTTCAGAGGTAAAGGTTCAGTCTTTTTCCTCGTCCTTTTTGCTTCAGAAATTTCCTTTTATGATTTAACATTCAGTTGCTTGCTCTTTTTCTTAAAAAAAGAAAGAAAAAACACACTAATATCTTTGATTCTTCCTCTCTTCATTCATTGTTGTCTATTGCTTTTTTAAGTGTGTTTCTACAAGCAAGATCTTTTTTTTTTGGTTTACAATAACGTTTTACAAGAGAAACCTTCATCAAGTAATGGGTACTTTTTATCTTTTCACCTAATCAATGACGCCTGAAAGCTTTCTGGGTTGGATCAAAAAGCCACCCAGTGGAACTAATACGAGTTTTAGTGGCTCCAAATTGATGGATTGTTGACATTTCACAGTTTTTCTTTTGTTAATATTTTACTGTTACCCCAAAAACAGAGCTTTAGTATGTTTAGTTTACATTTTTTCTGGTGGGATCTCTTTCAAGATTAATGTTGGCATGTTCTGAGACAATGATTATGTGATGAATTCGAAAAAAATTTAATTGTTTATCACTTAGCATTAACTTTGAAGTGTTGGAAGAGTAATGGAATCAGAAGGTTGTGCTGCAGCCTCCTATGGAACGTCATCAACATGTCATTGATATAGAGGATGAGAGTCCAAACAATAGTACAGAAGTAGGACCGCCTGTTGTTGTCCTTAGTTCGGATGATGAAGACAACGGAAGTAGGAGGCCACTTCATCTGTATCAGAAGCTTGTGTTAGAGCATCCTCCAGACCATGATCAACATATCAAGAATTTGGAAGATGAAAGTCGAAACAATATTACAGCACGAGCACCGTCTGTCATTGTCCTGAGTTCTGATGATGAAGAAAATGGAAGTAGGAGGCCAGTTCATCTAAATCAGAAGGTTGTATTGGAGCCCGTTGGAAGATTGCTAAAGAAGAACATGACGGTATGTTCTTTCCCTGCATTTGAAATATTAATGTACCTTGCCTAAAATTTCAGCGATGGACTGATCATCATATTCTGTTTCAGGATTCTGTAGAGGGCAAATATAAGAGTAGTGAGTTGGAAACTCTGCTTAGAGATTTCGATATTTGGATAGATAAAGATGTAAATGTTGGTGCAGCAGACAATATGGTGATTGGTCTAGAATTCATTGTTCAAAATTGTTTTCCCTGTTATCCTATATGCATATTGGTTTTCATGGTCATCATATTATGTTTCAGGATTGTTTAGAGAGCAAAGATGAGAGAGAAGAGTTGAAAACTGTGTCTGGAAAAGTTGATATTTGGATAGATAAAGATATAGATGTTGGTTTTGAAGACAATATGGTGATTGACGTATAACTCGTTTTTTAAATCGTTTTCATTGTTTATCCTATATGCATATTGGCTGGCATGGTCATTATACTTTACTGGCTCAGGATTGTGTAGAGAGCAAAGATCAGACAGAAAAGTTGGAAACTTTGTCCGAAAAAGTCGATATTGAGATAGCTGAAGATGCAGCAGAAAATATGGTGATTGGTCTAGAACTTACTGTACCATTTTCCTTCTTGTCCTATATGCACATTGATTGCCATGGTCATCATATTTTACTGTTTCAGGATCATGCAGAGAGCAAAGCTCAGACAGAAGTGTTGGAAACTCTATTCCGTAAAATTGATACTGGGATGGATAAAGAGATCAATGTTGGTGCAGCATACCTTATGGTGATTGGAAAAGAGAATCAAGTATCTTCTAAAAAAGAGGAATGTAATTGGAAAACTAATTATCAAGAGACTAACAGGGGGTGCATAGCTCCAAGCACAGAGGTAGGAGTTCTGGTTGGTAACATGGATGTTGGGACAGATAAGCCCGATCATGTTATTGGAGAATATGAACATGATAAGGTCGTTGGGGAAGGTAATCACGACACTTTCCAGATTAAAGAACAGTATCAGAAAAATGATATTGACGAAGATGATCTAGCAGAAATATGGAAGGAGATGGCAATGGCAACAGAATGTTCCAAGGTATCTGCATCAGATAGCTCAGAGCATACCAAAATTTTGATAATTGATTTTGTACCAAACTTTCCATGATGGTACTTTTCTTTTTCAAATTATATCAAATTTATGCTCGCTGCTTCTTCTAGGATATTGCTGTTGATCCTTCAGCTGATGAAACATCTGGTGTATGTGGGGAAGAATGTGATCACTTTTTCATCCAGAAGGATGATCTTGGATTAGTTTGTCGTATCTGTGGAGTTGTTCAACAAGGAATTGAAACTATGTTTGAATTCCAATATAGTAAGGTATTCATGCTTTTTTCTTCTTTTGTGCAACTATGTCATTATATAAAGTTTCACATGAATGAACTAGTAAACTACTCGTGAGAGGTTCATTTACTTGTTTCTGAAATTAAATGTTGGATATATTTGAAAAACTCTGGACTATCTAGCTTTGAGGTGGAACATGTGTTGTTTAATCATTAACTATCTGCATCAATTTTTTTTTGTTCCGAAGTGGTATTTTTACATTCCTACTACCAACACCGATATTGTCTCCCAACTTAACCACGTGCATAGCCTAGAAGGTGTGGCGTTTTATCACAAAAGGACTGGGTGTTTTTTTTTACTTTTATGCAAAGGCCTCGGTGTTATTAGTGGTGGAACCACTCACTTACATATTGTATTATGTTTTGTCAAGTTTCAGATGTGATACTTTTACATTCTTCAACAAGAAATAATTATCTAGGGTGCTATGTTTCATTTCATGCCTTGGATGGCTATTACTCAGTCTTTTCTTTAACTTATGATCTTTTGTCATGGAAAAATATTTGACACTTAATTATCCATCTTTTGTTCCTTGGTTATTATTTTCTGTCATCTAGTGGTATCTCTGATTGGATCATGTCAGAAGATGGGATGCCTTTTTCTGTTAATTTATTCTCGTGCGTATTTTTCACTTGTGATCCTTCATCCTTGTTTCCTCACAATCAGGCCAAAAGGACTAAACGAACTTACATGTATGAGTCACGGAATGCCAACACTACCGAGTCAACTCAGAGTTTCTCAGTTGGACTGAAGTCTACTAAGGATTATTTAATAGCAACAGAAATTTATGCCCATCCAAGGCATAGAAATCAAATGAAACCACATCAGGTGGAGGGCTTTAATTTTCTTTCTAGCAACTTGCTGACAGATAATCCAGGCGGTTGCATTTTGGCTCATGCCCCTGGTTCTGGAAAGACTTTTCTGATTATAAGTTTTGTGCAGAGTTTCCTAGCTAGGTTCCCCCATGCTAGACCACTGATTGTTCTACCTAAAGGCATTCTGGCTACATGGAAGAAAGAGTTCAAGATATGGCAGGTGGAGGACATTCCGTTGCATGATTTTTACACTTCCAAAGCAGATAACCGGTCTCAGCAGCTGGATATTTTAAAACAATGGGTAGAGCAGAAGAGCATCCTTTTTTTAGGGTATCAACAGTTCTCTACTATAATGTGTGACAATGGGACCAGTAGGACATCAGTTGATTGTCAAGAAATTCTGCTGAAGGTCCCTCGCATTCTTATTTTAGATGAAGGTCACACTCCAAGGAATGAGGATACAAATATGCTTCAGTCCCTTGCACGAGTCCAAACACCTCTAAAAGTTGTCCTCTCAGGAACCCTGTATCAAAACCATGTGAAAGAAGTTTTCAATATTTTAGATCTTGTTCGTCCCAAGTTTCTGAAATTGGATACTTCCCGGGCTGTTGTTAATCGGATAATGAGCAGAGTGCAGATATCAGGTGTGAGGAAACAATCGAAAACTGGTACAAATTTAGCTCTGTTTGACTTAATAGAACACACTCTCCAGAAAGATGAAGATTTTAGAAGGAAAGTGGCTGTCATACAAGATCTTCGAGAAATGACCAGGAAGGTCCTGCATTATTACAAAGGTGATTCTCTGGACGAACTTCCGGGACTTGTGGATTTCACCGTTGTACTTAATCTTAGTTCAAGACAGAAACTTGAAGTGAAAAAGTTGAACAAATTGGATTACTTCAAGAAAGCTTCTGTGGGGAGTCTTGTGTATATGCATCCAGAGTTGAAATCTCTTACAGACAAATATTCGTCAACAGGAGGAAAAGGCTCTGAAATTGATAATAAGGAGATGGATAAACTTATAGAAAATATAAATTTGAGAGATGGAGTAAAAGCTAAGTTCTTTCTTAGTATACTAGGCCTATGTGAATCAACTGGTGAGAAGCTGCTGGTTTTCAGCCAGTATATTACGCCTCTGAAACTTATGGAGAGATTAGCAGTGAAGGTAAAAGACTGGAGTCTAAACAAGGAAATTTTCATGATCACAGGTGATTCAAATTCTAAGCATAGGGAACAGTCTGTGGAACGCTTTAACATTTCAGCTGATGCTAAAATCTTCCTTGGCTCCATTAAAGCTTGTGGGGAAGGAATCTCTCTAGTGGGGGCTTCTCGAATCCTAATTATGGATGTTCAACTTAACCCTTCAGTAACTCGCCAGGCAGTAGGCCGTGCATTTCGACCAGGACAAAAGAAGAAAGTCTATGTCTATAGATTGGTTGCTGCTGATTCGCCTGAAGAGGAAGACCACTTTATCTGCTGTAGGAAGGAATTGATTTCAAGAATGTGGTTCGAGTGGAACGAGAGCTGTGGAGACCAAGATTTTTATATGAAGACTGTTGATGTCAATGAATGTGGTGATATGTTCTTGGAAAGTCGATTGCTGCAGGAAGATATAAAAGTTTTGCGGAAAAGGTTTGTGCATTCATCATATTTTCATTAAACTTTCAGGAAGATATAAAGATTTGACTCTTTTTTTTTGTTTGCTCAGGTAAAACCATCAAGGCAGGCCTAAGGCTTTGGGGAAAACGTAAATAATCTCACTTTTTGTCATGACCACTAAGCTTCATACTCACCTTTTAAGACTTAGGTCAAGGATACCAGTAACTCTGTAGGCCATTTTGAACAATGCTGACGGTAGGTAAGCAACAGCTGTGCTTGGCTTCTCTTTCTTTTGTAAATGAATCTGCAGAATGGGAAGTTGTAAAAAATGCATGTTGTAGCTGATCCGAATGCTCGTTAGAGCTTGTTAGCATTGCTGTGATTTTCACCCGAAAAAGAGAAAAATATGTGAAGTGTTTTTTAGTATTTTGACAAGTTCTCAGGGATTAGGCTACAAAATACTTCTAAAATAATTATAAATATGAGCATTCCAGAGTAAGGACTTCAAAGGCCTTGAAAGCAAAAGAAAACTGCCAGTTTTAGAATGCTGAAATGGTTTTGCTAATCTTCCCCTGATTGCTTAAAAGCGTAAGAAAAGGAAAAGGAAGATAGAAGACATATAGCCTATAGGCCAAGCCATAATTTAGCAAACCTACAAACTCCCTTGTAAAAGCAAATATCTTTCTTTGCTTTAGCCAAACCATAATTTAAGAAAGGCAACTTAGAAGCAACTTATTTAGAGTTGCAAATATACAGGCGAAAGACTGCCAATATCTATCTATATACTTTAGATAAGAGAACCATCTCTGTCAACCAAAGAGATTTAAATGCCAATCATACCCCTTTCAAATAAAGTAGTTTTAATATTTATTTTAAAAACTTAGGATACCATTAACTTCCTCCCAAGCACTTGTATATCATGCACAGAAGTATCTAGCAAACAGCAATGCCGGGCCAAAAGAAGGGCTCTTGTTGGCTTTGTTGCTCTTGAGAAATTGACCAGGCAACGTTGAAATAACAGTCAGACAATTTGTCAGGAAGCTTTATTGCAAACTATAATATAAATGTTTTTCTTCAATACCATTACCATAGTTGGCACTGATTGTACATTTTTTTTCCCTTCCCACATATTAAACCAAAAAAGAAATATGTATCTTATCTTTACAAATATGCTGATCTTTCAATCAATTTCTTCATATAATACAACTGTACTAGTATGTTTTCATGTCTGGAGGAGTACAATGTTTCTTTTCACCATTTGCAAGCAAAGACGAATGTTCCTAATCACGCAGTCCAAAGCCTATCAATGTCTGTTGTTTCTCCCCCTAAGAATAGGTTGAAAATAAGCAATGTGGATATGCAAAGAAGCATCTTCACACGACGAAATCGCGTAAAAGATGGGAGGAACCGAATCTGTGTTGCTGGTTCCCAGAATCCATGCATTCAAAATCTGCTGTCTCAGATCCTACAGAAGAAGCTGCAGGATTGTATAAATCATCCCCTCTCATGGCAACAAAACTGTGATGAGTTCCAGTAGAGATGGGCAGGCTACCACCATCACAATGCTGCAACCCCAATGTCAGAGACACCCCGCTTCCACTTCCAAATCTCCCCAACTCCGGCATGTGGTATGCATCAGCTGCTTCCATAAACCTCTCACTGCTCCTATCAGAGTGAACATTTGGATCAGAAAAGAGGCTACAGTCATCCATACCAGCCCTTTGCCCCTCTCTAAGCTTCACCAGCCCGTACTGAGCTTCAGCTTCGCGACGAGTCCCATTTTGGAAACTGGCAGACCCAGTGGATCCAGCCATTTCCACATCATGGAAATGGTCGGATTTGGAGTCCATAAATTGTCCAGTGCTGCATCTCTCAGTGCATGTCGAACTAGCACTAGGCTGCATATCTTCTACTCCATCTTCCATGGTCCTCATGTCACTTTTTTTCGTTTGAGGTGCATTCTCAGATGAAGAATTGGAGTCCATTTCCGCATCACCAGCCTCTTCTTTGTACATCTCCTCAACCATGGGCTTCCAGAGACGCACCCGTGCATTTATAAACCAGTTTGAGACCTGTGCCACAATGAAAGAGTACATGAACTTTGAGATCTCAAGTTGCATCGAATTAAAATGAAGACATTTGTACTCAGTAACTGATGTATTATCTGTAAATGCTAATTTTTTATTCAAATAAAACAATATTAAGTTTATTTGAATAACTTGTTATGGCAATACCATACCCATCAACTTTGAAAAGTAACAATAAAGTAACTGCTGCAGTAAAGTTCATATTTCTAGCAAGGAACTGGCTATATTTTCCTCCTTAATGTAGACAACATTCTTTTGCTTTTTCTTTCGTAATACTCAGCAAGTACCCCTACCAACTACTCAGCTCCACAGTTTTCCTAACTATGTATCCCTTTAAGAATCAACACATTCCATGTCCTAATTCAACAGATTTATATGTATCAAAGTCAAAATAGGAAAAATATCCTATTCCCTGTCACATATGCACATGGTGCACCTAGCCAAATGCTATATATAAATACGATTACTTCCCCATTACCTGACTTCTAGTCAAGCCTGTCTGCCTTGCTAGCATGATCTTATCAGAATCCTTCGGATAGCTGGAAAATATCAATAGTTAGACATTAAATTAAGTCAAGGACTCTGATATCTCCCAAAAACAATGGTTTGAGAAAAAGGTTGAAGTCAGAGGATTTACGGATGAAGGAAGTGCTCAAACAGCCATGCTCGCAGAATCGAAACAGAGCTTTCTGGCAAACCTCTTTGTGGCCTCCATGCATGCTGTTGCATCATACCAAGTTGCTGAAGGGCCCTCTGCTGCCTGAGTTGCTGGTCCACATAACGGAGGCGAGATATTCCAACTCCTTTAATGCTTCCTGATGCACCTTCCTCCCCAAGGCTTTTACGGGTTGCTCGTATCTGCCCTGTGATTGCATCACGTAAGCATCGAAAGTGGCGCGAAATAGTCTGGAGGGCAACTGCTGTGTATGGTTTAGCTGCCCCACATCCCGCTATCACATCAAATGATGATACCACAATTTGCATCTGATGGTAATAGTGCTTGTACCTTCTATCAACCTGTTATTGTAAGATAAAGATCATTACACCTCATGGGAAAAAGAGGAGCTCCAGTATACTGGTGTAAATGAAAACATAGTCATGTATACTTTTTGACCTTTCGGAAATACTGGAACTTGTACATTTAAGTTATCAAAATAAGACCACAAATAATTGGCATATCATATAGGTATAAATGAATTGAAGAGCCATGTAATTAAATACGTTTCTACTTTCGAAAAAAAATAACATGGATTGAAAAAAAAACAAAACACAAACAAAAATAAAAAAAAAAAAAAAAAGACAAAAGAGAAAGAGAAGTGAAGTTATAAACCCTGAGTTGAAAGGAGGAATTTTTTTTTTTTTTTTTTTTTTTTTTGATCAACATATAGGAAGGAACAGAGAATTCAAAATTTCCCAATATCATTGAAATTCAAATTAAAAGAGGGTTTAATAGTGCAGAGATGTCATTGATCTAGTGCAACCTTTTCAGTAAGGGGAACCTTTGTCATGTAGTTTATACGTAAAACTAGAGATGAAGGTACAATTTGACAGCAAGAAAGGTCAGTGACAATCAACTATCAAATAGAGCAGTTAGTAGTGCACTAGGGAGCCCAAAAAGAAAGAAGCTCTTGGAAGTTTTAGGCATAAATAAATTAAAGTTATCGAATGTGAAACAGATTCTTTGTTTCATACCATACCAATATATAGAATAGGTAGACTAAAGTATTATGTACAGAATAATGCAAAGAACCACAGCTTCCTATCAAACTGTAAAACAACAGAATGATCATTTCTTGATCCCAAAAACACCTAATATTGAGCAAATAACCTTTTAGAATTTAGACAGCCCCACAGAATAATATTCTTTCCCAATACCAGACAAAGGTCCCCAAGAGACAAGCAAACACAACCAGAAACTTCTAAAAAAGCCCTCAAAGAAGATATTGTTGTACAAATTTTTAAGTAACTAAAGCTGCTCATGATGTAAATCCCCTAAATTAATAGACCAGAATACAAGAAATCTTATCATGAGCAATTCAGTGACTATGGAAACTTTGGCTCCAACCAAAGGGTTTTCCCTCTTCACCCACATCAACAATTAACAATGATACCCAAGGACAATTCTGCACCTTATGTTATTTTCTCTTCATAGAAAAACATAAAGTACTAGTGTCAAATGTCTACATAGGAGGATTACCTTGATGTTCCATCGGAGTACATAAGCATATGGGGGACATTAAGGACATATTGGCAAGTATACAAGGAGAGCCAGTTATCTTAATAATTTCATTAAGGTCAATTTTACTTCACGCATCCCATGTTCTTTGTAAAATTACTAGTAAATACATATCATACAAGCCATCAACAAATTGGTATTCATGGTGAAAGCAGTAGAAATAATTGATACGATGCAATGCTTCTCAACATATCATCTAAAAAGCCTACATGCAAGGCTCCAGGTGATTCAATAATTGCCTGTGCAACATTTCCTTCAGACATAAAAGTAAGCAGTCAAAAAAGAAATTTTATACTTGAAACTTTTAAAATTCTTGAAGCTTCTTCTTAATTACAGTATGTCTGAACCGAAAGAACAAGCCTCTTAAAACCAGTAAGAAGAGTAGTAAAATCATTATGATTCAATCAAATATTTACAAAAACGTTGATTTAATCTGTCATTATCAGTTGGAACAATCAGATATTAACATATGTTTGGCAACTAAATCATTATAGATTTTTTTGGTTTTTCTTGGGTGGACTGCTAGTTCTTGTCCCTTTCCTTTTGTTTCTTTGTTATTTTATCTTCATGGTTGAACAAATGAAGACACCAAATACCTTTACACACACTAATCAGTTTTCTAGAATCTATTTGATACAGGGAAATTTGGCATGAAAAACTAAAAGCAATCTCATCCAATAAAACAATGCTCACTAGTATCTCTTTCTTTCATTGTTTTCTAACACATTGTTTCAAAATAGCCCCCAGTTATGACCTTTGATCATAAACGTAATGATTACTTATAATACTAACAATAAACTTATTACATAATATCACGAGCACAAATCACACATAAGTGATAAAAGCAGGTGATGTGGTCATCCACTGAACAAAACTGCAAACAAATCAATCATAACTGCTTAGAAAGAACAAAGATGATTGGATAATGTCAATCTAGCAAAAAGTGCAACCAAGCCTTGATTTTATGGTGGTAAACATTACGACCAGATGAGCAAGATTGAACATATAATTACCTCATAAAGAGAGTTTTCTTTTTTGGGTCTGTCTTGTAAGAGACATAAAACTAAAGTGCATTGTTCATACCTCATCTAACATAGACAGAAGCTTCGTCAACTTGCTTTGCAACTCTTGTTTCTCAGCATGTGAAAGCTCACATTGTGAGTTACTGGCTGTGTCTTGAGGGTTTGAAGATACTCCACTTTCGAGCTCATTCTTTGATCCATCATCTCGATGCTCATGTGTGCTTTGGTTCTTCTCCCTATCATGCTGCTTCAGTGCTTTCTGGACATTGACAACTTCATCAAGCAGTTGTTGTGCTGCTTTGAGGTATTTGTTATTGGGAATGGCTCTTGCAATACTCGACATCCCATATGGAGACAAATCCCCTTTACTTGAATCTGGATTGCCTCCAGGAAAACCAGATTGCAAATATTCAACATTCCTTGGCTGTTCATCTCTAAAAGCGCCATTCCTGCAGTCACCCTCACTTGAGATTGATGGATTTGGACTTAAGAATGAAGCAAAACCCATATTGGGATTGCGGTATGGGATAGAAGGCATTTGCATTCCTGATGGTATTTGTGTACTGAGACTGAGGGATAATCCCTGACCTTGCAAGTTCTGTCCGCCATGAAGAATAGCTGCAGAACCACCCATGGGGTGCGTAACTAGCATCTCATTTCTACCCTCCCTCCATGGACTGAATCCCTGCTCTCCAACACGGGAGCCACCGAGATGCGATAAAACATCCTGCTGCTGTGAATTGTTATCTGAAGCCCCCGCGGAGGAGACTACGTCAATGCAGTTGTTTTGCTGCTGAGAACTTCCAGCCAATGCATCCGAGTATGACCCAGAGTTCATGTACATCATCATGTTACCAGGAAGAACAGGTGCTTCTGGATATGAACTAGGCAAAGGTTCCCTTAAATAGAGCATTGGCGTGGCATCTTTCTGATTATTCGAACCAGTATAATAAGTTGACATACTTTTCTCTGCTCCTTATTCCCCAGTTATTTGAGTCAGATTGCAGTCATCCCCAACACTGAAAATAAATCAGTACAACTTCCATCATTACTAATCCGTAGCATAGTCGGAAAACTAATAAACTTACAGGAATTTAATTGTGAATCATCAATTCTAACTCTCACCAGTACAAGCTTATGCACTTAAAGGAAAACTACTCAAGTTACAGAAAATTATCTGTTGGGATTCCAAGCAATCCTCACAGAAGAAAATCAACTCACCAAAGCAAAACACTTTGGAGATATAGGAATTGATTGAAAATTCTATTACCACAAACAGAAACTTATAATTATAGATAATACAGGTAACTAATGCCCCAACTAATAGGAGAATTAATCATCCAAAAACCAGTCTTTGTATGCTGACATATGAACTTGTTAGGTGCCTGGCAAAGGATTGACTTTTGGACCAACATCCATTGGGAGAAACTCTCTTTGTACAAAGAACCTCTTAGAAGGAAGAAAAATTATTTATATCCACTATTTTTTCCAATAACTGAATTATTCAAGTAAATAATAAGTAATAACTACCCAGAAGCGCCATGCAAACAGAATCAGAATTCCCCAGAGAAGGGAAAATTAAATTCTAAGAGAAAACCATGTTCAGAGAAGGAAAAGATAAAGATAAATTCAAATGAAAAACAAGATTTTTAGACTAGCAACAAGGAGAGAAAAAAAGGAAAAAATAAAACAGCAACAAGGAAGGCAGACTAATTATAACGGATCATCATCTTAACAAATAGAAAGAGAGAACCATAAAACAAAAAGAAAAACAGAAAAATTCATGACTGAGACAGAGAGAGAGAGAGAGAGAGAGAGAGAGAGAGAGAGAGCAGCTAAAAGATAATATTGAAGATAAAGTCAGGAAAAAAAAATAGAAGAATAAAAAATTACCTGGAAACTGGTAACAGTTGTGGGTTGTGTGGGGAACAGAAAAGTCTTAGAGAACATCACCCGATCGCTAGAACACAATCCTCTCAGAACCAAACACTTTCCGATCCCAAGAACACCAACAACAACAACTCTATTATTTAACAACAATAAAAACCCACAAAAAGGGAAAAACAATATCTTTTCTGTGTGAGAAAATAAGTGAGATGAGAGCTATGAATTTTTCACTTTTGCTCTGTTTTTTTTTTGCAATCATAGATATTCTCCACCCATCACTGAATCAAACCCCACGTGAGACTCACACGCACACAGAAAAAAACACACACAGAGAAAGTGTTTCACTGAGTCACTCAAGAAAAATGATGACTTTCTCTTTCACAGTATGTGGGTTTGTTTCTTTTTCCAGATATGGATTCTCCTTTTGGGGCTTTGGTGGGTTTCTTTGCTTTTCTTAGTTTTTTGCTTGAAACCCAGTTGGGGAAAAGTTGTTGGGTACTTGACTTTGCTGTTATTGCTTCTTCTTCTTCTTCTTCTACAATTTGCTATGCTTAATTCTTTCTTTGGCTGGTGATGCTCAAGTGTTTGGTTAAGGAGCTCAATCTCTAACCACCAGTTGGTGGACCTAAAACCCTCTCTTAAACCCCCCCATATCCTCTCCCACCATCTAATCTCTCTCTCCTTTTTTTTTCTTCCTTCTATCTAACTTCAACCCTCTATGGCTGTCTCTCTCATCCTCTTGAGCATGGAAGGTCTGGGTTTCCTGCAATATCCACCATATAAGCATATTCTATTATTTTCCTCTATTTTTAATTTTTGTATTTTTGTCCTAAGCTTCTCTTCTGAATTTTGCATTCCATATTTTATTTTTTTATTTTATTTTTGTCTTTTAACAGATATTTTTTATATTTTTTTTATTTAATTTAAGAGGTGCACCATTTAGCATTAGGTGCCCATATCACTGTATTTGTCGTTTTGTGCCAACTAATCTGGGATTTTTGCACTTGTGGCCCTGTCATCTTTATGTATTTCTAGTTGTTTCCCCTATTGTTGTGGTATTGCATATTTGTCACTATCATCCAAATTCTCTTTTGTATAGTTTGAGCTACTACTTTGTTCAAGTGGTGGGGACAAAAGTTTTTTTTCTTTTTCAAAGATCTCCAAACCAATATATAAATATCAAGGACAAATGTCAGTTATTACTGATAAAAAAAATGAAAATTTAAAAAAAAAAAAAAAAAAAAAAAAAAAAAAAAAAAAAAAAAAAAAAACCAAAAACAAGAAGTCTATATATACTTTATTTTTTACTTTTTTTTTGATTATTAATTTTTAAATGTTTAAATATAAAACTAATCATTTAGGTGGGAGGCTTTTAACTCCATAGTAGAATTAGAATACTTACCTCACCCTCATGGTAATAATGATTATTAAAAAAATTAATTTCAATATGATGACTATAATTTATTTTTTTTCCCTTGCAAAAGCATCTCCATCATTTTTACCTTCCAAAAAAAAATTGTCTCTCACAAATATTTCATTTTTATGATGGGGATATGGTTTATTGGAGCTTCTATCTAAGATAGCACCTGCCTAACCCACTAATGTGACACTACTTACTTGTATTCCCACACCTTTAGCTTTCCCTTTTAGATGGTAACAATGAAAAAGGCATCTCTTTGATGAGGGGCAGTGAAGTGAGTGGGCATTTTGAGATTGGGTTTGGAATGAAAAGTACAACCTTTTGAAAACTAGTGGGACTATTTTACTTGATGTTATGAAAGAAAATAAAAGGTAGAAAACAAAATTAATGGGGATAAAATACCAAAGATGCTTTGGTTTTTACTATAGAAAATGGAAGTTTAGTGCTCAAGATAATTGATGGGCTTCTTTTTAATGATACTTCATGCTTGGGGCATTTGATTGATGACTCTCAACTTCTACTATCAACTTTCTTGTCTAGTTCTTGTCATATTTTTTGAGAAGTCAATGTTGTAGCACATAGATTAGTCTATTTCGCTTTATTTATGAAATTATGAATGATAGATGTTCTCATGATTCTCTGATATAATTCGGGATGCATTGTTTGAAGATGCTTACTTTGTAATTTTTGTTAGTTTTTTCTAATAGAATACCTCTCATTATCAAAAGCAAAAACAAACTTTGTATATTTTCTGATCGTCTATATATATAAAACAAAAGGTAGAGAATAGTGAAACATTCAAAATACCAGAAAAATGTCTTTGATTAATTCAAACATTAAGAATTGAAATTATTAATTAAATGAGGATAATATGGTAAATTCACATTTTTATATTAAAAAAATTAAAATTAAAAACAAAATAAGATAATATGTCCTACTTTTATGGAACATAACTACCCATTTTATCTTTTTTTTAATTCTAAAAATAAAATAAAAAATAAAACCAATTGACTTACAAAAACTAGACTTATAAGAAATCATCATTCAACTTTTTCTATCTTGACAAGCCATAGATTAAGAATTACAATATAGAAAAAGGCAAAGAAAATTTATATACTTACGACATCACCAACGCATAAAACAAGTTTGGCTTTTCAGCTAGATGGTAATTTATCATTCAAAAAAATTACAAGGTAATTTAAAATTCTATTTTATTACTATTAGATTATCACTCGAACCGACATCTTTCTCAAAGTTACTATCGGTTTTGAGACATAGAAAGGCATTCTCAATTTCCAAATAGTTTGTTTAGCATTTTTGACAAAAATGAGGAAGCTTATAACAAAAGCATAGCCACGTATAGGTATGAAGTGACCATCCTCTGGATCCTCTTCAATTCTGTTAATGTGACATCTGTGGCGGATCCAGGATTTAGAAATCGAGTAGGCACAATTTACATTTGCATGGATACGAGTACAGGTAAGCCGATACGAGAAATTTCTAAAAACTAGGATACGTGTATGGCACCAATACGAATTACGATGTGTGCTCTAGTGTACAAGAAATTGGGCTCGGGTGTACAAAAAAATTGGGTGTCCAAACAATTTTACCCATTCCAAAATAATTATAAAGTCCAATACCACCTGTATCTAATCACGTGACTCCCTACCACTTTTATCATTCTCACCTCTCTCTCTCTCTGTCCCCCTCCCCCCCTCCTTTTTTTTTCCTCTCACTTTTCCCTGGGGCTCTTGTTTCCTTCTCTCTTTTCTTCTTCTTCTTCTTTACTTTCTATTTTCCTTGGTCTTGTTGCTTTATATCTACCTATTTGATTTCATGATAATTTTCGAGTAGGCAGCTGCCTACCTAAAACATGGCTAGATCCGCCAATGTTTGACATGGTGCATTTTCTTTTTTTAAAAAAATTCAAATTCTTGCAAACATAGTCTAACCGAGTGGAAAATAGCCTTAATTTACGAACCAATGATCTTAGGTTTGAACCTCCATAGTACCTTAATAATGTGTGTATACGAAACTCCCTTGAGGTTTGTGGTTTAGACTATCACTTGTTCAAAACAAAAAAATTCCAAATTCTCACCCTTTACATGTAAAGCTACTATATAACTCATCTTTGATGTACTCCCATCCTCACCAAAAGCTTTAACTAACTAGACATCAACAACCCACTTGCTAAATATATAAATATGTAATTCCAAATTTATTCACATTGATTTTTTTAAGGTTATTAAATTAAAACAAGGTGAGCGCAAGGAAATGCGTTATCCCAAATAGTTTGTTTGGCTTACAAGATAAAGCAAATGAAATGCAATAATTGTAACTTAAACTTGCATGGATGAATTTCAAAATGCCAACAACCTCGTTTCTTTTAAAGAAAGAGGGCAGTTTTGGTATTAGCCAAGTCTACGAGGTCAAACGTTGGTTTTCAAAAGCCTGCCTTAATAGCAAGGCACGCTGCCCTTAACAACTAGGGCAGGAGCAGGGGAGACCTAATTGAAGACGCAGGCAGGCAGGCAGCGCAGGACATGGCACTGGTCATTGGCTCTTGGGATTGGGGAAGGCAGGAAAATCTAAGGCTAAAAAAAACGACAGATGTGATTGGTTTGTGGGGTCGGGAATCTGTGTCGTTTCAGCATACTTACGTAAGGTCGCATGACTTTGGGGTTTGGGGTTGGCCTTCTTTTTTTTTCTTTCTTAATTTCTGACACAAACGGAGTCGGGACTCGGAAAACGAATGGGTAATCATTGTACTTGTGTCATTTCTAACAACCTTATATTTCCATTTTGACCCAAAATTTTCTTGTTTCTCATGGCATGTGCCAAAAGTAAAATTAAAATTTATTTGCACCTATTAAAAAGTTATTATTAATTTTTTCATTGAAATAATTGTCACTTTTTCAATTCCTCTTGCATCTCTATCAACATTGTGAAACAACTTTCTTATAACCTAACTGATTTATTGTACTACATCTCTATATATAAAGCAAAATGCAGAGAATTGTGAAACATTGAAAATATAAAAAAAAACCCTTGATTAATTCAAACATTAAGAATATAAATTATTAATTAAATGAAGATAATATGGTAAATTCACATTTTTCATATTAAAAACAAAATTAAAATTAAAAACAAAATCAAATAATATGTCCTATTTTTATGGAACATAACTACCTATGTTATCTTTTCTTAATTATAATAATAAAATAAAATAAAAAATAAAATCAATTGGCACATGCGTGAGCATGGGTTAGGGACTAGTCTAAACTAAAGATTTAGAATTGCGTTTTTATACCCCCGAAATTGTAATTAGGTCGTGAATCTTTTAAGATTCTGTTCTTATTCTTGATAATTACATTTGTGTTGTGTATTAATCATTATGACTCTCTATTGTACATCTCATGATATTATATTAATAAAGTATCTTCTCTAACAAAAGAAACTCAAATAACAATTATAAATTAATTACACATATTTAGTGAAAATGAGAGAAAGTTTCATTTTAAAAAGATAAACACACGAACCTCTGTTACCAAAACAAATCTTAAAAATTTCAGTTAAAAAATAAATATTAGAAAGAGTTTAAATAAATGTGTCTTGATCATCTTGTTCAAAGTTCGTCATCTCCTTAAACATGCAACTCAAGCAATTCATCAACATTCTAAAAAGTGGCATTATATCTTGGGCCACCCTTACCCTAATGAGCCGTAATTTCAGCCTACCCGCCTCTTCCTTCAGTCTCGATCTAATGTGTCAATTATTAGATGGACTTCACCAAATGAAGACAACTTTGTTAAGTTCAATTTTCATGATTGTGTTTCTCACAAATTTATTTATTTATTTTAGTACAAGCGATAGTCTAAACTACAAGAGATGAAGTTTCTCACACATATACTACTATGGTACCATGGGGTTTGAACCTGAGACCACTAATATGCAAATCAAGGTCATATTCTACTGGACTAGATCCCCATTTACTTTTTTTCTTCTTCTTATTTTTTTTTATCAAAGAGAAATGGGGTCATACTACGGTTATTAATAAAAGGGTTTTGTGTTGTTTTTGGTTATTTAAAGAGCAGGCTCTTGTCTCCTTAATGGCGGAACTATAAATTTTTTTATGTGTGGGCTAGTTAAATTTTTTAGCTTAAACTCTAATCATTTTTTTTTCATTGACTATCATTAAACTTTATTATAAGACAAATACATATTAAATATAATCAAAACATACATACTATCAAAATGAATGTACGGTCAACAAATATAATTCAAAGTGTATCTGTTCAAATTGTGCCCTGTGATCATTCAGAGAATTTAATTTTTTGTTATTGAAAATAAATAATTAAGTTTCACATATATATTAGTTGTAAACACAAGAAGAATATAATTAGGTTAACATACTATTCCGTTTTTGAAAGCTTCTTCCCGCTACTTACTGCATCTGTAATTGTGGGTTAAAGGATTTGCGAGGGATTTTATTGAGTCTAATGTTAAAGAGCTTTAAAAAATATATATATATTTATTTATAATTTGGTGAAAAAAAGGATAGCCTTTGCCATTTAAAACCAAAAACAAAAAAGCAGCACACTTTACAGAAGAAAAAAACATACAAACAAACAAGGCAGCTAAGCGATTAAGAGAGGACTCGCTCAAAGCAAAAGGCAGTAGACTTGGAGGGCCATATAGATATAGGTTTATTTATTTATTTTGTTCAAAGCTTACTTAGGCTACGACCCACCATAGCCGTGGCTGTTCCGCTAGTATGTCTCCTAATCTGGTGAGGAGTCTCGAATCAAGAATGATTGTTTATAAGTTACAATTTGAAGATTGTTCTACCATACCAGATCAATCCCAACTGTGATTCTAAGACAGTTTGGCTTAAGAAGACTATCCTTGTCTTGAATTCATTCAAATCGATTCCAATTTGTTTGTATTGATTTCCTTACATGCTCTTTAGTTTTCTTTTCTCACATATCAATGA